TTAATAAACCATTCTGATAAGTTGCGACACCCCTTTTCAATTAATCTATGTCTCTGTTTCGAAAACGACGTTCAAAATATTGTTACAAATGAATATAAAGGGATTAGAAACAAGTCTTTCCAACTTTTTACTTCCTCCCTTTTTCCAAATCATTTAGAACTTTTATATGTTAAAATACTCGCAAGTTAAGGATCTAAGAATTTCGCATTAAAAGTCTATTTCCATTTAAACAAATTTTTTTGCAATTACTTCTATCCATTTATTGAATTACATTGTAGTTCTTCAGTTTAGAAACATTCGTTTTAAGATCATTTCAGGTATCTCGTTTTTTTTTTTCGGACTGCCCTCTTCCCCACTTTGAAAAACAAACTTCGTGCCTGGACGCGCATTCCAAAGATCAGATTTGCAGGCGTGTAGGGAAAAGTCCGGAAAACTAAGTTGGACAGGCTATCGTCATTTGAAGCAAGTCGTATGTTTTTTTTAATGATGTTCAATACTCAATACTTACATGTAATTAGGAGCGATGCATCGCACAAAAATGTGTTCAAGGGATAGAAATACAATGTTCCTTCTTAAAAATTATATTAGCATAGGGACCAGGTAGAGTGAAAACTTTCCGAGACAGTAACACAGATTATTTTTACTGTACATGTATCTATAAATTTCAATCAGTTAAACACGCAGTTGCCATCAAGACTGCGATGTGAAATCAATTTCCAACTGTCCTTAATTGTCTTAAATTAATTATGAAGTTTATTAGTAAGATAATAAATATCTATCCCAATTAATACTAGTTTTAATTCAAAGTCACATATGTAAAATCGCTCAAGGTAATTTTTCCGCCCTACGACGTTACGTTTCAAAAAATGACGTTCTACTAGCATTTTTCTTTTAAAACACCGTCATACTTCAAACTCTCTTTTTCCAAAAATATAATCGATATCGAAAAAAGAAAAACGGCGAAGAAAAGCTAAAAGTCTACACTATCAATTGACAAAACCCCGTTACTTTTTGAGACAGGGCCATTTTTGATGGTTCGTGGCTCTTGCTCTTTGAATGAATTCAATTTTTTATCGTAATATTTTTTACGAAACAGAGGAAGATTGTGGAAGCAATGATTTTAAATCGTTACGGATATCTATGATACCAATGTTGCCTTGATAAAAACTTACTGAGAGATTTTTTTTTTTTTTTACATACTTAACGTTACACAGGTCTACATGCTATCAGATTTTGGAATGGTTTATTTTGTTTTTGATAATCATTGAATCAGAAAAAACTATACTGACTCTACTTTTATGTTTTATGTTCAAGTAAAACAATGATTTATTGTAAATACTCCATTGAATAATTCTTTTGTACAAATCTGTGTAATTTGTGCACATGTACATAATGTAGGAATATCAAATTATACAACAATTAAAAACAAGTTTTCAATTTACTGAGATATGTTTACTTTAGGGTAGGTAATCAGTGGCAGAAGTGCTTGCTAAATTTTTGCTTTTAATATAAACTTTCATATGGATAGATAAAAAAAATTGCAATTTGAATGCGACACGTACCAAATACAGTTTGACAGCACTTTTATAATGTTTTATATATTACTGTATATGAGCATTACTTTGATAATATATTTTTTTTAAATTGCTATTTACTATAAACTATATACTTCAAAAGTTACTTGGAAGAGTCAAATAATATAAAAATCAGTAGTAGCTATTGGACTGTACATTTTACCTTGGAAAATATGACGTCACAGCTAAATATTTTTATCCTCTATATTATAAGAACTTGAGTAAGGAGATTCTGTCAAATACGTACATAAGGATTCCAGGCTGACTGGTAGTTTTATTGGTGTAGGAAAGAGACTAAATGCTGCTTTCAAATATGGTGAATTTCTTCGACTGACTTTTGTGCCGCAACATAAACACACATCTACAAATAAAACAAAAGAATATATCATAAACCTTGTTAACAATATGGAAAAATCTTGAAACACAAGTAATTTATTATTATAGTTACTTTGTTTTTGTTTTTGGAGATAAAGTAAAAACAAATAGCAGACTAAAACTGCAGCCACCGCTGAGGCGAAGATCCGTCCTGCAATGGTTGAGAACAACACGCCAAAGAGGAAGGGTAAGAGCTCCTGTAAAAAAGCAGTTTTTTTAACTTTGGTTCAAAATGTATATTCAAAAATGTTTTTAAAAATCCAAATATGAAGTGTCTTTTGTTAATTTTGTGATATATTTCTATTTTACTATATTTAAAGAAAGTAAATCATGGAATAACTGCATTCTTGTTTGTAATTTGCGACCATCAATGCTGATTAACGGTTGCAAACTGAGTTTTCATCGGCGATGCGTTATTTCATTGTAATGCAATTTTTGTATTTTGTTGAATATTTTCATCTTATTTTGTGTTTATGCCATATTCAAAGATTAGTAATTTATTTGAAGTTTTTACGAGATCGATCAATGTTGGTTATCTTTACTCTTTTTCATTTGTATAGTTTTGCTTTGTTGTTGGAATATTATTAATACGTCATGGAATGTTTATGCATGACATTGTGTTGGAATGCGAAATTATAATAACATATTTTCAAATAATTGTACCTATATTCACAAAAATGTACATATCTTCAAATAATCGAACCTATCTCCAAATTATTGAACCTATCTTCAAATACTTTGAAGATAGGTACAATTGAATTAAAGAAAAGTCTAAATGAATTTAAAATGGGTATAAATAATTTTATCTATCATTAAATAATTGAACCTACATTTTTGTAGTTATAGGTTCAAATGAATTAAACCTATCTATAATTCCATTATAAACAGGTTCAATTCAATTACAGATAGGTTCAATTGAATTATACTTATCTTTAATTTAATTGAAGATAGGTACAATTGATTTAAAGATGGGTTAATATTAGTACATCTCCACATAGGATTAAAAGATAGATAAAAATAAATTATACCTAGGTTCAATTTAATGCCACTTATCTTAATTTAAATTTATTTTCAATTCATGGTATTTGTACCTACCTTTAATTCAATTATAACTATCTTCAATCAATTGTACCTATCTTCAAATGAGTTAAAAGATAGAAATAGTTAAATTAAACCTTTCTTCAACTCATTTGGAGATAGGTACATCTGATTTGAAGATAGAAGATACAATTATTTGAAGATGGGTAAAAAAAAATTGTACCTATATCTTCAAATAATTGAACTTCAAATATTTTGAGGAGAGGTCTTCATGAATTAAAGGTAGGTCTTCATGAAATAAAAATAGGTATAAATAATTACACCTATCTCAATATTTGAACCTAGGTTAAAATGAATTACACCTATCTTTAATTGCATTACAGATAGGTTTAAATCAATTACAGAAAGGTTCAATGGAATTATACCTACAATGTATCTTTGATTTGATATGGAGAAAGGTATAATTGATATATATATATATATATATATATATATATATATATATATATATATATATATATATATATATATATATATATATATATATATATATATATATATATATATATATATATATATATATATATATATATATATATATATCTTGTGTGATATATAGAAATCATCTTACCTCGACTTCCATAAACTGATAAACAAACATCTATCAATTTTAATAACGTTTAAATAATTTGCTAGGATATATAAATTAATTTGAAAACATATCCGTGTTCATTTCCGAAGTAAGAGGCCATTGAGGTGAATGGAAAGTCTAGTTTATGTATACACAGATTTTATCAGCTGTAATATACAGGATTATACAGTAGCATGAAAATGTATTACTTCATTTAATTTACTAAAAAAAAACAAAAATACCCCACTCCCCCCAAAAGGACACTGTAAATAAAAATTAAACAAAATGTAATAAAACTAAGTAAATAAATAAAATAAAAAAACAACAACAAAGGACTGATCTCTAAAAAAAAAATGTGCATGCTTATTTTACTCTTTGCACTGATTTAAAATGAAAAAAAAGTGATCGATCTCAAAAATGTATCTACAATGAAATATATATAGAGATAACGAACAATATTCAAGCTCAAAAGTCCATTAAACAATACAAAATAGGAGCAGAGCAAACACGGACCTCTAAACATCAGAGGTGGGATCAGGTGCCATGGAGGAGTGAGCATCCACTGCCGACCGGTCACACCCGCCGTGTGCTCCTTGTCATGATCAGGAAATAACGAGAAAATCCGTCGACAATTCAGTGTGTAAATAATGGCCTAACAATTAGTATGAAGAAACGTCAGTCAGCATTTGATACAATGATAAATTGTATTTGCTGACAAGGTCATTATATCGACCATAGAACTTACGAAATGATGACTTTAAACGAGATTGCTTATATTCTTTTTTCGTCAACTTGTTTGTCATTAACTTACCTCGTTTTAGAAAATGTACATACGTAGAGCATGCTCTTGCGTATCGAATCAACTGAAAGATATAAACCCCGTATGCAGGTGATGAAGGTATATTGCTGCATAAGTAAGGGAAACTGACGATTGAAAAGTTAAAGTCATCACGTTTATCATAAAGCTTGGTTGTTAGATTACCATTAACGTCTTTTTCAAGTAAAATATCCAAATATGAAACAGATGTGTCAGACTCTGTGATATCTTTTATACAACCAATACATATCTCCTCCTAGGCACCTAATCCCAGCTCTGAAGGGTCCGAGTTTATGCCCTCTTCACAGATTTGTATTATTTATAATTTTTTGAGATCGGTCACTGCTCGTTTTCTTTACCTTTTACATCTAAGAACAGAGCAAAAACACCGACCCCCGGCATTTCCAGATGCGAGAAGTGATATATTTTAAATATTAAGATTTTCTTTTAAAATATTCATTTCGTCTTACATGTATCTTTTAACTGTTTTCAGCTATTCTGTAATGCAGGACATCTGCTATAGAAAAAAGAAATAAAACGTCTCCTTGAAAAAGAACATTTTTTTTTATTTTTTAATACAAAATCTGCAAACAGGTTTTCCCGTCTTGGAATCTGTTTCTTCAGTGATATCTAATTCCAGTACTGATCTGTAGGTCTGGGGGATTACTACAATAAAAGGCAATATAATGAGGAATTTTACATAATTAATTAATTTACATATAGAACAAGTACAACATGATCATTTCAACATTAATAAATTCGTAGCTGAATATTTCTTTGTACGTCCGTGATTAAGAACCATAACTCAATGCTTTAAAACTTTTCAATTTCAGTTCCCCAGGATATTCCGGTTACTATTATACATGTATGAAATATATGGAGATAACGAACAGTATTCAAGCTCAAAAGTCCATTAAACAATACAAAATAGGAGCAGAGCAAACACGGACCTCTAAACATCAGAGGTGGGATCAGGTGCCATGGAGGAGTGAGCATCCACTGCCGACCGGTCACACCCGCCGTGTGCTCCTTGTCATGATCGGGAAATAACGGAAAAATCCGTCGACAATTCAGTGTGTAAATAATGGCCTAACAATTAGTATGAAGAAACGTCAGTCAGCATTTGACTCAATGATAAATTGTATTTGCTGACAAGGTCATTATATCGACCATAGAACTTACGAAATGATGACTTTAAACGAGACAGCTGATATTCTTGTTTCATCAACTTGTTTGTCAATAATTTACCTCGTTTTAGAAATTGTTCATACGTAGAGCATGCTCTTGCGTATCGAATCAACTGAGAGATATATACCCCGTATGCAGGTGATGAAGGTATATTGCTGCATAAGTAAGGGAAGTTGACGATTGAAAAGTTAAAGTCATCACGTTTATCATAAAGCTTGGTTGTTAGATTACCATTAACGTCTTTTTCAAGTAAAATATCCAAATATGAAACAGATGTGTCAGACTCTGTGGTATCTTTTATTTCAAGCTCACCAGGATATATCGTATCGACATAAGAATGAAAATAGCCATTGTTAATTGACAATACATCGTCGATATATCTAAATGTCGAGTTGAAGGCCACAGCAAGTGTCTTCTTCTTTTCACGTACAAGATTTTGGACAAATTCTGCTTCATATGAATACAAAAAAAGGTCTGCTAATAACGGGGCGCAATTGGTACCCATGGGAATTCCAATAGATTGTTGGAAGACCTGGTCTCCAAAAACCACATAGATATTGTCAATCAGAAACTCAAGCATCTTTTTAATGTCAACTTCAGAGTACTTGTGTGTACAATCAGAATGTTTTTTAACAAAATAATTTTGCAAATGACCAATGACAAGGTAAGTATATTTACGAGTTCCATTTTTATTGAAAAAGCAGCTGTCAAGTATATCAAAAAGCCTGGACTTTAATTTATCGTGGGGAATGGTTGTGTATAAAGTAGAAAAGTCATAAGTTTTTAAGCTGTTGATTTTGGTAAAATCTTGCGATTTCAAATTTTCCAAAAGTTCCTTGGAATCTTTAAGTATCCACATCTGATTTACACCACTTCTCGAATATATTGTTGCACAGTACTCTTGAAGTTTATATATATATATATATATATATTCCCATCTAGAGCAAATAAAATATTTTGAAAAGATTCCTTTTTACACATGGATGTCAAGGTGAAGGGTAGATTTCTAGGATCTGGAAAAGGACTGAATGCTGTAAAAAGAGATTTCTTATATATTTAAACTTTATGAGTTTCTATATAATATTTACAAATAGATTTTAAGGTGGTGGGTAAATTTATAGGAACTGGAAAGAGACTGAATACTGTGAGGAAATATTTGGAAGCTCTGTGTTGTTTTGTATTACCACGTCGATCATCTGCAAAATGAAGATAAAAGTAAATGCCGGACGGTCCAGAACATCATCATATAAAAAGATCATATAAAATAATATTTTCACATACAATCTGGCTATAATCTATAACTCAATTATTACTTGAATTATTACCTGGAGAACATGAGAATACTAACCTTGTTTTTTCTTTGTTGTATAACATCTTAACAAAATGCAGACTAGAATTGTTAACACAGCTAACGTAGTCCCTGATAAAGTGATCTTTGAAGACAAGTGATCCAGCAAGGACGAGTGCTCCTGTAACAAAATTAAAAGTACCAGTGTATAACACAGCTGTTACACTTAACAGGTATTCAATCTGTTTTTAGTCCCCTACCGGTGAAACCGGAGGGGACTATAGGTTTCCTCTGAGTCTATCTGTCCGTCCGTCTAGCTGTCTGCCTGTCTATCAGTCTGTCCCACTTAGTTTTCCGCACTTTTTTTTTCTAAATGCTTGCAGATATTGAGCTGATTTTTGGTATGTGAGTGTATCTTGATGTGTTACAGATCAAGTTTGCATTTCGTTCCGCTTCAATGATTTTTTAAGGAATTCCCACCTTTTCAATTTTTCGGGGTTTTCTGCAATTTTTTTCTAAACGCTTGCAGATACTGAGCTGATTTTTGATATATGACTTTACCTTCATGAGTTACAGATCAAGTTTGCATTTCGTTCCGCTTCAATGATTTTTGACGGAATTCCGACCTTTTCAATTTTTCGGGGTTTTCCGCAATTTTTTTCTTAACGCTCGCTTGCAGATATTGAGCTGATTTTTGTATGTGACTTTACCTTCATGAGTTACAGATCAAGTTTGCATTTTCTTCCGCTTCATTGATTTTTGACGGAATTATGGCTTTTCAATTTTTAACGGGAACCAGATTACACTTGCCGGTAGGGGACTAGTATTGCTAATACAATACTCTCAGAATGCTTGTTTTATATGTCCTGTCATCTATCGCTTATTGTAAACTATGGATGAAATCTTTAATTTAAAGGACAAACACCATATGTGCTGTTTATAAATTATTTGCAACTTACACTTTAGCAATATATGTACATAGAAGAGATGCAAATAATGAGAAAGGTGGAGATAATTGACAGTGAGAATCTCTAAAATCCTAGAAACAAACCACAACATCTCTGGAAACATCCCAAGTCAAATTCAATATAAGAAATTATTACATTTTCAACAGTGAAATACTGTGATTTATTTTCCTCATTAGAGAAAATAGCAGTAGAAGTTCATTTAAGCACGTCAAATGAGGTAGCAGACAAACCTGTTCTCTTCTAATTTTATTCAATAAAGTAAATCTATATTTAAGCCATCTTTTAAAAAAAATGTTTGTTTGCCCTCTCCCGACCGACTGGCTAAAAATGGCCCAACTCAACTTTTTTTAACTTCCAGGAAACGATTTTTCCTGAACTTCCTCATCCCGTCAACACGTTTGTTATAATTTTTTTTAAAAGAAAAATTTTCCCACATACCTACCGACCCTTTATTTTAACCTTAATTCGGGAGAGGGCAAGCAAACATTTTTAAAGATGGCCTTATTTCTTCCGTTTTTTGAACATACAGATAGAAGTAGCATCTTTACATAAAGATCGTATTGCGTACACTGTCTGATTAGGCCTAACAATAATTCAAGATCTTTGTTTTCCGAATTAAAAATAATCTTACCTTTACCTTCATGATAAAAGCGATGGTGAAATTCTAAGTCTGTGTGATAAAAATTACACCTGACGTCAAAATTGAATTATTTCTCCTTGTTTGAATATTAACTCTTTTCTACATGGATCATTATCTGCATAAAAAGTATATAAACGCACTCAAGACTCTTACCTGCAATTCTGTGTAATCTATTAAAAGCTGAACTTTTCTCAGGTGAATGGTTTTCTATTACGGGTAGTGATGTTACACGTTTGGATTTTAAATGAATGAATTCTTCCACATTTTAAACAATCTCTGATATATCTTTATTTGTCCTTGCAAGAAGCAATTCAGTTTCGGCAATTTAAGTGAAAATAGGTAAACTTTTGTTTATATATTTAAATATGTATTGCTATATGCTGTGGAATCATCAAAATTCGTGAGGGCCAATTTTCGTGGATTGCTTAATATTCTCTAGTTTCGACGGTGGGCAGGTTATTTCGTATATTCACTCCTATCTTCTCATATCTACCAAAGGAAATATAACTTTGAGTATATCATACATCAATTTATAGAGGATGTATTTTTGATGATATCGATATGTATACACATGTTTGAAGATAACGAAAAGTAATCAAGCTCAAAAGTTCATTTAAACAATACAAATCGAAAGCAGAGCAAATACAGACCTCTAAAAACATCAGAGGTGGGATCAGGTGCCATGAAGGAGTAAGTGGGAACAAGAGGAATATTATTCAATAGCAATGGAATTCTTCATTTGAAACGAGATCCTAGTGACCTTTGTAATTGTTACCCGTACCGGAGTTGGTATCTGAACAAATAAAATAGAAAGCGGGTCATTCTCATCGGCGGTAAATTACTAGTAAACATTGGAATATGACACAGTCAGGGAGTGTGCAGGTTGAGGTGGAACCTTTCTGTTGTCCGATCTGTCTAGAAGAGCTGAAGATTCCTAGATATTTACCATGTTTACATACGTTCTGTGAGGCGTGCATTCAGACCTACATATCTAGTACAGCAGCCCGTTTGGAGCAAAACACTCGGAATTTCATTGAGTGTCCAGTTTGCCGAAGTTCAGCCATGGAACCGAGAAAAGGGGTTTCTAGCGAAGAATGGGTAAAAGATCTACCAGTCAATAAATGGATATTGACTATGTCACTAAACTCGGCGAGTGACGCAAATAAATATTGTCTCTTCTGTAGACGAGAGAATCTTACAGTGTTGGCAAAACATTGGTGTAAAACCTGCGCTGAACCTATCTGTGACGACTGTAATCGTATTCATAGAAAAGTACCTGTCCTCCGAAACCATAAAATTTACTGCTTCTCTGATAAACTCAAGTGGAGCGAACCTGTTGATGTCGAGGAACAATGTAGTGTTCATAAAGAAAAACTTGTGGAAGTATTTTGTATAGACCATAAGAAAATGTGCTGCAGTGTTTGTTTTGCAACACGGCATAGACGTTGTTCTTGTGTTGAATCAATAGAAGATGTTGCATTGTTTCTTGATTAAGAGAATATTAGAAAAAATGTGGAGTCACTGACAAGTTTATTAGATAATCTGGCTGCACTACAGATTGAAAATATGGTGCAAAAGGAAAGACTGAATAAAGCAAAGGAGGAAATATGTCTAAATTTTGAAGACAAAGTAAAGAGAGTCAAAGCCCTGATAGACGAAAGGCATGCCCAGTGGCTGAAAGGTTTTGATGTCGCTCATAAACAACAAACTGACACTATCGATACTGTATCAGATGAGTTGAAGCGGTTTAGTACTACAGTTAGAGAGGCGAAAACATTACTTTCCTCGGTTTTCGAGAATGGCTCAGAAATACAACTCTTCATTACACAACAAAAAATCTCGTCTCAAATCTCGGCCCATTTTGATAGACTAGAATCGTTGCGTACATGGGATTTTGCTGAGACGTATTCTGAGACGTACACTGACATTCAACAGATCTGTAGTACAGGCCAGATCGAGGATGTGAAAATATCCCTTAAGTCCAGCAATGCTCTTCCTGTAATTTCAAAGGTATATATAGATACTCCAAACTTTAGTAACATTCGAAATTTTAAAAGAAGTCTGATATTCCGCCATTTTTTAAGTTCACCTTTGTATTTCCTACAGATATTTCCAAGGCCTAGATATTAATCATCTAAAGCGAAATCCTCCCATGTGTTCTTCATCCTCTTGTATCAATATGAGGGAAATTTAGTTACCCCTGATCAGTTCCAATTACGACAGAACTTCCATTATGAATTTCCTCAAAGAGTAATGCCGATTTTTTTTTTCAAATTTTCTACACGAGAAGAAGCTAAGAAAACTCTTGATTTGGGTTTCAATTTGACATTTAGAATATGTTTTATCAATTTTAGTCGTTCAAAATGAGCTTTTCCACCACATTTCTTTAAACGATATCGAATAGTTTTGTCTTGTTTTCAAATATCATTAAACATAAGTGTCATAATTTCCGAACATTTGTAGCAAGACTGGATAAATACAGCTTTAAACAACCAGTCGGAAACAATTTTTAAGTGTACAGAAATTGATAATGTAAATTTTGGCCATTGCCGTGAATTAGCTAATATTAAATTCCAATTAAGAAATAAATAACAAGTTTAAAAACTTCAATGGGAATTGAAGTGGGTCGGTCACGTGATCAAATCCTGTGAAGGCCGAAGGCCTTCTCAGAAGATTTGATCACGTACCGACCCACTTCAATTCCCATTGAAGTTTTTAAACTTGTTATTTATTACTTATATATACATTTGAAATGGACAATCGAATGTAATCGAATATAAATATTGCACTAACTGTACGTCGTAGAATTTGACAAATTACGCTAGGTGTAAATCGGCTTGAAAAGCGGTTACGCTTCAAATTCATCTGGCAAAGGATTGTTTTGAAGGGAATATTCTGTGAAAGGCTACTTGTGATCAATTATAGTGAGCATATTGGTGTCTGGAAATTTTTGTATTCATGAGAACCCATATTCGATGTTTAAAAAACACAAGAAACACGTCCGATGTTTGATACTAAAAAGTTGGAGGAATTTCGATCGGAAAGGGATGGATAGAGACACTTGTCCGGACCAGATAACTTCAAAAACATAAATTCTACGATTTCAGTAAGGCATATTTATTAATTTATGATGTTGACATGGAGACACTGCACGTCACAACGATCTCGATGATGGAGGTGTGCCTACCGAACTTCCAAAGTGCAGTGTTTGTCAGCTGTTTGTGGCGTGATTGCATTACATTGATATTTTTCAACAGATTTTCAAATTTATTGTGAGTAAAGTTTAATGAAAGAAAATTATAGCATTCTGAGGTCTGCGAGAAAAATAAGGGTAAACGTTGAGACTATGCAGCTCAGACATGAAACTTATAACACGTAGTTTTCTTTTCTCTATGTAAAATCGATCAAGAACTGTATTAAATACTCGTTTACATTGTAAATAAAATGATTATTATTTTACTTGCGTATTTTGTACATTTTTATGCATGAAAAACATGCTATATTGCTTAGTGGAGTAAGTCTTTTTAATGTAGATATTACTACGCTGTGCGATTAGGTCACGTAATGACCTATGACCTTCGAAAAACTTCATACAGGTATGAAGATATTTGCTTTCTGCATGTTTATATAATAGAGAGATACCACAAATGTATATATTAGACTTTGAAATTCCTGGTGTGTCAATATTATAGCTGAACTCAGAGGGTTCTTTGCAAGAAAGAAAAGTTTAGAAAAAATGGTATAATGATAGAAAATTGTTTGAAAGCTAATGTATTTTGAAATATGCTAAAAAATAAAGACTTTGATAACGTGGGACAAAATATTTCAAAAATATTCATTTTCATTCATGTGTCGACGCAATGTATCTCAGAGAATTCTATTTTATAATCAGATGTTTAGCTGAATAAACTAAGACGCTAATAGTAAACTAACAACTTAAGTATATTTATGTTCCAAAATTCGAAATTCGGCATCTTTGGTATGGATTTCTCCCATCAATCTGATATGCAAGAGTATGTTCTGTGTACAATCAATCTTTAAACGAAGGCAGGCAACTGACAAATAAGTTGATGTAACAAGGCTTTTAATGGTCTCCTTAATAGTCAGAATTTTGTTAACTTTATTGTCATTATCATAATGACCCAGGTTTGCAAATAAAGCCTATCTTTGTGTCATATTTTGACAAAAATGCTTCATACCAAATGTTAAGCTACTTTTTCTACTAATCTTTTCTACGGATTTCATTGTCCTCTCAAAATCTTTTTCTGATATTTAATATATTAGTCGTTTAAAACACTTTTATTGATATATGTTGATTTTGCTTGGCTGGTCGGTTGCTTTTTTAGTTCTACTGGTCGAAAACTCGAAGACTAAATGTGGTAATAGATATCTGTATCTATCTGTCTGTCTGTAGATAACTTTTCTAAACGTTACTCCTATAGCAGTTCAAACGTCGTTAATATTTCGACAACAATAAGATACATTATATCTATATGAGATTTTGATATCGACGGACGACGTTGCCATGGTTACCAAACATTTTGTGTTTTTGTAAATGCTTCTACCCCTGTGGTTTTGATTTTGTTTCCCTAAAACTTCTACCCCTGTGATTTAGATTTTGATTCACTATAACTTCTACCCCTGTGGTTTTGATTTTGTTTCACTAAAACTTCTACCCATGTGGTTTTGATTTTTTTTCACTAAAACTTTGAACACAAGTAGAATAAACCAAAGATTACAATTCTATCTATCTGCGTTGCCATAACTACTAAGTTTCAAGTCAAGATGCAACCTTTCTCTTCCTTTATTGCAAGCAGAAAACTGAAGAGTGTTTGGTCTTATGTGCTATATATAAACCAATCATTTATACTTGACTTTATTCTGAAATCACCCTGTCTATTTTAGGAAGTAAGAACCATCACTGCGCTCTCCCACGTCAACGGGTACCCCACGGCTGCCTCTGTTTTCCTCTCTATTGCCAACGGTTTTAAGAGGCTCCTGGCCATTGCTGTGGAAACGGACTACACTTTTCCAGAGGCTGAAAAGGTTTTTTAAAAATATTTATCATTTATTTTAAATAAATAAAAATGACCATCAGTTACATCTGATCGATACTGTAGGTACAGCTGTATACGCGATGTTGTGTATTGTAATATTGTGTTGCCCTGTGTTTGCAACGTTGGATATTGTAATAATGTGTTGCACTGTATATGCAATGTTGGGAATTGTAATAATGTGTTGCTTTTTGTTTACCATTATATGATAGGTTTGAAGAATTTGTTGTAATTTTGCAGACCAAGAAATACTTGAAAGATCTCAGCTGCCGCTCCTTTGGAGAAGAAAAGGAAAAACTAGAGCCAGAGTTGGAATCTGAAGATAGCATGAGCTTTGGGTTGTTTGACTAATAGGTTGAAAATAAAATCTTACATTCAGATTTTCTCTCTGTTGGTTGTTTAACGAAATGACAAACGGATACTTAATAAAGAAAAGAATAGTTTTATTTTGAAAGTTTTCCAAATAAAACAAAATTGTTCATGTATTTTATGGCGGAAATTACGAAAAAATGCCTTTCTCACAAAGATTGTTTTGGATTTGTGAGACAAGTTAAGTAATTATTAATGTATACTTTATTAGATAGTTTGTATATTATCTATAAAGCCAAACGATGCATTGAACAATAATGTAGGCAGCGGGCGGTTAACTTATCAATATACCATTATCACCTGCATAATGAATTTATGTCTCCCAGTTGATTTGATGTGCATGAGCATGTTCTACGTATAAACATTTTATAAAACGAGGCAAGGTACTGACAAATAAATTAATGATACAAGACAAGGATATCGAGAGTCTCTTTTAAATTTAACATTTCGCTATTTCTTTGGTCGGTATAATGACTTTGTTTGCAAATACAACCTGTCATTAAGTTGAATGTTGACTGTCGTTTTTCATATAAATTGTTAGGCCTTTATTTTCATATTGAATTGTCCACGAATTTTCTCCGTTTACTCGATCATGACAAATTAAGGGCACACGGCGGGTGTGACCGGGTCGACAGGGATGTTTACTCTTTCAGGTCACCTCATCACACCTCTGATGTTTTCAGTGGATCCCACCGTGTTTTCTTTCTCTGCTCACAATTTGTATTGTTTTGAGCATGTTAACCCTTCATTATCTTAATATTTCATATACCAAATATTCATCAATTCAATATGTTCTAATCTTATGACTGACAAGTTAAGACTGAGTTTCGTTTTATTTGCTGACTCCCTTGATCAAAAAAGTTTTGTCTCTGAACTATGAATAAATATTTGATATCCAAGCTATGATGTCAGAACAATTTTGTTGTTCAAAATGAGACTAATCAAGTTTAAAATTATGGTTTGCCGCCCAAACAAATGAATTCCGTAGCAATATTAAAATGCCACCTATGGAGGCAATAGAAAATAAACTAGATAATGGATAACTGGAGAATATCAGTTATTTATTGATGATATTGTGTATAAAGAGGATGTTACAAAAAGGTGTGACCGATCGACAGGGTATACTTAATCTTCCATGGCACCTTATCCCTCATCTGAAGTTTTCAGGAGACCGTGATAGCTCTACCCCCAATCTGTGTTAATTATTGAGACTTTTTTGACATTAATACTAGCTTTTTGTTATCTTCATATTTCATAAAAGTAATGCATTTGTAAATTAAACAAAACACACGCACACACTCACACACACAAGCAAACAAAAACATTCAGTTTGAAAAAAGTGCAGAAAACCCCTTGGCATTTGATAAAAATAAAAGATGTAGCAAACCCTGCTTTAAACGGGATTGAAGAGAAACAAACATTCTGAGAGTATTGCATTAGCAACACTAGTTCCCTACCGGCAAGTTTTATCGGGTTCCCATTAAAAATTGAAAATGCCGTAATTCTGTCAAAAAAAAAAATCATTGAAGCGGAACAAAATGCAAACTTCATCTATAACTCGTCAAGGTAAACCCACAAATTCAGCTCAATATCTGCAAGTGTTTATAAAAAAAATGTGGGAAACCCTTAAAGTCATATATGGCGTATTTTTGATAAGTTCAGACTTAAAATTAAAAAGATCTTTCTATTTGTTTTATTACTTTATATAAAGATAGAATTTTCCTGTAAATTACACAATTTAAATCAATCGCATTTCATAGAAATCAGAAATTTAAAATAATAACTGATTTATTTACCGACTCCGCATTTAAGTATCAGACACAGTTTAAAGTCAATTTAACTATAGAAACGTGGGGATATTCAAGTTCAAAATCGGTGAAAATTTTAATTTGAACGTAAATAACAAATATCATGATCATTTACACTCAATCTCGTATTTTTATTACATTTTCAATAGTGAAATACTGTGATTTATTTATTGAATAAAAGTGATATTCTCTCACAGTGTGAAAGAATACCAAAAATGATATTCTCTCATGACGTCTCAACCGCTCAACTATGACGTCAAGCTTATGACACTGTGTTAAGAAAAGACAAAGGCAAAGGGAAAATCATAGAAAATGTAATAAACAGAAAATTCAATGTTTTGTAGATGAATATGGTATTTATTTCACTCGTGAGACAGGATTTTTTGATATTTTCACTCGTGCTTCGCACTCGTGAAAATATCAAAAAATCCTGTCCCACTCGTGAAATAAATTCCATATTCATCTACAAAACATTGAATATCCTGTATTTATTTTTTAGCTCAAGTACGCCATATATCGCTTTAAAAATTAAAAAGTCGTAAGTCCGTCAAAAAATCAATGAAGCGGAACGAAATGCAAATTTGATCTGTAACTCATCAAGATACACTCATAAAAAAAATCAGCTCAATATCTGTAAACATTTAGAAGAAAACTGCAGAAAACCAAGTAGAACAAACTGACAGACAGACAGATGGACAGAGGGTCAGACAGACAGACAGACAGACAGACAGACAGACGAGGAGGAAACCTACAGTCCCCTCCTCAATGATAGAAATAATCATCCGATAAGAAAGATGATTTTAATTCATCTTGCTATGGAAAAAATGGATAAATGTCATAAAGATTAAAAAAAAAAGTAGTGATTAAAAATTTGTTCACTTGCGTTCTACAAATTCAAAAGATTAACTGGAGAATTTTGAAATGCATCAAGTAAAGCAAAATATATACTGGTGATATAAAAAAGATGTTGTGATATAAAAAAAGATGTTTCGATATTTAAAAGTCATGAATGAAGGAGTTATAAATGATGTTACACATGCAGTAGTGATGAAAATCAGGATTTAGTATTATAAGTGACATGTACATGAAACACGACGGTATTCTAGCTAGCTGTGGAAATTTTTTAAGAGGAAATAAATGGTTTTCTCCAAAGGCGCCATGTTAAAGAGGAAGTTTTACCAGTGCTGATATTCTTAAAAATGTAAAATAATTCAAATATTCAGGCAATACATTATAAAGAACTGGTTAAGATTAGAATAAAATTTCCCTTCCATATCATCTTTCTTTGGTTTCTTTTTATCATGGATAATTACGCTATTTTGAGAGAATAAGACCGTGTACTACTTAGTCGTAATTAATTAGCGATAATTAATTCGTTCAATTGTGTAAATCGCACTTCACCAGAGTACACCCGAGAGACCGGACGTATTTCATAGCGGTCCGGATTTCTTTCTTTATAACTGGTTATAAACTTCAAATTAAACATGTACCATTGTAAATGCATAGTGTTTGCAATTGGTAGTTTAGTAATAGTGCTAGTTTTTTTTCTCTGTTTTCTAAATTTATATGTCTTCTTAACTTTTTTCTTTGTCCTGAGGAAGGGACTGGTCGACCCGAAAATTTCACATTTTTTATTGTTCGTGTCGTTGGTCATTTTTAGTGCTTTAAACATACCCCTCCCCCCCCCCCCCTTTTGGCATTGAAACGAAACAACAATAGCTTTGGTGTAACAATTCATAATACCTGTAAAGGAGTTTACATTTCATCGGGGGGGGGGGGGGGAGGGGGTGTTTTAAAAATATTTTCTGTTTTCCATTGATTTCATTATAGTAAAACACAAGTTTTACCAAAAACACTTCAAGTATAATTTTAGTTTTCCCGGATAAGTTATGTTCTATGAAAATTCATGAATATGAAAAATCATTCAAATGCTTACTTTTCTACATGTAAATTGAGTTTTAGGTAGCCTGTAGAACAATACATTTTTTTCGCTGCTCTCTCTTGATTTATATATACAGAGCAAAAACTACATGAAAACTGAGAATTACAAATTAAGAAACATTTTTTTCAGTGGAACATTTAGACATAAAGATGTTTGGAAGGCACTTCTCAATATATAACCAAATATATGAACTAATCATGCAAACAATTTACATGTACACTTATGCTTAATGGAGGCCAGGTACATATAAATAAATAAATAAATAAATAAATAAATAAATAAATAAATAAATAAATAAATATTTTTAAAAGGAAATTTAATAAAAAAAGAGAGACATTTTCAATAATTATCCAATTTTTCGTCAAGCTTGAAAAGAGTTTCACTGGATGAAAAGTACAGTTTCCGCTAAACTGAAACTATATGAAGAACTTGCTGAAACTTGATGTAGAAGGGATATATAAATGGCGCAGTGGTGTCGTATTTCCTAGGAGTACTCCCAAAAGGGTGCAAGTGGAAAACAAAAGTACAGTGAAAGAGTAAATGTATAGACTCAGGCGGATATATGGCCTTCTAATCATTAGTAATAATACGGTTATTTAGAAATGCAATATTTGGATGAAAAATTAAGTAATATGCAAATATTGTCAATTGCCTCTCTATATATAAAACATAAGAATTTTTTTTTAAATTAGATTCAATTCTAATTGTGAATTAGTTAATGGATACAGCGAGTGGGGTTATACAAAGAATTTATCTATAATTATGACTAACCTAACCCCATCCTATGGTCATCATGAACCCTGCATGGGGACATGTATTTCACCACTTTGGCAGCTAGAGGAAAACTATAATCATAAAACAGTTAGCCAGATGTCGTGAAGCAAGGGGAAACCAAGAATGCACTTTCAAAATATGACCAACTAAACCCACCCAGGCGCCAAACCCTCCGGGACCCAACTAGGGTCTTGAATATTACAATTTTAGTAAAGGGCTTGGTTATCCTCTCATTACACAGTTGTACGTTATATAGTGGGTGATTTCCTCAAGTAAAATGTTTCACAACTATGACTCTAAATAATCGTGCATATAACACAAATTGATAAATAGTCACACGTGTGCCACATATGTATTTAAACTTTTTTATTATTATTATCAATAAAAATATTTTTTAATTAATATAGTGATAATTTTAAATAGCATATTCTCAACATATTTCATGTATGTTTTTATTATTTTGATTCAAACATGCATATCTTCATAGGAATAATAAACAATTTCTAAGAAAAAAAATCCTACCTTTTTTTTTTACTTTTAACGGTGGTTAAACAAAGTTAAACCAGAAATAGTTTTTTTTCTTTTGAACAAGAACTATACTTAATATTAGGATTGCTGAAGTAAAAATATTTCTTAGGTAGGAATGAATAAAAAAATTCTAAACTTTAAATGTTTATAATAGGTCTATATCAGTGTATATTAATCTGTTTTAAATGGTTGCAAGTTTAAAATACGCGAAACAGGAATTGAAAAGAAAATAATATCTTTCGGGATCGGGATCACGTGATACACGAAATTAAACTTCCGTAATGAACGAGTCAATAACACCACCGCAGAAATCAAGCTGAATAAAAGATGGATGAACCTGCTAAAAAACTTCGCCAGGCCCTTGAGAAGTTCATCACTCATGTGGACGACTTGATAGAAGAGGAAGATCCCGCGGGAAACGGGTTTAACCGAGAGTACAGGGTAAGTAGGACTGTACCCCATCGTCTCGGACGAATGCACACACAAACCGTATACAGCTGAACCTTTTTATGCTTATCCCTAACTTATTTTGTGATCTGAGTACAATTGATTCAGTGTTTTATTAAAAAAAAAATTATAAAATCCCAGATGGCGGTAGTAAATTGATGTTTGTTTACATATGATATCTGTACGAGTTATCGCTCATTAATCATGTTTCCTGCTTCTGACCAATGAGCACCTGTTTTTCACCTGCCCCTAACAGGATATGTAAATGGGGGAAAGTTATTAGAATTAAAGAATGATTTATAATCGAAAATATAAATTGTTGCATTTTCAGGTATGTAGTATTCATTTTAAATTATTTATAAACATATACAAGCATTTGTGATATTTAAACAGAAGGAAAAAAAGATCAAAGACATTATCATGTCATTGTTTTTTTTTGTTTGTTTGTGTGGTCCTATCTTCTAATATGATCTATTGGATTTTAGTTTTATAGTACAAGTATATAATCAGGGACGTATATAACTAAGTATATGCATCCCAGATATAACATATTTTTATAGTACTGGGTATTTAAAATTAGCATGATTACTTGAGCCTTTAATTCAGTATGAAATCATAGGAAATATCATTTTGAAAAATATTACAAAATACTGGAAAGTGATATGCAGGGCTTTCAAAAAGATTACAAATGGGGGTACTTTTACAAAAATGGGAGGTACAGTACCTTGTGGAAGCAATTTTAAATAAATATTTTTTCAAATTTTTCTCCATTAAATATTTTGGCCGGTACAATCATGAAAAGTATCGAGTACTGGTAGATTTGAAAGGCCTGGATATATGTATCCAAATAATTACAATTCATTGTTACTGAAGTGATCTGTTAATACAATGACCCTAAAGACATTTAAAAGTTATTTTCCATTAAATTAATTTTCATTTGGGAGAAACAAAACTTTGGACGAATTAAGGATCTTTTATTTATTTATTTTTCTAATTAAGCCCTTTCAAAACTTTCAGTGTGTACATGTTCATCTAAATAAAGGAAAATATTTGTTGCTTTTTATGCAAAAAAAAAAAAAAAATTGATAAAATAATTTCCTTCCAGCTCTCCAGTTTCTCTGTCATCTGTGTTCACTTTTAGAGAAACGCGGTGAAGAACACCGATAGTTTATGTTACTTACGCCTAATGATAATATTGTCTTTTTAATGAATAATCATAAAAATTGTCATGGGCATAAACATGATAAATATAATAATAATCCTTTGTTCCCATAATGAATCAAATATGACAATTTCCATATACTTGGAAACAATTGATTTCCATTTGAGTGGGCTTTAAACCTGTTTTGTGGAAAGTTCAACTTCTAAATGTGCAGAGTTAGAACTTGGAATTTTTTTTCCGAAAGTAAACATGAAGCAAGAAACCTATATACATAAAAATACAAATATATGTACATAAAGTAAAATATTCCTATCTGTAAAGTATTTATAATCCATTTGTTCTAGGATTGCATAACAAAAAAGTTTCCATCATTTAAATATATAAATTTACAACAACAACTGTTATGAGTTGAGTGGCACATGGGTTAGAGATAGATCTGACTGACATTTAACCAATTGTAACAATTTTTATCACTTCAGTTTAATCCTGCAATCCATTAGTCTATCTTCCTTCTTTTATCATGTTTATACCAAAGTATGGTTTCTGCCAACAACTTTTTATGCTGCACCAAATATGGCCAGGGCATATAGTGTTTGTCATGTCTGTCTTCCATCCTTCTATCCTTCTGCCCATCCATCATTTGTCTGTCCTTCCTTCTCACTTTACATTTTAGCTCAATTTCAAGGAAATTTTCAAGATATTTTTTTTAATAAAAACTTCTTTTTCTGATACATATTGATGAGAGCTATTTAACTACATCAACATTTTGTTGATCTTGACCTTTCTTTTGACCTTGAACTCACCTTTCTGAATTTTGCCTTTAGCTCAATTTCAAAGAAATTTAAATTTTTATCTAAACACATGAACTGATGTGTATTGGTGTGAACTATTCAAGTGTGTCAAAAATGTATGTCCTTGACCTTACTTTTCTTTATGTTGCATTTAGCTCAGTTTCAAAACTATTCAAGATATTTTTATGTAAGCTTATGCACTGATAAATATTTTGGTGAGAATTTTATTAACTGTTTCCATTTTTTTTTTTTACCTCAACCTTCCCAATTACCCTTGACTTGAGTTTGTGAAACAAGTATTTATTTGAAATGGAAAGTAAATACTGAATCTTGTGTGTTAAATGCTGATATTTTACAATGACAGGAACTGAGAGAGCTTGCTGCTCATCACAAAGAACAGGACACATTTCCTGCCAACTGGGGAAAACAGCCCTACAACACAAAGAAGAATCGCTACAGAGATATTGTACCATGTAAGTCATATGGAGATATTATAGAGATATTGAACCATGAAAGTCATAGATGTAATAGAGATATTGTACCATGTAAGTCATATAGAGATATTATAGAGATATTGTACCATGTAAGTCATATAGAGATCTTATAGAGATATTGTACCATGTAAGTCATAGATATTATAGAGATTTGTACCATGTAAGTCATAGATATTATAGAGATTTGTACCATGTAAGTCATAGATATAATAGAGATATTGTACCTTGTAAGTCATAGATATTATAGAGATATTGTACCATGTAAGTCATAGATATTATAGAGATTTGTACCATGTAAGTCATAGATATTATAGAGATATTGTACCATGTAAGTCATATAGAGATATTATAGAGATATTGTACCATGTAAGTCATAGATATTATAGAGATATAAAACTGAGGCATATCTGATAGAGATGTACAATTTTATACAGATAATGAACCATACAAGTCATTAGACATTGAATTACTGAGGCATTGAATTACTGAGACATTGAATTATTGAGACATTGTGTAAGTTTTACAGGAAATGCTTCCTTTAAATTTTAGCCAATACAGATTTACATGTAAATGATAGGGATGTTGTATCAGGTATGGTACAGTGAACTTCATTATCTGAAACTTAAAGGGACCAAGATAAAACTTCGAGATAACTGAGGATTCGAGATAAAGAGGGTAATACACATTGAGTAAAAGGAATGGCCAGCTTACTTTGACACATCCCTGGTATTCAAGATATCCCTGTTTGTGATAACAAAGTTTAATTGTATATGTAAATTGTAAACATATTATACCCTGTAAGTAAAATAACTGAGGCAGGTGTACATGGTCAATTGTACTGATAGGGCCCTTGCTTCCTGTAGTAAGGAAAAGAAAATTGGAAGTTATGTTGTGAAACAGTGATGCTTAGGATTTTTTTTTTGCAGTTGATGACAGTCGAGTTATCCTTGAAGAAATTGAAGGAGAGGAAGGTTCAGATTACATAAATGCCAGCTACATACTGGTAGGTATAATTACCTTGTAAAGTAATTAAATCTACAGTTTAAATATAGCTACATACTGGTAGGTATAATTACCCTATAAAGTAATTAAATCTACAGTTTACATACAGCTACATACTGGTAGGTGTAATTACCCTGTAAAGTAATTAAATCTACAGTTTATATATAGCTACATACTGGTAGGTATAATTACCCTATAAAGTAATTAAATCTACAGTTTACATATAGCTACATACTGGTAGGTATAATTACCTAGTAAAGGTATTAAATCTACAGTCTATATACAGCTACATACTGATAGGTATAATTACCTTGTAAAGGTATTAAATCTACAGTTTATATACAGCTACATAGTACATACTGGAAGGTATAATTACCCTGTAAAGGTATTCAATTTATAGTTTATATACAGCTACATATTGGTAGGTATAATTACCTTGTAAAGGAATTAAATCTACAATTTATATACAGCTACATATTGGTAGGAATAATTACTGCACGTAGGTAGTCAGTGAAACTACACTTTATATACAGCTACATACTTGTAGGTATAATTACCCCACATACATGTAGGTAGTAAATCTACAGTTTATAAACAGCTACATACAGTGATACTGGTAGGAAAAATTATTTTGTGTCGGTAGTAAATCCAAAGTTTATATAAAGCTACATACTTGTAGGTATAATTACCCTGCATAGGTACTAAATCTACAGTTTATATATACAGGTGCATCTTACTTAATATTAATTAACTTCTGAACAATTTAGAGTCCAAGAAAATGTGATTCTTTTCTTATATCTTTGGTAGTAATTACAAACTGAGAAAAATACATGCATACAGATATCACAATATAGAAAATTTTTATCTGTGGTACATTTAGTACTTGACACTTCAGAGGTTTATTGGCCTTTGATTTATTTATAGAACATCCTCAATAATCTCCCTTTGATTTATTTTTAGAACATCCACAATAATGACGCTTATATAGCATCCCAGGGGCCCCTCCCCACCACGGTGGATGATTTTTGGAGGATGATTTGGGAGCAGAAGGTCCGAGTCATATTAATGGCCTGTAAAGAAGTGGAAATGGGCAAGGTAAAAAATTAATGAGGAGTGTACTAGATAAATAGTGGTGATTAAGAAGTTCAAATGTGCAGAGAAGAATTCAGAAGTTAGCCTTTGTTAAATAGGACAGACATTGTAAGATACTGATTGGTCAAGGAGTATAAAGGTGAGGTGTAGGCTACTGACTGGTCAAGGTGTATAAAGGTGAGATGTAGGATGCTGATTGGTCAAGGTGCACAAAGGTGAGATGTAGGATACTGATTGGTCAAGGTGTACAAAGGTGAGATGTAAGATACTGATTGGTCAAGGTGTACAAAGGTGAGATGTAGGATACTGATTGCTCAAGGTGTACACAAAGGTGAGGTGTAGGTTACTGATTAGTCAAGGTGTACAAAGATGAGATGTTGGTTACTGATTGGTCAAGGTGTACAAAGGTGAGATGTAGGTTACTGATTGGTCAAGGTGTACAAAGATGAGATGTTGGTTACTGATTGGTCAAGGTGTACAAAGGTGAGATGTAAGTTACTGATTAGTCAAGGTGTATAAAGGTGAGTTGTAGGATACTGATTGGTCAAGATGTACAAAGGTGAGATGTAGGATACTGATTGGTCAAGGTGTACAAAGGTGAGGTGTAGGTGACTGATTGGTCGAGGTGTACAAAGATGAGATGTTGGTTATTGATTGGTCAAGATGTACAAAGGTGAGATGTAGGATACTGATTAGTCAAGGTGTATAAAGGTGAGTTGTAGGATACTGATTGGTCAAGGTGTACAAAGGTGAGGTGTAGGATACTGATGGGTCAAGGTGTACAAAGATGAGATGTAGGATACTGATGGGTCAAGGTGTACAAACATGAGATGTAAGTTACTGATTAGTAAAGGTGTACAAAGGTGAGATGTTGGTTATTGATTTGTCAAGGTGTACAAAGGTGAGGTGTAGGATACTGATTGGTCAAGGTGTACAAAGATGAGATGTAGGATACTGATGGGTCAAGGTGTACAAAGGTGAGATGTTGGTTACTGATTAGTCAAAGTGTACAAAGGTGAGATGTAGGATACTGATTGGTCAAGGTGTACAAAGGTGAGATGTAGGATTCTGATTAGTCAAGGTGTACAAAGGTGAGATGTAAGATACTGATGGGTCAAGGTGTATAAAGATGAGATGTAGGATACTGACTGGTCTTTAAATGGGTTGTACATTGATGAAGATAGGGTTGAATTGAAATGAAATCCAGAGTACCTGATTATTTCTGAATTGAAGCCTTAGTTATTTTAAACATACTTTAATTAATAGTTTATACTGAGATTTGTATACTTATGTATTATACAATGTCAGTTGCTTTCATTAGATCATAAAATTTTACATGTACTTATTATAAGATTAAGATCAAGTTTTTGATGAGAGTATTTAGGTACAAGTAGAATATAGTTTTTTTTTTATTCTGCAGTGAGTGGTTAAACTATATGGAACTTCTACAATTTACAATAAGTGTATCCTTAACAGCTGACAAATGACATGGCTGAATTTAATTTGTTTCCATATATATATATATATATATATATATATATATATATATATATATTTGTATGAAAAATGGGTTAAATTTTTTTTCAGAAAAAATGTGCGAAGTATTGGCCATCCAGTAAGGAGGAGGATGAACAATATGGAACCATTAATGTACATTTGGTAAGATACCACTTATTAAATATAAAATCCACTCTTGGTTTGTTAATTTGTTAGAGAATAGGGACATAAATGAAAATGCATTTACTAGCAATTTATATATGAAATGAAATTCAAGCACACATGAACCTTAGTTGAGTGAACTATATGAACTTTGGCATGATAAAAAAGGAAGTTTTTTTCCCCTCGTTGACTTATTTTTCTTGGGGATCTTCCTGAAACATATTTAAACTATTTTTGTCAAAATTACGCTGTCTTAAAAAGTACCTGGCACTGTCATAATTTGGTTGAATCTCAATGGGAACCAAATTTTGTTTAATATTAAGCATGAAATGGTTAGTTTTCACTATGAACATGATGAAATTGAATACATGTATTTCATTCAAAAAATATTTATTTTATGGAGAAAAAATATACTGTGGTTTCATTAATATTCGTGGGCATCAATTTTCGTGGATTTAGTAAAAATTACAGTTTCGAGGATACGTAAATTCGTGGATAATAGTGCTAACAGAAAAAAAAATCGTTTTCTTCTCATTTTTTCTCGCGCCTTATGCTTTAGCGGGAACCTTCATGCCATTTACAATGTTAAGAGTATGTAAATATTTAAAAAGAATTACATGTACTAACAGGTGAAAATTCTTTAATTTATTATTTATATATTACTCATCTGTATTTTTAAAAGTCGGAACCTTCAGGAGTTTACAACTCATGGTATAATAATTAAGGTTGAGGCATTCCATGTACCGTCTCCAATGTAACACTGTGAACTCGCATGACTAATTAAATATCGGATATTGAAACAGATTATTAAAAACAATTCAGACGTTTATTTAATCAACGTTTCGGGAAAAAGATGTGCAAGCATCTCAAAATATTAAGACATTTTGAATTTTATCTTATAGGCGCAAATACCTGCATACGGACGATAACTAAGTTGCAGGACTTTCGCAACATACATACCCGTTACATAAAAAAAAATGTTTCTAAATAAACAGATAAAAGACAAATTACATATAGCAATGAATTGTTTTGATAATTTGTATGAAATTAGCCTGTTTTGAACAGAGAGTATTTAAGTATTTCTACCTGAATTTTTATAAATTTTTTTTGTTTTCATTGTACAGGTGATAATGGGGGTTGGACCGTTAGATTGTTCGAGAATAACAAATTTAACACATTTGGAGTAATACCACTAATTGGTATGCACCGCGTTGGCAGATCTACGTGTGTTTTTCTTTAATCTCCGTGCAGAATATTAAAACATTTTTACTCAAAAAGTCCAGATCATTATCTAAAATTATTTCTTCCTCTTTTTTAACTGATAAAATACGTTTATAAGGTCAACCTGTTGGGAAAAGTGGGGGTTGCATATATTAACGAAAGTCGGAAAGGACTTTTTAAAGGTTTATTCTAAATCAAAATGGAGGCACCAAATTTCGATGAACATTTGATTTCGTGGATCGACTCAACAACGAAATCCACGAAAATTGGTGTTCCACGAATAATGATGAAACCACAGTAATTCAGTTTATAAATCTGGATTATAATTTTAGAATGGATATCAATTTTCAAACTTAGCCCCTATACCAGGTATAAGGGAAAGGTTGACAATGTGGAAATGTTGACAATGTGGAAACGTTGACAAAATTCACAAATGAATTAAGATTGTTAGTTTCTTTAATCGTTAAATTTATAATCATTGTTAAAGAAGAAATTGAAAAACTGCTGGAAGAATAATGTTTAATTTTGAACTGCAAACTTTGTATACTAAGAAATCATTAAATGTTCAACTCATAATTATGGCCTCTTTTTTCAGTAACTAGTCTTATGTTTGTGTTAAAATGTTGTTTGTACAGGTAAAAAATCCAGATACACCATTTACAAATAAAACGGATATAATTATGCAGGTTTTATTACATCCTAAATAGTTATAACTTGCATTTTCATTTATGTGATTTTGAATTTTTTTTCCACTGTAAGGTAGGAAACAAAAGAGAAAAAAAAACAAACAAACAAAAACGAAAGAAAAAAAAACCCAGCAGAGTTCATAAAATTGCTGATGTGGGTATGTTTAATGTTAAATATAGTTTCAGTCAAGATAAAATAATAACTTCTCTTAAGGACATACACAATGTAGTTTGAACTTTATTGTCTTTTCCCCTGGAGTTGAAGAGTTCCAATACTTAAAGGAACTGTGTGTTACAATTTAATGTGTATATATACTGTTGTACGCTTCTTCTAAAACAAGTTTGGATAAACAAAACATGTAGAATATATGTTTAGTAATTTTTGTGTATTTTTCTTTGAATTATACGAGAATTTTCAATAATTGATATCATTTCAAAAACCCTGGTAATACATGCTGATTTTTTGTCTACGAACATTTGATGGCACTGTAGTCTTAAATTAAGAATATCTTGAAAAATTATCAGTAGGTAAGGTACCTTGCGTATGTCCTTAAGTAACATTTAATATCCTAGGTTTTGTTTTTTTCTAGATACATGTACATGTATTTTGGAAATAAGAAAAATTTCCTGTTCAAAGATTTTTTGAAGTGATATCATACATATTGTGTATGTACATGTGTATATACCATGTAACTTAATATTTTAAATAATGAATTTACAATAGGTAGGGAAATAAATGACATTTTTCTATTAAATGCAAAATACAGGGTACTTTAATTTACAGTATCCATGTTTATTCATGTTTAACTTATTCCATGTGACAGAGTAAAAACTACACATTACTATACATGTGTCACTCTGCTTTTAAAATGATTTATAGTATTAGATCCATACAATTTACCTGCATTTTATTCAAAATAACTCTTAAATAATGAAATAACTGTAAATAAAGAATAACTGTAAATAATAAAATAACTCAAATTGTGCAATGACTTGGTTTGTTTTCATAAAGATTTAAGTATGTGTTGTGTATGAGTCATGAATCCTTTTTCTGTGAGCAGTTTGTATCACTGCAGACTAGGTACTGCAGAAATTCTGACATACTGGTGTTATATCTATTTTTACTGTAGCCAGCTGATACAAAGTTCTAGAGGAGAGGTTGTTTTGGGGATTTTTTTTTTGTTTTTTTTTTATTTTGGTGCAAAATTCCTCTTTGTACTGTCTGGTAACACTTTGATAGTTTGTTTTTATATTGAACTTTATTTATGAATTAGTGAATTGAAGACTGCCTTCCTAAAGTTCAAATTTATCCAAATCTGTCATTATACACACTGTCAGCAGGAACTGATGATAAGAATAACAGATAACAGCTGTAGGAAGCACATGAAGTGTAAAATTAAACTTTGACTCGCAGTTTTGTCAATATCTGCTAAATATGGACCTTCTGAATAAAGTACATGTGTAATAATTGATAAAATAAGATTTATTACACAAGCATGACAAGAGTGAATGCCCATTATCTCTCTCTTTGCATACCAAACTTGTGAAATTTACTTCACCTTGGAGCAGGATTCAGGTAGTTTGGACAGGGATATAAAAATCATATCATTTGTAGAGACTGACATGAGCCTCATAATCTTTGGTGATAACTTTTCAGCAAGAGGAGTTTTGGTTGGCAGATGACTGTGTGGAGAGAACGTTAGAGGTGAAGCGTGGTGGTCAGTCTGACCGTCGCATTGTCACTCAGTTCCAGTACACTGGCTGGCCAGACCATGGAATTCCAGATGATATTGATGTCATCCTGACCATGATCGCCAAAATGAGAGAAATCCGTTCCCATGACAAAAACTTTGCACCTGTTGTTGTACATTGCAGGTTCTGCAAAATTAAACATTTGGTTTAAACACAGTTTTATTTTTAGTAGTAATAAAATGAGCCCTTCTATTCTATAATGCAGATCTTAATAGAGACTTGAATATATATTAAATATGAAACTTAAGTAATACTCATATGGACAAATTCAGGGAAGAAATATGAAAAACATCATAAAATTTATGGTTCCAAAATTTTATTTACCATTGAAAGTGTAAACACAATAAAACTTGTCTTATCCAGATACTGTGTATTCCAAAAGCTTGCCTATTACAATGTTAACTCCCTTTAATGTTGTCTAATCTGAATGTTGTCTGGCCAAATGTAATGTATGTCCTATTATATGTATTCTAATGTACTGTTACATTTATGTTCACAGTGCGGGATGTGGGAGAACGGGAACTATCTGTGCTGTAGATTACGCGTGGGATGTTCTAAAATGTGGGGTATGTTTTGTTTAGTGATTTTTACTAAAATAAAGGGTTCATTCTTTAATTATTCTGTAGAAAAGTCTCAGTATGGAATATGTGAGTATTCAAAAGAAATTTTTGAAAAGTTATTATTTAATCATACATGTAATTTACCAAATATTCTTCAGTTATAGATACAGTGTAAACAAAATTGGTATTGAATGATATGCATTATGTTCAAGTTTTAAAAATTCAGGATTTTTAAAAGTTGAACGATTTAATAAGGAATGAGAGAGTGTTTAGTATATTTTTCTTTTGACTTTCCCAGAGGTTAGACTGTGATTTTGATTTGAATGAAATTGTGAAGAAAATGAGAGAGCAGAGGCAATCCATGATCCAGACACCAGTGAGTAGCATTCATTTCTAGTTCATTATTATATATGATCCAGACATCAGTGAGTAGCATTCATTTCTAGTGCATTATAATCTATGATCCAGACACCAGTGAGTAGCATTTATTTCTAGTTCATTATAATCTATGATCCAGACACCAGTGAGTAGCATTCATTTCTAGTTCATTATTATCTATGATCCAGACACCAGTGAGTAGCATTCATTTCTAGTTCATTATAATCTATGATCCAGACACCAGTGAGTAGCATTTATTTTTAGTTTTTTCTCTGAAACCGGTCAACCAATATCAACCAATTTTAGCATAAAGCATCTATGGGTAAAGGGGAACAAAAATTATGAATTTCATGGCCCCTGTCCCCCTGGGGCCTGAGGGGTGGGGCCAAAACCAATACAATTAATGTAGTCTTTAAAATCTTCTTCTTTACTCCTGGACATCAAGCAGTCAAACTGTTGGCATGATTGTAATAAGCATTGAGCCCTCTACCAAAATTATGAAATTGATGGCCTCAGGGTCAAGGGTTCTGGTGCTAAGGTGGGCTCTATTGATCATATAGTGAAAATGCAATTTTTCTACAAAAATATTTTCCTTTGCTCCTGGGTATTATGCAAACAAACTAAATGCATAGTTATGATGAGGAAGGTTGCCTCTTCCAAAATTGTGAATTTCATAGCCCCTTGGTCAGGGGTTCTGGGTGTTAGGGCAGGACTCTTATTATTATAAAGTAAAAGCCTCTGGGTTAGGGGTTCTAGTGTTAGGGCGGGGCTCTAATTATTATATAGTGAAAATGCATTAATTCTCTGAAAATCTTCTTCTCTCCCCCTGTATATAATGAAGATAAACTAGGTGCATGGTTATGATGACCAAGGGTGCCTTTTCTAAAATTGTGAATTGCATGGCCTCTGGGTTAGGGGTTCTAGTGTTAGAGCATGGCTCTATTGATTATATAGTGATAATGCATTAATTCTTTTAAAAAACTTCTCCTCTCCCTCAGTATATAAAGCAGATAAATTAGGTGAATGGTTATGATGATCAAGGGTGCCTCTTCCAAAATTGTGAAATTTTTGGCCCCAGGGTGAGGGGTTTTGTGGGAGGGGGGCTCTGTTGATCATATAGTGAAAAGAATTATTTCCTTGAAAATCTCCTCCTCTGCTCCTGGGCATCTAGGAGGCAAAAGTGTATAGAAAGTTGTAATAAGCAGGGGTATTTTTACCAGATTTTGAAATTCTGTACCCTTTGGTCATTTTATTAAATAGATTAACTTTTAAGATTTGTTATTGAGTACTAAATTAATATTTTGCTGATCCCTGATTATCCTATTTCTCTTGCTTTTGGGTAACATAGCTTTATTTATGAGCTTATTTTGTTTTAATCTATGGATTGTTACAATTTACTCAGAGGACCATTAATGAACTATACATTGTGGATTTTTGTACAAAGTGAATAATATCAACATTGAAATTTGTAGGCATACCTTGTGTAATTTAGAGACATGTAAAAAGAAATCATTTAATGATTTTTTTTTCTTATTTTCATCTGAAATTGATAGGTCACTGTTTATTTAAATAGTGCCTTATTCACATTATCAACAGCTGTTTGAGAAGGCTCTTATTGCTTCCTGTGTTTGAATTAATGATAAAGATCATAAATCAAGTAAAAAGATATGAAAAATACTGCAGAGTGCAAATTGTACCTTTACACCAGGAAATCCTAGAGGCTTTCCTTTTCCTCCATAGATGTAACATATCATAAACTAACTTCTCTATGTGATAGATTGGTCTTCGTTCTTATATGAATTACTACAGAATGAATTCATTCTCACAAACATGAAAAAAATAATTTCCTATTTTACATTAAAGAATTACAGAGATCCAAAGAAAGGTAGTGAGTTTGCATATTACTCTGATAGTTGCCTTAAAGATATTTGTAAAAATTTCCTAGGACCAGTATGAGATGGCCCACCGCTGTGTCAGGGAACTATTTCAGCAGCACATTGAGGCACTGGATGGCAATATTTACGCCAACTTTGAACCACAGCCTGGACACGTAAGAGACTTTATAAAGCTAAACAATCTGTCTTATCAGTTACTGTATAAATTGAGGAAATTCAAATGAAATCAATGCAAGGTGAAACTAAACACCTCTCCTTGGAAAATTAGCGAATTATGTCTGTAGTTTATTTTTATAAGTCCTGCAAATGATGTTGGGGGAGGGAACCCTGTAGAATCTTAGTCTTCATGGGAAACCAATATTCATGGAGTTTGTGGGTTACCCTTACTCCAAGATTTACATCCTCACAAAAAATTACTATTAAATTATTGAAGAGGTCTTTTAAATCTCTCTGTGTACATGAGTTACCCATGAATTACATCCCCACAAACCAGTGAAGTTTTGGTTGCCCATGAACATAGACCCCCATGAATTCACCCCCATGAATTAAAACAATTCCACAGTATAATCAGACTTATCTGTCTATCTGTTTAATCAGGCTTATCTGTCTATCTGTATAATCAGACTTATCTGTCTATCTGTTTAATCAGGCTTATCTGTCTATCTGTTTAATCAGGCTTATCTGTCTATCTGTATAATCAGGCTTATCTGTCTATCTGTTTAATCAGGTTCATCTGTCTATCTGTTTAATCAGGCTTATCTGTCTATCTGTTTAATCAGGCTTATCTGTCTATCTGTTTAATCAGGTGTATCTGTTTAATCAGGTTTATCTGTCTATCTGTTTAATCAGGCTTATCTGTCTATCTGTATAATCAGGCTTATCTGTCTATCTGTATAATCAGGCTTATCTGTCTATCTGTATAATCAGGTTTATCTGTCTATCTGTTTAATCAGGCTTATCTGTCTATCTGTATAATCAGGCTTATCTGTCTATCTGTTTAATCAGGTTTATCTGTCTATCTGTATAATTAGGCTTATCTGTCTATCTGTATAATCAGGTTTATCTGTCTATCTGTTTAATCAGGCTTATCTGTCTATCTGTTCATCTGTCTATCTGAATGTAGACATGTTTTGTGTATAGATTTTCTTTAAATCTATTCATTAATAAATTTTCAAGCTTTGTAGAAATAATATTATCTGTATTTACTTATGCACTTAAAATTATTAGATAAATTTGTTTAAATTTCAAAAATTGTGACATCAAAGTTTTATTATACATTAATTCTGTGATTAGAATTTTATTCCAAACTTTGAAGCCAAGAAAGTAAGTCGTGATTAGGGGTGTTTGTTAACCCTGTACAAAGGTCTTTATAATAAGGTCAGGGTCACAAGGTACAGTAGGGAAAACTTTGGAAAGGAGGTATTTTGGGTGTTAATTTTGCTGAAGGTTGCTTTTGACTAAAGAGCATGTCTTGATCTAAAATGGGTAATTTGGAAAAGGTCAAGTTGAGAGGTTTCAAAAATCTTCGCTATAACTTTGAAATGGATGGACATTGGAGGATTATACTTGGCAAAAGTTTGTGACCTGATGATGTTTAATAACAAACTGAGGTCTTTAAGAATTTTATATTATGGAACCTTTAAGAAATGCTCTGTCATGATTCTTAGCCAAAGTTGTTTAGACAAGGTCACATAGATCAGCTGCATCTTTCGAACCCTTGTTTTGGCCATGACATTTTATTGCTAGCTAGAATATGGAATGTCACACTTTCATACTCGACACAAAGGTTGTTTCTGACCGGAAGTGTCACATCCTTATATTTAAGCATGATTAAAGCCACATGATTGCAGTATTATTTTTTGTGGCTGAGTTTTTTTTTAATATTAGATAATTTCAGGTATGCCCCTTCGGAGGTCTAGTCCAGTTAAGATTTTTCTAATTCTGATTATTATATTTTGGTAACATGACCTATTAATTTTTTTATACTTAATGGCTTACATCTTATTTGATTCATACAATCTACCTGTCTCTATATAAAAGTATAAGTATTATGTAGGTAGAATGAATATGTGCATATTTTTGATTTCATTGTTGTTTTGAAGGATGAGTATTATAATGTGGAGCTAGATGGCCACACAGATCCGAGTGAGTTCTTACACAGTTTACTAAGTGTGAAACTAAAATAAACTGGACATTTTTCTAACAAAAATTAAATAGAATATGTAAAACAAAAGTAACAATCAAAAAACAAAATAAGTCTAAATTGGGAATGAATATTATGGATTTAAAAGTCAGTTGTCAAAAGATAAAAAAACAGATAAGTTTTTTGATTGCAGACAAAATCCTGTACAACACAGAAATTACCCGTTAAATGATAGAACTTTATTTACAGTAATATCCATACAAAAATTGTATTCTTCAGATAGGGAGGTGGACCCTTATGAAATGGTTGGAATGAACCAGAATCAAGCTGCCTTTACAGTCAGTGAGTCACCCAGACCATCAAACGTAGTATCCATTTTAGAAAGGGACGCCTTACAGACAGTAGACATGTACTCAACACCAGAAGCTTTTGAAGAGGCACTGCAGGACCTAAAGAAAGCTGCAGAGTCTGCACCTCGGAGGACCTCCTATCCAAAACCAGAACTTAAACCCAAACCAGTGTTTATACCAGAATCAAAAGAAGGGGTCACCCCAACTGGGTATGAAAACATTTGTGATGATGGAAAATATGAAAACATGAACAAATCAGACCATCTTACATTCCACCATGAAGAAAAAAGTCCCAAAATTCCTAGAAAAGACAAACCAGTTCTAATTCCTAAACCGGAAGAACCTTTAAAGACTGTTGGTTCAGGTCCCGTTTTTGTAGATTCTAGGAAATCTGGACCTCAATTTGCTAATAATAAACCATCTGGCCCAGTATTTCACCAGTCCCTTACCTCCAAAACAGGCCCTCAGTTTGAGGTGTCTTCCAACAATGGTAATTCTTTTCCACCACCAGTTAGTTCTAGGGCAGTTCCCCAGTTTGAATCCCCCGCCAACAGAAAATCTGATCATCAAGAATCCAATCATGCTAAATCAGGGCCTCAAATTTCACAGCAGCCCATGGGGCCAGTGTTTGATAGTTCTGATCCCAGCAAACCTAAAGTCACTCACAGACAAACAAGCTCAGGACCCAAAAACAAGACTGTGATAACAGTTAGCAGTAATCCCAGAATTTCTTACGTTAATAATGAAATAATGGAAGGAAAAACCAAAAGTGCTGTTAATCCTTCACGAAACTCAAATGGCTTACCACTAGCAAATGATGAATTATATGATAAAGCCAAACCTGTCCCTGATAGTCCCACAAGGAGTTCTCAAGAACCTGCTGTATATTCTCAAGTCAACAAAACAGACACATTTTCTAGAAGTTTTGGACCAACTATGAATCGTTTTGAAAGTACGTATGAGACAATCACAGGCGAGAGTTACTCGAAAAGAAGCAGCGACTCTAAGATCGGGGCATCGATGAAAAGTAATATTTATTCAGGTGCGTAGTTTCTTATAGAGATTAGATAATTAAACCACTGAAAAGAGTACTAATTTATTATTAAAAAAAATAAGTGACAAAAAAAAGAGAATATTCTATAAGAAATGAAATTGGTTTTGTGAAATAAAGAAGTACATGTTGTGCAAAGAAGGTAAAAATTCAGAATCAAGAATTTTAGACAATCAATTAGGAAAATGTGTGATAAAATTGATTATCTTTAATCAGGATTTAGAAGAATTAATCCATGAAGCTTATAGAAAATTCTAAATCAATATGTTTCTCTTCTCTTTCAGAGGTAGACCCTAGAAGTATGGTAAGCAACAACCATTATTCTTATGTATTACTATATGGAGGGAAATTTTCACCCCTGTATATTTTTCGCCCCTTTGTTGGATTTCTTTAATATATAGAATTATGGGGATTCATTGTTTTACGAGATTTTTTTTCTTGATACAGGACTCCAGCAGTGCCCCGCCCATTCCAAACAGGGGTTACAAAGAAGACGAACCAAAGGCCCAGCTACCCTCTCATACCATTCACGGACTCACTACATTAGAGAGGAAATCTGGTAAGGTCATTTATTAAAAAAAAAAAATTTACATCCTCTTTGTATTTCATAGTTTTTTTTATATAATTTATTATATATATGTGTCCTGCTATAACATTCATCACTATGTATGTAACCTGTGTTGTAGTCTTGTAGTATCTATAGTGCTTGTAATGAGTAAAAATAAAGATTACAATCAATTCACCATTGATGATTTTATAGGAGGATGTCACGACTGGGAGTTGTGAGACATTGTGCACAAACTGTATATAACATTTCTAATAAGTCCGCAAGATAACTTATGTAAAAAAAAAAAAACTATGTAGTCCATCCAGCCCATGAAATATTTTTCTTTAATAGATTTTCAAATTTGCTCGTTGCCATTCTATATTTGTTATGAAATGTTTTGTACAGTTCAGGTTTTTAAAATCCTTAGATATTGATTAAGATAAATGAGTTGAATTCAGTCTACAATGACTGAGATATATAAAACAAGGCATTCCCAGTTAATTTGTTTATATAAAATTTTGATTTCAAGTTTGTGGTAAGTTAAAAAGCATGATACCCTATTAAATGTATATTAGTATTAAAATGTGTGTGACCTTTCTTGTTAGCAGGGAAACTCACCTTATTGTATATACATGTATTTATTTGTGTACTATATTATAATAGCGAATGGAATGTATTTATTTATTTATAATATATAATGAAAAAAATTAAATCTCAAAAAACATTAATTAAATGCTTGTTTAAATACTAACACAAAGTATGGCCTGAATTAACACAAAAACTCTGAAATATATTCTACCGAGACTCAGTCGAAATAAATGTATCAATCTGTGTCCTTTGTAGTGAAGTACAATGAAAAAGTTACATACACAACCCAATCAAATGATGCACGTATGTTTTTTCTTATACCCAAGCACTTCTTTTTCATTGCATTCAAATATTGCTATAAAACATTTTTTGAAATACTAAATTTCATCAATGCGGCGCTTATTTTGATGTTTTCAGGTGACAAGAAATTGACATCTTATTCATGTATCTCTCACACAGTACATAGTACACACTGATGGGCAATAACTTTGGTTGCTGAAGCAGTGTTAAAATTGAACTTTGTTAATATTCACGCAGTACTTACATTAATAATACTCTAGGTCTTAGCAGGAGAAGAACGAGTAAGTTTTGACCTTGAATGTCTTCCTGAAAGCATGCTTCATGTGGTCACACGAATAAATGAGACATAGTGTTGTTTGCTTGCCCAAAAAGGTGTTTTTTAAAACAGCTTAGAAATGCTAGTATGAACACTTAGCCACAAACGGAAAGATATAGATGATGTTAAAGTGACATGTATGTTAACTGCTTGTTAAAAATCCTTGTTTTTTGCAATGCCATTGCCAGATGTTAACACACTTGTGACAAAGCTCTTTAAGATTTCACTGTCAATTTTGCTACTTTGAGACTCGTCATCAATTAATTTTTATGTTTATTTTTAATCATAGATTTCTTCTCAGATAATTTAGATTCTGTTACAAGTATATTGCGTTTCCCAAGTGAGGGACTGAGTGCAGGATTCATATTTCGTAAAAAAAAAAGATGACTGAATTTTAAATTTAAGAACAAATAGTATAAATGTAGTAATTTTCCAACTTGGAGACCCTCTCCATTCAAGCTATTTTCATGATAAAAAGGTTTACAGCTATCCATACAAAGATTATTGCTTTTGGAAAAAGATGTAAAACAAATGTAGGGAGTAGATTTACATGTGTATAAATTTATGAGTAAAAATTATCATTACATATGGTGAATGACACAATTATCTTTTGTCAGACTATGTTGAAATAGACATGGATTATAATGTCCTCACCAAGAGAGGTACCAGTATATTCAATACAGCTTAAAAATTTGCTGTTAAAAAAATAAGTTCTGCATAATGTAGCTTGCAATACATTTATGCTTATTGATTTTTTTGCTGGAGCTCAAATCAATGCTGCTTTAGGGTGCTTTGTATATATTATATATGTGATATATAAATCACAATTTTTTTTAAGGCCGTAGATCTATAAATACAAGTAGATAAAATGAAGATTTAATATTTTTTTCAATTAGAAATAGTCAAGAATTACTCAAGTAGAGACCTGCATTTTTTTACTGTTTCCTTAAAGCTTGTAGTAAATTTGATAATGTGGAAATAAAATGACATGCACATGACACTTAACAGTTGTATCACTTTCCAATCTTACCTTCACTGTGTTTCTGTTGACAAAATTCAAATTTCAGTATCTCTGTCCTAAATATAATTTTCTGATTGCACTCTCTTTTCTTGAACACAAACAGAAAAAGCAAAACCACAAACTTAAGTTTTTTTATCATTTGTCTCGGTTAGAAAATGGAAGTAATATTTTCTGTTACTAACTGTTGATTTATACCTGCAGATTACGTTTTGATGAGATATGAATGTATATATATATATATATATATATATATATATATATATATATATATATATATATATATATATATATATATATATATATATATATATAATGTTCTTTGCTTTAAGCCCTCTCTTAAAATGCACTAACAGTTTTTGATCACTGTAAAGTAATTAACAGGATCCGGTTGTATCAATATTTAATGAATAATTAAAGCTTAATTAAACTGATCATTTTTAATGTGTCATTAAATTCCGTTGTATCAATGTTTTAATGAACGAATCGATGCATTAAAGCTTCATTAACTTCTCTAATTTTAATGAAGCCAAGAGGGCTTCTTTAAACGCTCATTAACAATGGCGGCCAACGTAATGTTTGGTCAGTTGGGTAGAAGAAGAGCGGATAAGGTTTTTAGAGAACGTTTTTCTGTACAAAACATGAGTGAAGAGGAAATTCGGAGGCTGTATCGATTTGGAAAGGAATCAATAAAACAAATCGTGGACTTACTTGACCCAGTAATCAGCCATAGGACTAGGAGGTCGCAGGCATTATCAACAGAATTACAGGTATATAACTGATAGAAAAAAAACTCACTTTGACATGTACTGTCCATACGAAAACAGTCAACAAACACCACAACCTCCCATTTCCCTTGTTTTTTTTTAGTTGATTACGTCACATATTGCGTCACCTTGGTGGCGGATCCCATATAGTACAAGAATAATTAATAATTATTATACATATTATACATGAACATGATTATACATACATACATCTCATATTATTTGAATAATCTTGTTTGATTATACACAGGTGAACTGTGACGACAAAATTCTTGAGTGATTCTAAAATATTAGAGTTATTCCCCTTTGTGCATATCATGTAAGCATGTCACAGGTGCTTGGAAACTGAAGATCCGCAATTATATGCTAGTATTATTTTTTTTAGGGGGGGGGGGGGTTCTATATATGTCCTTGAACATGTATAAAACACCAACCGACTGTGTCTGGGATATCAAAGGCCAGCCGAATGTAAAAATATTCCGTTTTAAAATCAAAATGCTGTGGCTGTTTTAAAATCACGTTTTGTGATACATTTAGTGGAGTCGTCGGTGGGCCGCGTTCTGTAGTATTTGAATCATTTGAATCATTTAAAATCTTTCATCTAAGATTAATTAGACAATTTACGTAATATCTTCATTGTATTCGCCATCATTATGGAAATATACCGCATTAATGAGGTTGATTTATTTATTCAATATTATGAAAAATGGAGAAGGCCCACATTAATAAAATCTGTAACATAAATTACTTAAAAAAATGAACTAATATACATGTATATGCATATACACTGTACTACATTTGTATGAAATCCACATGCTGGTTTTTGAGGTCAATACGATGATTTAGACACCTGAGGAATACAATATTCACCGAGCCCGAAAAAAACAGCAATAATTGTTTTATTATATGATTCAATGATAAAATTACACACACTCATTAAGCAATCCAGTACTAGCCGAACATAATGAGAGAAACAGGGTTAAAAACAACAGTTGTATTATTTTGGAATTTTTAATTCTAGTTTAGGTGCAATGTAAATAATATAAATGTCAGGCATATATATAGGATTGATTTTGAAAAAGGGGGAAAAAGTGACAACTTACCTAAAAAAATCTTTGACTAGCCAACCCTCCCAAGGAAAGGAATTCTCCTGACTCAAATTTTTATTCGGTGGGAGGTAGAGGTCCATAAAAGAGGGAGGGGCTTTCATTGAAATATTTTATCCTTAAAATTTAAATTAAAACTTTACATTCTCAAAATGAAGGGGGAGGCGCAGACTTCCTGCCCCCCCCCCCCCTAACCCAACCCTCACCCGAGAATCTATGTGCCTTAATGTTATGTTCATATGAGTGGAAGTCAGGTGCAAGTGAGATAACTTTCCAAAACTATTTGCATCAATTTGGAATTTCCCTAAATATTTTCGGTCCAGTGTAGAATGCATAATTCCTGATATTGACCTGGAAAGTCACGTGCAGGTCAATGTAATGTAGTATTTTTCTAACATTGTTGGATCTCAGCCAATCAGAGATGGGAATTATTCAATCATATATATATATATATATATATATATATATATATATATATATATATATATATATATATATTATATATATATATATATATATATATATATATATATATATATATATATATATATATATATATATATATATATTACATAAAAATATGCAATTTCTACAATGGTAATTTTAATTGTTAATATGATAGGTCTTCACCATTTTCAAAAAATTACATTTCAAAGTTATGCCTTTATTTGAAAAATATATAAATAAATAAAAACAAACTTTTGCCTAAAACCGACCCTATTTTTCATAAGCATAAAGTAGTAAATCCATTTTTTTCTTAGACCCATACCAAAATAAAGTAGTGTAAATTGGAATTTTCTTGGATATTATTTTACAAATAATTTTAACTTATTTTAATTTAACTTATCTAACATAATGCGTGTACACCTATGTATTTTTTCCGCAGAAAAGTAAACATGAAACCAATTTGCAGATTATAAATTGCGCATAAAAAAGTCTACAAATTTTAATTTTTTTTTTTCAAATTTAGATTCTGATTGCCTTGAGATTTTATGCCAGTGGAAGTTTTCTTCAAGTTCTTGGTGACACAACTGGGGTCGACAAGTCAACAGTCTCTCGAATCGTTCTGAAAGTGTCGCAGGCACTGGTATCTCTTGCGCCCAGATTTATTAAATGGCCAACAGACGAGGAGCTAACCAGCATCAAGAGTGATTTTTTTAAATTAGCAGGCTTTCCAGGTGTTATAGGCTGTATCGACGGCACTCATGTGAGGATCCAAGGACCGTCAGAGAATGAACCAGCATTTGTGAATAGGAAAGGTTACCACTCAATCAATGTTCAAGCTATCTGTGATAATGCTGGTATGTAAAAATGAGATTTGATATGAAATATATACTTCTTTTTACGTAAGCTAGCGAGAGATTATTTGTTATTGCATTTATATAATAATATAAAAATTGTTTTAATATCATTACATAGGATAAAAATTGAATATTAGTGAGTACTTTTTTAAGAACCGAAGCATATTATGATACAGTTATGATTGTGAGTTTTTCGGAAACATATTGTACAGTAAAAGTAACCCAAAATAACCTTGGAATAACCCCCCCCCCCCCAATCCTCCCTGGGAAACGCGCACCTCTCATGAGTTGGTCAGATAAAGATGATGGAGAGTACCTTGTTAAGATGTATGCAACCCTTCCTAGCTGTTTCGCGTTTGGATAGTCTTTTTTATTTTTTGTCTGATCAATATTATTTTTACTCGACATTTTTAGCACGACCCCTTGCCCCTTACAGTAAAATTCATGGATCCGCCCTAGCACTTGTAGTTATTGTGCCTTTTTGATACAGGTAAATTTACCAACATCGTGGCAAGATGGCCAGGTAGCACGCATGATAGCCACATATTTAACATGAGTGGAATAAAGCAAGATATTGAGCGGGACTTCCGCTCTATCAATGATGGCATCATATTGGGCGATAGTGGGTATGCCTGTAAACCATATCTTATGACACCATACCTCCGACCCTCCTCTCAGGCCGAGGAGCGCTTTAATACAGCGCATTCTAAAACACGCGTGACCATTGAGAGGACATTTGGCTGGTGGAAACGACGGTTCCACGTCCTTCATTCTGAAATCAGAATGAAGCCAGAGAGAGTGTGCACAATTATTGGTAAATATATAATTCGTTAATATACTGTCATTTATAATTAACCATGCGCCTGATACAGAGAGAAGGAAGCAATTCAGAGAGTAAAGATCATAAGTCAAAGGTCAAAGTATGCACAGGTGAAATTTCAGGGTTTGACATTAACTTTTATGAGTACTAGACCAGTCGGGCTACTTCCCATAATTTTTACTAGCCCTGACCGTAAAATCACTAGCCCTGACCAAACCTGCATTTTTTTTTCTTAAAATTGCTAATTTTAATGAGGTAATTTTGAAATTGTTTCAAACTAGCCAATTGAGCCGGGTTTATCAAGACATGCGAGTATTGTAAGCTTTAAAGATCATTCAACGAACTTTAATAATTTTTTCATCTTAAATATTAATAAATTAATTGCAGAATATATTTTTTCAGTAACTTTTTATACCATATTGATACTGAAGGACGCTAGTTTCTACCGCGGCTTGTCTATTACAGCCGTGGCTGAAAATAGCAATTGTGTCATACAGAGATTTTTTTTATAGAATGATATCTGTGTTTACAATCGCACAAATTAAGAAAAATTCTTAAAAAAGTTTATTGAATATTTATTTGAAAGACTGAAATGGGTTTTAACAGGTATTTTATTAACACGACCAATCGGTCTAGTTCACGTACATTTTACACGACCGGACCACTCATTTACTAGACTGAGTCGGTCGGACGTGCCTTAGTGTCAAACCCTGGAAATACTGAACCTTATCCTCTTTCATTTAAAAGTTATGAGCATATTAAAGTTTATGTTATAGTATAAGTGTATTTGTGACAGAGAGAAAAATTGACAGACGAATAAGATTACATGTACATCATAATCTTATATGAAATGCGTTTAAATATAGTTTGACAATGAAGTTTAAATCAAAAAATTAAAAACTTTACAATTTATGTATGCATTTGTTTCCATAACTACACTTTAGGTGCTTGTGCAGTTTTGCATAACCTGGCTATAATGTACAACGAGCCACCGATGGATGAAGATATAACTGTTAATGGAAATATACAAGGAAATTACAATGGACCCGAGGATGGAAAGAACATCAGGAATTACATCACACAACATTATTTCTAGATAGGACAGTACTTCATTGGCTAAATACTCCCATTCTACTGACGTAAATTTTATCTCTCTAAACAGAATTTTAAACAGGATTTTAAAATTTGAAGAACCTTCACTACAGAACAAGTTAAGGACCCTCTAGACTATACACTGATAATAATGTTTTTGGACACCAAGAATATTATATCGTATAAAGGTGTAAATACTGAGTTTTATTTTTATATCATTTTCAACACAGGGTAGTAGTCTAGCCATATACAACCAGGAAAAATGTTCAAAGCCTACGATGTATTGATTGAAAGAAATCACTGTCGATCGCGCACTAAATCGGGAAAATACATGAACATGAACACGAAGTCTTCAGTTAATTTATGAAATTGATGCTTAGAATTCTTTAAAAAAAAAAAAAGAACTATTTGATAACATGATTCATATATTTATTAATCTTCATTGGATAAATTTAACTCCAATCGCAATTTTTTATTCATTAATTGGTAATAAATTGTTTGCTCCTGTATCTTTTTCTTCTGTTCTACCAAAACTTCGTACTGCATTCTTGTAACATCTTCGGGCCTTATTCTTTTACGTTGACCTCGATCATTTGGAGTTCCCACTTTTTTTGACCTACAATGCACAAGGGTAAACTTTTACAGTTGTGATTGTGCATGCGGGATTGAAATTCAGCGTTAACGTATGTATGTAAAATTACCTTTTTATGATTAAGAGTAGCTTATGAAGATCTTACCAAACTAAATAAATCTATTATGTACTAGTTCATATACTGATACACGTCTATGCATTATAATGTACATTTGAAAAAATAAAATTAAAAAAAAATAATAAATTTTGGGTAATTTTATGATTAAACCATGAAATGGTGAGCAAGTTATTGTATTTTCTACGGTTGAACTGTTCATTTAAATTACTAATTTTCTAAGTTTTATTACATGCTTGACTCCACACATGTCTCCATGCTTGTGGCTGCAGTACTAGTTTTATTTTCTATGCTGGTTATTTCTTCCACCATCTGATCGGGCGAGCAATGAGTCTCCTGGATTGGTGTGACTTGTTCTGGCTGAAGTTTTAATTCATTTTGCTGGTGGTCAAGTGGAATCAGCAGATCAGTAAGAATTGAGACGGTATTTGGCGAGCCAATCAAATTGATGTTGCTTTCATCTTTGGTTACAAGTAAAAAAAAAAAAGAGATAATACTAGTACTACAGTATACCATAAAGGTTTTAGATTGACATCATTTCAAACCACCCTCATTGCCATGCGCAGACCTGGGGGGGGGGTTTCCAGACACCTTTGAAGTTCTTTGGAGGAGTCATACATGTATATATGAAGCTTGAGAAGCGAAGAAAAGACGCTCAAACAGCCCCCCCCTCCCCAACTTCATGTTAGATTTGCGTTCTAAATTTTAATTCAACAAAACAAATTAATTGAATTATAATGGGAGTAAAAATGAATTTGATGCCCGCATAAATTAATTTTTGCTCTTACCAATTCTAATCAAGTCAATCGTTGTCATTTGCACACCTGTGAAAACTACTGTAAGCAAAGGGAGAAAACTACTCCAATTTGTTTGTCTATACTGCCTGACCCTTTCAGAACCTCTTCGCAGATTTATATTACCGATACATGTTTACTATTACTTTACACAATATTTCTTATGACATATAGATGATTTTGCAACTTGATTCCGATGAACTTATATACCCCCCCCCCCCCCCAAAAAAAAAAATTAAAAAAAAATCAAACCCTTATTTATCAATCCTTGTATCTGGTCCATATAATATTTAATATAAGTAATTTGTATTTTATATTTCTTGCAAATTGAGAACTTTAACTTACCAGGTGCCTGAGTCTCGAATCCGGATAATCCATTAAAAGTTGGAGAATCTTTGTAGATATCAACGATCTTTTCGCTGACTGTCGAAAGAGGTTTTGCGCAGGGTCCTCCCCCTGTTTGTCTCTGTGAAAGTTTGTTGTAGCTGAATTCCTTTTTTGCCGTCTGATGCATATTGGTCCATTTGGTTTTAATCTCTTTAGTAGTGCGACTTGAAACTCCTAACGCATTTATTTGCGCTGTGATATTATCCCATACTTTTTTCTTTTTCTCATTGGTAACACTATTGGTTAGTTTGCTATTAATGATGTTAATATTTCTCTCCACCAGTTCGGCTAAAAGTTGAATTTCACTAGAATCAAAATTTTTCCCCCGATTTCTATTACATTTAAATTGAATTCCTTCGGTCATTGTAGCACAATTTTTTTTATGAAATTACGTTTCTTTATGTTATTACCTTCAAGACGCTCACAGACTTCATAAAATGACGTAATTTATTTTTTTTGCGTCATAATTAAAAACCGCGACCATTTTGGCGGACTTTTAATTGGTCTTATAAGCTCATTTATTAAATAATTGGTACGTGTATATGTTAAACAAAGGAAACGCCCACGGAAACGCCCCCGGAAGTGGAAACGCATTGCATTGCGGGATATTACCCTAATGTTAATAAATCTTTAATGAATTCTTAAATATTTAATGAATCATTAACTAATAAGACTCTAATAAAGGTTTTGTACAACACGTTTTAATGCCTTCATTAACTAATGCATCATTAGGAAGTTAATGATTCATTAGGCTTAATAACTCATTAAAGTTAATAAACCGTTGATACAACCGAATCCAGTTCATTAACAGTTATTTCAATTAATTTTGTTCTGATGGAGGATTAGTTAGTAAAAGCTTTTTAACTTCAATCTCCTAATAAAAACCTATTAATCAGTTGGATAAATGTTACTTTCCGATTCCCATTTTAGAAAACTTAATTATCAAAATATTTATTTCAGCTGGACTTTTTAAAGGTTTGCTTTGTGAATTCCAGACACAGTTCTGTCATATTTTTTTAACTCTCTGAAGTGTAATAAACCTTTACTCAACACATGTTCATTAAATGATATATGCATGATTTGATATATTTCATGTCTGTTATCACCTTTAACTTGCACAGGTAAACATGTCCAAAACATCTTTCAAAACATTTCTTTACCATAAAAGACAAGCAACATATATTGAACTTGTGTTCACAAACGGATCTTAAATGGTTGTTTCATATTTGGATAATTACAATGTTTAGCAATCATAAAATTCGATATATATGCTTACAAATGAGATACAAGTATATGGAGATAACGAACAGTATTCAAGCTCAATACTCCATTAAACAATACAAATTATGGAGCAAACGTGGACCTCTAAAACATCAGAGGTAGGATCAGGTACCATGGAGGAGTGAGCATCCCCTGCCGACCGGTGACACCCGCCATGTGCTCCTTGTCATGATCGGGAAATAACGAAAAAATCCGTGGACAATTCATTGTGTAAATAATGGCCTAACAATTAGTATGAAAAACGTCAGCCAGCATTTGACTTAATGATAAATTGTATTTGCATACAAGGTCATTGTATCGATCATAGAACTTACGAAATGACGACTTTAAACGAGACTGCTGATATTCTTGTTTCATCAACTTGTTTGTCAATAGCTTACCTCGTCTTAGAAATTGTTCATACGTAGAACAAGCTCTTGGGTATGTGTTTCAAGCATATGTTGAACATATGTCTGAAACATATGACATGCATATCGCTAAAAGCTCATATATTGTAACTTATGCTGAACCTATGCTCTGTTGCTTGTTTTATAATGGAAATAATTATGCAATCTGAATGTGTAGGAAATTCAAATTAGCCAGCTTTCAATGATAATTTATGTGAAATCTCCTTAAAATAATTATGAGTCTCTTATCCACCTATTGGCATGATATATTTATATTGTTTTTACACATTTATTACAAATTAAAAGTCTTCTTCCGTGTACTTCTCTTGTTTTCTTATTCACCAAAGACAAACTTCCAAATTCTTACTGGAAATAAGACCAGAGTATGTCTCCCTTTTTGAGGTAGGGGTAGCACTTTTCTTCTTTGTCTTGATTGGGGCTATGGAAAGTTTTCTTAAAATCAACGTTGTTCTTGACATGCAAGAAGTAAGATTTTCTACAATCATCAGTGTTTCCTTTTGTTATATGTTAGATCTTACCTTTGACTCCTTTCTCATTAAAACTTATTATATATCTAAGAATTTTTAATTCTTAACATTTTTGGGGGGGTAGGGGGGTGGGAGGAGGGGGCATTCTGAAGATAAACTTCAGTAACTTCTTTTGTGGTGATATGTTGATAATTCTGAGAGGTAATTATTTTAATTGTGTCCTGTTGTAAAACAGATATTATGAAGCTGAGGAATGACATGTCTATCTTTTACTACAATAAGTGTCGCTCAGTATTATCAACAAACATTTCTCTTCTGCTCTTAAAATGAGTGTCACTCAACATATCAACAAATATCTATCTTCTACTACAATGAGCGTAGCTCAACACATCAACAAATATCTGTCTACTACTACAATAAGTGTCGCTCAGCATTACCAACCAATATATCACTTTGATTGTAAAATCTATCAATCTAAAATAACAGAAAGAAGCTATTTTAGAGTCTTAAAAAACAAAACTAAAACATCAATGAAAGCATTTGTTCTTAGTAAATTTATAAGCACTTAAGTAATTATGCTAGGTAATATATGGTTAACCTGTGATAAAAAGTGGTTTTTAAATGTATTACTGATGTGAATCCTTGTCTCCAGAAGTGAATTAAGGTGATTGTAAAATGATCTTCCTCTTTTCTCTTTCATGCCAGGTAACAACGCTTTATCCAACCTGAAGCACAATATTAAAGATAAGGTGTGTTCAAACTATGAAATAAAATAAATACAATACAGTAATGTAACATCATTTATATTTGTTTAAATTCAAGAAAGAATTATGTGATGTTCATAAACTGACCAATATGCATCATGCAAGGTTTGAATTATTTTATTATTATGAATGTTTTAATTTTTTTAAAGACATATTTTTTAAATGTATTTTTACCAGTAAGATTTTACTTTTATTAACGTACAGATTGTTTTCTTACAGCTGAACATAGGGAGTAACACTGAAGGTTAGTAGAAACATGCACATAATTAATCAAAACATTATTTCAGTTAATGAAGGATATATTATTCTTTGAAAAATATTTGTAGTTTCAGAAGCAACATGTAAATTACATTATAATAAATAATCATGAGATACACAGCTAGGTACGTTAACATAAGGTAGAACGTTTTAAGAAAAAGTTTTCAGACAGTCAAAGAAAAGGTAATCAAACAGCCAAAGAAAAGGTAATCAAACAGCCAAAGTAAAGGTAATCAAGCAGCCAAAAAAAAGGTAATCAAGAAGCCAAAGAAAAGGTTATCAAACAGCCAAAGAAAAGGTAATCAAGCAGCCAAAGAAAAGGTAATCAAACACCCAAAGAAAAGGTAATCAAGCAGCCAAAGAAAAGGTAATCTAACAGCCAAAAAAAAGGTTAAAAAAAAACAGCCAAAGAAAAGGTAATCAAACACCCAAAGAAAAGGTTACCAAACAGCTAAAGAAAAGGTAATCAAGCAGCCAAAGAAAAGGTAATCTAACAGCCAAAGAAAAGGTTAAAAAAAAACAGCCAAAGAAAAGGTAATCAAGCAGCCAAAGAAAAGGTTACCAAACAGCCAAAGAAAAGGTAATCAAACAGCCAAAGAAAAGGTTAAAAAAAACAGCCAAAGAAAAGGTTATAAAACAGCCAAAGTCAAAAGTTATCAAACAACCAAAGTAAAAGTTTATGTAACAACGAAAGAAAAGGTAATCAAATATCCATAGAAAAGGTTATGAAACAAAAGGAAAGGTAATCAAACAGTAAATTGCCCATTTCAGTGCTCCCTTATATCAAAATGGTGAGCATGCGAGTTATTTAACCACAAAATTGTTGGTTTGAATGAGCAAGAAAGACTTTTTTGTCTGCATGAAGGAGTTAATAGAAACCAAAAATGATAATTCGTAATACCTTGATGAACTAAGAGGAATTCTAAATCTTACGAGCTTTAGTTAACATTTTTTTCTGCGTCTTTACTGTTATAACATAGAATGAAAGTAACTTGGTAGAATATTAACATTAAGACTGCTTAAAACGCTTTCTTGATCACACGAGTAAGGACTTGACATGTATGTGAACTACAGGTTTGACAACTAATAGCACATGGTGTGAGTAACTATATCAAGAATTAAACGTCTTTTTTCCTTTTTTTTTTATCTGTTCAAACGTTAATTTGTGTATCTTCTTGAGGTATGAAAATATATGTTTTCCTATTTCATTATATTCTTTTCTCGTATTTAAAATAGCGGATGAAAATTCTTGGTACCATGATCATTAACATATATTTGAAATAAAACTTATTTTTACAACTTTTGAAAGCTCTGTGAAATTTTCTAATTAGAACTGCATGTTATACCTACAAACGTGGTGAAGAATAGGATCCGCGTAAGTTAGACGCTTAAATGTCATTACTTACCGTTGTTGTGGTTTCTTTGCTTATTACTAGCGTAACATTGTAAAGAAAAATGGTAGTGTGTGAGAACACTGTAAAGAGAGTTGCTAGAATTACTAGTAATTGCTTCACCATCTGATTTAGACTAGGGACAAGTCTCTTGATCAAGTTTTTGCTTCATATAGTATGGTATCGAGGCCAGTAGTATTTTTTGTTGTTGTTGCAGTATTTGTTATTATGTAAATTTTCTTATGGAAGATGCTTGTCCCCATTTTTTGTTGCTGTACGATAGAACAGTGTAAGTTATTATTTGGAAGCTGCTTGCCCCCGCCCCCCCCCCCCCTCACCCCCCCCCCCACCTTTTTTTTTGTTGCTGTACGGTTAAATGGCAGATTCAAGCATATAAAAGAATTAACTGTAAAATTCGAGAAAAGTCCAAGTGGTCCCATGCCTCCCTCGAAATAGGATTTACGAGTTTTAGCAGCTACTTTTCTTCATTAGCTTGTCCTCTTTTTATTTTTGGAAGCCCCCCCCCCCCACACACACACACAGACACACACCCCACACACTTTGAGAAACGTTACTACGGGCTTGTTCTAATTTTGATGAAAGACTGAATTTTATATCAAGTATCAGATTAATATACTCGTTAAAAACAAATTTTGCGAGAATTTTTAGGTGTATTGTGCAGGGTTTGAAAGTATATCACTGCATGATGAGATTTTTAACACTTCTTTCAGTTGTGAATTTCTCTTCAAAATCATGGCCAAGAGTTTTAATCTGCTATTCTCATATTTTGAATTTGAAAATTTTAATTATTGCTTCAATTTATTGCTTCTCGAAATGAACGATATATACTTTATTAGAATTTTCAATCGTACCATAGTAAACGTTGAAGATTGTAAACCAAATAAGTATTTGTAAGTTGTATATTTATAAATACTTATAAATGGACTGATTTAAAGACAGATTAAAATTCCTTGGCTGCCACATATAAAGATTAACACTCATTTAAGTCATGTCACGTATAATCACATTGTTTGCTCTCATAGTGTAAATTCCTTTATATGGATGATTTATTTCAGGAATGTTTTTTTTAAGTTCTGTGTGAGTAATTGGTATGTAAATCACAGACTTGTCACTTGGGTATATTTCATGAAACGTGCATGCCCATGTGCACGTCTGTATGATTTACACACCAATACCTCAGACAAAGCTTTTTTTTTTTTTTTTTTTAAATCCTTATATTTACAATATACATGTTTAAAAGCACCAAATTACACTCAAAATTTGAATATATCGCTGCCCAATATCGCTGTATTTTTATCAACGTCTCTTTAGCCTCACTGTGACGTCATTTTAGCGCAAGTTTCTCCATGTATATTTCTACGCGTGAATATACACAAAAATTGTATTCAAATCACTTGATTTAGTAGGGAAAAAAAAGCAAATGTAAAAATTTAAATCATTTAAATATTTTAAAGAATATACAATTATGGACTCTTCCAGTGGTGGATATAGTTTGTTATTCACCAGAAAAATATCGATATTGACCGAGGCGAAGCCATATTCACCACCGAAAGAGTCCGTAATTGTTTTATTATATAGTCTGGATTTGAATAAATAAGGCATTGAAGGCTGCATGATGATACCACTTTTATTTACGAACTTCTGTTGTGTTAAAATAAAAAAAAAATGTCCAGATTACAAGTAATAACTTCCGTGTTTTCCTTTTGCTGTTTGTAAGACATCGAAATGTTTAGAAAATAATCCTGCGATAGGCTTGGCTTATGTTTTTCCTGCTCAGATAAACAGCTGGCTCCGGCCGTTGCAACCATTGTTTACAACTTTGTTTAAGGTGTTGATTGTGACGTCACAATGCCGCTGCACGCGCACCGCCCCTCTGGTGAATACGGCTTCAAAACCAGTGAATATGTAGTGTTATGAACTGTTTGCGTTTGTATAGATTATATAAGGACTATAAATAGACTATATAATAATACAATATATTGTTGTGACAGGTTATTTTTTATTCTATATTTAAATGTATACTAGTATTTGAAAAGGTATATTTTAAGATTTCGTTTCATCTTGTCTTCTAGAATGTAAAATATAGTTGTAGCACTGTACAGTTGGTTCTTGGCTGAAATATAATGATAATTTAAAAGCCAAATTGTTTTGTATTTTACCTGAAATTGTCAGTGTAAATATCATTATTATAGAAGAAGAAGAGAAATTACACTAAAGTAGTTAGCAAAAAAAAAAAAAAAAAAAAAAAAAAAAAAAAAAAAAAAATTATAAAAATTTATAAAGATAACTTTTACAATTAATATCTTTCTTTTATTATTATTTATGTATTTATTTGTTTTAGACTTGGGGACAGATACCAGTCACATCCCAGGTAAGGATTTTTTACTTATGAAAACGGTGAATTATCACTCCCAGGTAAGGATTTTTTACTTCTCATTAAAACAAGGATTTTAACATCTGTTGAAAACCGTGAAAAATTATGGCTAGTAAGGATTTTTAACATCTCATGAAAACTGTGAAATATCATGCCAAGCAAGGATTTTTAATATCTCATGGAAAAGAGTGAAATATCATCCCAGGTTAGGATTTCAATATCTCATAAAAACTCATTAAAAAATCATCCATGAATAACAGGTTCAGTTTCAATGTATGTGAAAATTAATATTTGAAAACACACACCTGACCAGCTATTACATTTATATTAGGTTAGCATTTGTTTAAATTTGACGTCTTTTCAGGGTTTAACACAAGACTCGACAAAAAGCCTGGTGGACCAAAAGAAAAGCCAAATTTTTGGAAGAAAATCCTAAAATGAATACTTCATCAAGTCTTTCATTAAATCATAACATATCTTAATTAAACCATTATTTTTGTACTTTTATATATATATTTCTGAAATTGAGTTTGTATTGTTATAAACCATTGTTCATGGATTGCGGAAGTTGCATTGTGTAAAAAGTAAAAATATTTTGAATCAATTATACAAATATTAATTTGCCATGACAATTTAAAACATATGTAAAGGCACTCTTAGTAAAATTTTAATCAAATGAGTATCTTCAGCAAACATTTTTAGCTTGGATCGAAGGGTACTTCAAAAATCTCCATTTTGATTAATGTTCATTTTATGCAATCTTGCTGTTTTTCTTATTTCAGAAAAGAGTATTTAAAAAGTAATTAATATTGTGTAAGGTAGATCAGATAACTATGAAATATTGCTTAGGATTTTTTTTTTTTATAGATGAAGGGTTTATTTGGATTTTGTATTCAGTTGCTTTAACTATTTAGACAAACAGCTCCCATTGTTGAAAATCATTATTGGATTCATATATATAGTTTGCTGAAGAAATAGATATATTAACAGATAAGTACTTGAAGCTGATTTTACAATATTGAGACGGACTTTGGTTGTACTGTACGTACCAAGAGGAGGGCTCAGTTGTACCAGCAATTTGATTATACAAGGAAGATGTGTAGATAATTTATTTACTTTGTTATGAAATACACACCCCAATAAAAGTGTAAAGTGTAAATTTTTGCTTGTCATCAAATTTACATCCAAATAGATTAAGTGCACATTTATGCTTTACAGATATATAGCTTAAACTTCTTTACATAAAGGTGGAACGTCATTTATTGTAAGGAAGAAGAACATATCCAGTATTTACAACATTGTACAATTTCCAGTATCTGGACTTGAAAAGGCTTAACTTATAATTTTGAAATTGTTAATAAAAATGAACAATGAAAAAATGGTATGAATAGAAAATTTTAATTCATAATTCATTACTGGAAATTTTAATTCATAATTCATTACTGGAAATCCAGGTCTTCAAGGGGGGTGATTCTGAATTAAAGCTATGAAAAAAGTAGATGTGCTTGCAGCCTGTACAAATTCACACTATTTATATTGATTGTAATTTATACAAAAAAGCCTTGTTATAATTTATATGTTTTATATACATCTGTTTCTTATTTAAATAAATATTGCACCTGAGTTTTTTTTTTTTTTTTTTTTTTTTTTTTTAATAATTTTTTCCCCTATCTCCTACTGCTTGGAATTAAATGATAACAGAAGCCATAAGCTGATTAAACAGACTGAGGTTGACTTGGAAAATAATAATAATAAAATGCGTTGCTTGTGGTTATCGAAGGTTCTTTACTCTGCAAGCACGTAAAAAAAATCAAGATTGGTAATGTTCTGAGTGTTTCAGACTGGGATTGAATTATATAATCGGTTGGAAGAAATTAATAAGCAACAAATATATTTCTTGTATCCAGATTTCATTATAAACTTTTAATCTTATGTCCCAATTGAGCCTCATGCACAGAGACAATAGATTCTGATCTTTGTATTAATATACAACAGAATGAAACGCATAAACCGTACGTGTACTTGTGTACATTAATAAAATGAAAACTTTTTTGGGATGTAAATGTAAATTGGAATTGACGATTCTTTATGTCTTGAGACCGTGTTTTACAAAGACCTGATCATAAATAATTAAAACGTCGATCCTTAATTTAGTTATTGACAAAACCCAATCTAAATTCAACGTGTTGATATTCATTTTAATTAGCCTACATTTCTTTTCAGATTTTTTTAAAAATAAACTTGAAATATACACCTGGAAATAAATTGTTTAAACTCTTTGTATATAAGATGGAATATTTCAAATGATAAACGACTTTCAAATTATGATTAAACTTCAATACCCTGTTGATCCTTGCATCGCGGATTCGAATCCCACTGTGGGACGTGGAGACTGGTCCTTCGGATGAGACCGTATAAACCGAGGTCCCTTGTCGCAGTAGGTGCTGGCACGAAAAAGATCCCTCACTGCTCAATGGCCGTAAGTGCCGAGTATAGGACAAAATTTGCAGCTCTCCACCGGCAAGTGGTGGCATCTCCATAGGAGTGAAAAATTCTCGAGAGGGACGTTAAACAACATACAAATAAACAAACAATTCCCTCATATCTAGTCTTTCGGTTCTATTCATCCATTTTTTCCTGAATGAAAAAGTGTGATAGCTAAAACACTCCTGAAGAAGTGATGAAAAATGCGAAGATAACAATAGTGGTCAACGTATTTGTCAGTAGCCTGACTTAATTTAAAAAATTGATTACGAAAAGAATATGCTCTTGCATACAAAATTGTATCTGAGACATTAACGCCTTGTGCATGTGAAAGTTAGTTATACATGTACTATATACGAGGGTTGTCCATAGAGTTCGTGGACAAATGCTATAATTTTCTAAATAATTACCGCACTGCCAAACGTGTATGATATTTTAATTGGGACCATGATTTAGTATATATATAAACATTAAAACAAAACAAACTAATTTTCGAATGTTATAGATGTAAATACTTTGTATATGGAAGCCGGACGGCCCAGTCCCACGTAAAGCTAATTTCATGATAACGTCAAAAATACGGATTTTGATTTTTTATTACATGTTTACGGACACAAGCTACATTTTTTTTTATTATGCCACACTGCCAAGTGTGTGCGTTAATATTTATGTATAGACCATAATGGATTTAATTTTTAAAGTTCAAATTGATATACGATAATTTAAGAGCGTAATCAGGATAAACACTTCGTATACACAGGCTTCGCAGCACAGTTCGGCATTGCGCTAAGATTTATAACAAAGTCATGAATAATGATATCCTATTCATTAAATAACAGTGGTTTTTCACTTCTTGTAGTGTATCCAAAATTGTAACCACCGTTGAAAAATCGTATATACCAATTTCAAATCAATAAACTAATTTCAAGTTGTTTGAATAAATACTTTGTCTCTGACGTCGTTTTAACCATATTAAAACATAATTTTTTGATTGGACCGGTTCCGTTCGGATGGCCTGCGTCACTTTTTCTGTCAATTTTTGAAACGTATTTCTTGCTTTTTTTTTTATTATTATTTTTTATTTTTTTTATTTTTTTTTTTTTATAAATATTTTCACTATCTCTATAGTAAGCAATACTTAAGATATCTGAAAATGACGATAGCATCTTTATTTGCAACACATTTAATTTTTATTAAGCCTTGACTTGCTTCAAAAAGAAAATAATCATTTTATTCAGAACACTTTATTTCAAAGTCTATGGCATATTAACCCTGGGCCGTGCACACCATCTGCGACCTTTAAAGACCTCCATTTTTACAAAAATATGAAGTTCAAACAATCAAAATCAAACTATTCTGTCTTGGATTTTCATGACAAATATCTTGATATACAATAAGTATATCTAGGACCATTCATTTTGACAAAAACGTCATCGTCTACGAACTTTATCGACAACCCTCGTAAATAGGGAACGTTGACGATGGAGAAGCTGCGGTCATTCGTCATATAGTTTAGTTGTAAGTTGATCATTTACGTTACAGTTCAGATATGAAATAGAATTGACAGAATATGTGGTGTTTTATTTCGATGTCATTGAGATATATTAATGAAAGTTAATATTGAAAATTGATAAACTGTTGTTGATATATGTTAATGTCGAATTAAAGGCCACTACAATAAACTTCTCCAGTCCATATTTTAAAATATATTTTACACAAATAGTGCCCATCAGATGACGTCAAGAAGGAACTCCAACATCTTTTAATATGACCTTTAGAATATTTATGCATAGAATCATTATGATCTTTAACAAAGTTAAATTTTTAATGGTATAAATAACAAGAAATGAAAATTTCCGAATTCGAATTTTATTAAGGAAGCATTTGTGTGAAATGTATGGAGATAACAGAATTCAAGCTCAAAAGTCCATTAAACAATACAAATTTTGAAGCAGAGCAAACATGGACCCTCTAAAACATCAGAGGTGGGATCAGGTGCCAAGGAGGAGTGAGCATCCCCTGCCGACCGGTCACACCCGCCATGTGCTCCTTGTCATGATCGGGTAATGACGGGAAAATCCGTCGACAATTCATTGTGTAAATAATGGCCTAACAATTAGTATGAAAAACGTCAGTCAGCATTTGACTCAATAATAAATTGTATTTGCTAACAAGGTCATTGTATCGACCATAGAACTTACGAAATGACGACTTTAAACGAGACTGTTGATATTCTTGTTTCATCAACCTGTTTTTTAATAACTTACCTCTTTTAGAAATTATTCATACGTAGAGCATGCTCTTGCGTATCGAATCAACTGAGAGATATAAACCCCGTATGCAGGTGATGAAGGTATATTCTTGCATAAGTAAGGGAAGTTGACGATTGAAAAGTTAAAGTCATCACGTTTATCATAAAGCTTTCTTGTTAGATTACCATTAACGTCTTTTTCTAGTAAAATATCCAAATATGAAACAGATGTGTCAGATTCTGTGGTATCTTTTATTTCAAGCTCACTGGGATATATCGTATCGACATACGAATGGAAATAACCATTGTTAATTGACAATACGTCGCCGATATATATGTAAATGTCGAGTTGAAGGCCACAGCAAGTATTTTCTTTTTTTCACGTACACGATTTTGAACAAATTCTGCTTCATATGAATACAAAAATAGGTCTGCTAATAAGGGGGCACAATTGGTACCCATGGGAATCCCAATAGATTGTTGGAAGACTTGGTCTCCAAAAACCAGATAGATATTGTCAATATTTTGTCTGTGTATGATTTCAAAAAGCCTGGTCTTTCATTGATCGTGAAGAATGGTTGAATAAAGGGTTGATTGATTAGCCATATGATTTTGATAAAATCATAAAGGAAGATTCTTTCTCCGATCTTTCAAACATCAATGTAAAAAATGTATTAATTATTTGCCAGTAGAAAAAGTACATATTTTTTTTCATTTCATTTTTTTTGGGTACATTATTTTATAAATCATGCTTTCATTTATTTGCTTTCAAATTTTATACCCCCGCTTTAATATTGATCGGGATGTGTTCGTGTGATGTAACCTTTTCCCGTTCGTCATTACCATTCCGTCATTAGTTAGTTGTCCGGACCTTTTTTGGCCGTGCTTCTAGATAATGGGTTATTTTTTGTATGTATCTACAAATACATGTATCAGATCAAATTCGAGTTCAATGTTAATTGTCCTATTTCACGAAAGTTTTTGCCCTTAAACTTTGAAAGTTTTTAAATGTTCATAGTTTTCGGGGTTTTGTGCCTTGTAGATCAGGAGCTGACCTTTTGATATATCTCTTTATATTGATGATTACATGTAACAGTTGAAGAGAAGCAGGACATGTCACATGACTCAACTGACTACGTCATATCCTCTGTTAATGAAGATGCAGAATGTTATTAAGATAGAACCTATGTCGAGAAGTCCTTGTTACAGGATTTTAAAACTTTTCAAAATGATTAATTACCAGGCACTTGCTAATTGATCAATAAAATAATGTATGACACGTGTCTTTGTTTTTAAATGTAGTGCAGCCTTTGATTCTTGGAACTGTAATCATATTGTCATTAGCCATCTTTAAAGCTGCAAAATCGAAAGAATAAGATAGAGAATAACACATCTATAATATTATTGTTTAGTGATTACGGGTAATTTGTTTTTGAGGGTATACACTTATGTTGATAACTTAATGATTTGTCAGATGTTAATGTCGGCTTGTCAGATATTAAAAATACACATATACAAATTTTCTTATCTCCAACACAGAAGAGTTACGTTACATTGCTATTTTTTCAATATTTCTTGCAACTGAAATCTAATTAGAAAATTTCAATTATGTAAAATGTAAAAATAGACTCTTAAAAATGTTTCCAGAAACTTAACAGTAACAAAATTTCATATATTTCTACAACATTTCAAATGTTATATTGAACAGTTAAGTTAATTTTCCCCACTTTCATCCAAATAATGTAGTCAAGCATAACTTGTTCCTAAAGTATGCTATTGCCACGTACTGAAATTCAATTGTCATCGTACAATGTCTTGCAAGTCGACATATTTGTCTAACGAGTTACATTACTATCTGAAACATGACAATTCGAAATAATTTTCTGACGAGAAAACATAATTTTCTGACGTCAACATAATCTGACAAGTCGACGCAATTATCTGACAAGTCAATCGCCACAATTTTTGACAAGTTGTCATTATTATCTGAAAAGTTGACATAATTATCTGATGTGGACTTGTCAGATGTTATGTCGATTTGTCAGATAATTATGCCGGCTTGTCAGATCTTTATGTCGACCTGAGCGATCCTTATTTTAACTTGTCAAAAAAAAAAAAAAAAAAAAAAAAAAAAAAAAAGAAAGAAAGAAAGAGAAGAAAAGAAAATTGTAAACTGAATGGCACATTATAGACATGGGCATGTTTCCTTGTTGAATTTTTAAACACGTGAGTATACGTATAACAAGTCACTATAGAAATCTTACAAAATGATTTAAACATCTAACAAGTCGACACATAAACATCTAACAAGTTGACACATAAACATCTAACAAGTCGACACATAAACATCTAACAAGTTGACACATAAACATCTAACAAGTCGACACATAAACATCTAACAAGTCGACACATAAACACTTAACAAGTCGACACATAAACATCTAACAAGTCGATATACATTTGACAAATAATGGCAGAAATATGCCACATTAATTTAAAGACCAAATTCGAGATTTTTTTTTTGTTTAAGGACCTTTGAAAACTTTGAAACTTTGAAAAGCTTTGAAAACACCTAATTTAATTTGTAAACACCTTTTGTACTGACTTTTTACCCCTGATGTGCTTTTTAAATAATAAAATTATTGATTCATCGACAAATTATGCAAGAAAAAATCCACAGTATGATGTTCTATCTTTGCTTCATTACCACCAAATTTCAATTTCAAGCCCTTGAACTTTCGAATACTCATAATCACGAAATGTTTTACATGTCAGTTTTGAGTTACTCTGCGACACAAAATACGCCATAGAAAACTCATAAATAACAACCAATGGATGAAAGCGCTACTTTACCTACTTTACCAGATCATTTTAAAAATTTTGTATTTATTCAGGTATGTTTTGACAGATTCTTGTAATATAGTACCATAATATAGTGGTAGCAGAGAGAGAGAGAGAGAGAGAGAGAGAGAGAGAGAGAGAGAGAGAGAGAGAGATGAGCTTTGCAGTGAGTGAAAATATAGAATGTTGTTATTTTTTAATCCCAGCTTTAAATCCTAAAAAAACCAAAGTAGCTTTTCCGGTATTATTTTTTATTTTCGATCCACCAAAATTTGCTCAAATTTCACATAACTCGATATACTGTTTCTTGAATTTGAATAGCCTGATGTCTACAATAATAATAATAATATATTTGATGGAGAAGCACCATAATTATACCCACTACTGGCAAAACATGTACTTTCTACAATACAAGCCACTTTAGGGAAAACAGTTATATTTAATTATTAGTGCATATTTTTTTTTATTTTTTTTTTTTTTTTGATGAGATTGACTAAAATAAATTATCTAGTTTAAACATTTTGATATTGTTATCAATATCAAATCTTTTTTGAATTCTTTATAAAGCAAGTTTTTTTTTTCATTTTACATGGTAATGGCCGAATCACAAGCCCAGGACGTCATTAGATGTCAATACTGCGAGGACGAGCCCGCTGTCTTCCACTGTCTTCCGTGTTGAGATGAACTGTACTCGATGTAAAGTCTTCCATCTTAAAAGCAAAGTTCCCTCGGGACACAACATCATCCGTCTGTCCGAGAGACTCCCCCCTCTGATCAGATCAAAATGTGTGAAGTCAACTCATCCAAAGCATACGAAGCTTGTGAGGATTGTCAAGTCCCTGTTTGTATTACGTGCATTCAGGAGAGCACCGCAATCATTCTATCAGGAACATACAGGATCTTTATAATAAACAGAAGGCTGAAACCGAAAAAGAATTGTTCAAAATGAAGACACAATGGAAATCTGAGATCATTCAAAAGATGAAAGATGTCAAAAATGGAGAAAAGGAAATGAAATCCAGCGATGAAGATATTAGAGAAAAAATTATGAAACAAGCTCAGAATTTTATGGATCAGGTTAGCATCATACTGAAAGAAGCTTTGCATAAATCCGAGGAAAATGAGAGGAAAAATTTAGAGATATTGTCTCAAAATACAGCGGAGGTTGAGAGATCAGATCAAAACTTATATCTATTGATAGAAAGATTTGAAAATCTAACGAAGTCGAGCCATCCTGCCGACCTTATATTGTACCGAAAGCAGAATCCTGACATATTCAAGCAATTTAAATGTCCATACAAAGTTAAAATTGTTGCGCCTTCGTTTACAGTTGGAACATTAAACAAATCTCATAATGTACTTCAGTTTGGCAAATTCACCACAGATCATGTAAGATATAAAAAATCATCCAATGATAGCTTACAAAGTGCACAATCAGACAACAAAATTTGTACCAAAAAAGTATTTGAGCGGTCAGTAAAAATCAGAGAATTAAAAAAGAAGAAGGAAAATTTATTTCACGTGAGTTGCCTTGATGTCAAATCAGCGTACATCAGTGGTGATGGTCCTGGAATACTGTTCATAGACAGAGTAGGTACACAACTAGATAACTAAATAACATCTTCACTGACGGAGAACCAGATGGTCTAGCTGTGATGCAGGACGGAAGCCTGATTTATTCCTACGGACTCAGGAAAGCCATTTATAGAGTGTGTCTTAAAAACCAGAAAAACTTTATTGATACTGAATTTGGACCTGGGGGACTGTGTTGTACCAGATCAGGTGATATCTTGGCCTGTATGGGTTTTAGAAAAATAGCCAGAGTGGTGAAGTACAGCAGCAGTGGAGAGAAAATCCGGGAGTTTCAGAAGGATCAGAACGGGGAGAGACTTTTCATTCATCCAAGGTTTATCTGTGAGAATGCCAATAGTGATTTATGTATCTCTGATTGTGGTAGAAACAGTAAAGTAGTCGTACTGAGCAAGTGTGGAATACTTCGGTTTAAATATGATGGGAAGGTCGGAACTAAAACGCTAAAAGAGGATATTAAGCCATGTGGAGTGGCTACCGACTGATTGGGTCACATCCTTATTGCAGACAGCGCCAATAATGTAGTACATCTGATCAACCAGGACGGGGACTTCCTCTCTCTAAGCCTTACAGAGGATGATGGGATATCACGACCATGAGGAATTTCTCTGGATACATCCGACAACCTATGGCTAATAGATGAAAATGCAAAGTGTTTCAGTATTTGTTTTAACTTTGGAATTTTATGACCTTTATTGTGAAGTTTCCAGAAGTATTCTTGTATATGGTGGCCTTTCGGTATTAATGCCATCTAGTTTTAGTAATATGACCAGTTCGAATACTTAATAACATCAATTAAGGACAGATGATAGAAAGAAACTATTATCAAAAATCTTGAAAATAACAACTTAAGTCATGTTTAAATAAGTAAAATGAATACAGGTAGTTGTTTCAAACCTTCCATATTTAAACACGCCATCAGTTTAAATTTTAAAAGATAAAATATGATTATATTATGCAAAAAGAACATAAACTGCAAAAGGCTTCGAATAACGGTTATCAAAATTTTAATTGGTTACGATATTTTCGACCAATTAGTCGGTTAACAGCTTTATCATTGTCATTCCCACCTTTTCCATTTGATAACGTTTAACTATGGTAGAGAGCAGAGAAAGGGCAATACTAAATTGAACAGAGAATTGGAAAAAAACAGTTACAAAGATACGTGAGCAATCTAAGGAAAACAAAGCACTGGTATTTAAAGCTAAATATAATTCGTTAAATTAAATTAAAATTAAAAGAATTCATATTTCTCCGCAATATTTCTATTCATCCGTCTTCATTTCTAGAGTTCCTTTATATCAATGAGGGTTCGGAAAGAATATAAGACATACTATTGATTTATTTTGCTCAAAGTTGATCGAATATGTATCTTTTTTCAATAGAGCTTCTACGAACTGAAAGTAGCTGTATTGCAAAAAAAAAAAAAAAAAAAAAAAAAAAAAAAAAAAAAAAGTGAAAAAAAATAAAGTGCACGACTGCCACACAAGATGCGACCCCTGTGGAATTATTCAAATAGACACAAATATTCAAAATGAGGCCAAGGATACCTACTGATTGGCTGCTTTATATATTTCTCCAAAGATTCAACAAACTACAAGATTTGATACTTTTTGGCATGATATGGGCACGATTTAGATATGTGAAGGCATATAATTCCAACATAAAATTATTTATACCTATTTTATATGCATTACACCTTTTCCCAACATACTGTAAACGTACTTTTTCCACGGCGCCATGATTCAGTGGAATCACAATTCTGTTCTATCCGCGGGCAGAAAATTACGCAGATTTCTTATATTCCCACTACATGCATATGCCTAAAAGTACATTAAGTACGCCATGATAAATTTCCGCGGAAAATTGGGACTGCGTTCAGAGCGTAAATTATTACCACGCGGAGAAAAATATTTCAACAGTACATCAGCTGACAAGGTTTTATGATCCTACGCTAGCATAAGCAAGTTGACTATGACTAGACATAAACTTCCAAAATGACCATCATTTGGGTTGGAATTCCACCTTCCCTAAAGATACATAAACTGACAAGCTCTAATGATCCTAAAAGATATGAACTAGATACAAAACAACCAGTGACGTAAAGACAGACAGACAGACAGGTTGACGGACGTAAAAAGCCCGTATAATGATAATGTTTGTCAAAATTTATAACAATTATTCTTAGCAGCGTTTGAAAATTCTAACTTGCCAGCTTGTATCCAGATGCTCTTCTGAAGTTCCGGTTATTGAATATCAAATTGTCTATATTCGGTAACTAGTTAAAACCAGCTTTCAAGCCACCTGTATGAGAGTTTCTAAAGCACGGGTTCTATACCATGACGTACAGATCAAGAATGTAATATTTTACAAACTTAAACTACTATTGGGATTATTAGTCCCCTACCGGTGAAACCGGAGGGGACTATAGGTTTCCTCTGAGTCTGTCCGTCCGTCCGTCTGTCTGTCTGTCTCTCTGTCTGTCGCTCCCTCTGTCTGTCTGTCAGTCTGTCAGTCTGTCACACTTGGTTTTCCGCACTTTTTTCTAAACGCTTGCAGATATTGAGCTGATTTTTGGAATGTGAATGTATCTTGATGAGTTACAGATCAAGTTTGCATTTCGTCCCGCTTCGTTGATTTTTGACGGAACTATGGCATTTTCAATTCTTAACGGGAACCAGATTACACTTGCCGGTAGGGGACTAGTATTGCTAATGAAATACTCTCAGAATGCTTGTTTATATAGACATCAATTAAAAAATTACTATGTCTTTGTTTGTTCATGCTGGATTAACGGTTGCAGGAAAAAAAATACGCAGGCGGTTATGTATTTTTTTTCCTGCAAAGGTTGCAACCGTTAATTCCCGCATTAACAAACGAAATATAATTGGCTATTTTTTCTTATTTTAGAAATGTATTAAGATAAATTTATTAACTCATGCAAAGTTGGAAAAATCAAAATCGACTCAAATTTTTCTGTGACAATTTAAATGTTTTAAATTGATATATGCTGTTAAAATAATACTTAATTTTCCTTTTGATCACCGGGCATGGTATGGCGTTCGATTCGTCTTCTTGAAGCCCGGGTTCGATTCTCGTTCGCCGAGCCTCGTCAAACCTAAAACGTAAACATAGGTAGAGACTGTTCCTTCAATCGCCAAGCGCCCGGCATTAGATTTGAAAGTCATGGGTCTTTTGGATGAGACCTTAAAAACCGAGGTGCCGTGTCATGGTAGGCGTCTGCACGATAAAAAAAACCCTCATTGCTCAATGGCCCCGAGTGCCGAGTATAGGTCTTAATTTGAAGCCCTTCACCGAATGGGACGTAAAACAACATACAATCAATCAATCAATCCTCTTGATACTGAAAATTCTTAGATATTGGCTGACATAAGAAATAGTAATAATTGAATTCTTAAGGTGAGTCTTCAAGATAAAAAAAAAATAAATAAATGAATTGCTACTATTAAAATTGAACTTCATATACTGGGATTATTAGAGCTGTATATATAGCACATATCCAAAAATTTCAAAATCTTTACAATACTTGAGTTTTATCACGCGATCCCCAGTCACATCAATCAAAAATCGTAAATTCTTTCTACATTTACCTTTGATATATGTGTTCCTTGTTAAATTTAGCTTTAACTAGACATATCTATGGTTATGAAAATGAATGCTTTCTGCAATAAGATAGGAATGTTGTTTAATCTAGACAACTGTTTATCTGACACTTATATAAACGCTGCTCTGATATTGATAGTTCTCACGGTAAAATTTTAAATCAAGGATCTTGTTTCCAATTTGGGACTGTTATAAGAACTCTGGAGTTTGATTGATCAATCTAATGTCTTTATTATCTCTAATTTTCCTGCACGATTTGCCCTGTCTTCTTAAATAGTGTTTTTTTTACGCTTTCTTTGAAAGAAACTGTCCATCTATTCCAGTCTTATTTATATTAATCAATAAACATAGTTACAACTCCGAAATGAAGCCAATATATTTTTAAATTTATCACACACTGATCAAAAATCTTTAAAGAAGAAGAAAGAAGAAATAAGACTTCGAAGTACGAGAGACAAAACTATTGTTTGTCCATCTGTCTCTGCTACATACAATTTTTTTAAAAGTTGAAAGGTAATAATGAGCCCTGGATAAACAAAGAAACTCAGATTTTGCCTTGCAGAATGATTTGCTAGGAAAAAGGTCATTTGTTTTAGTGCTAAAATGTGAAGCTTGAGGAAAGCGATTAGTGCTCAATCTCATGAATTCAGTAAAACAAAAGAAATTGTGGACAGTGAAAAAAAATGACTACCAGAAACAGCAGAGGTGGGATCAGGTGCCTATGAGGAGTAAGCATCCCCTGTTCTAACGCCTATGGCAAAAAAGAAAAGCAATGATTATTACATATACATGTATTGGAATTTATTGAAATGAAATATGATGACAGGGAACAGTAATTAAGCTCAAAAGTCCATTGAATGAAATGTTTACGAAATGAAAATAACGAACAGTGATCCATCTAAAAACAATAAAAGCAATACAAATCTGTGAATAGGGCATAAAACACAGATCCCTGGAAATTCAAGAGGTTGGCTCAGGTGCTTGGGAAGTTAAAATCACCTGTCGACCCATCAAACCCAAAACCAGATAAAGAGGCAAGAAATTGACAAAACAAGTTGATGAAACAAGGATAACAACAATCTCGTTTGAAGTAATCATTTCGCAAGTTTAACGGTCGATACAATGACCTTGTCAGCACATGAAACCTATTATTGAGTGAAATGATGAATGACGTTTTTCATACTAATTGTTAGGCCATTATTTATACGCTGAACTGTCTACGGATTTTCCCGGTTTTTTTCAGATCATGACAAGGAGCACACGGAGGCTGTGACCGGTCGGCAGGGGATGCTCACTCCTCCATGGTACCTGATCCCACCTCTAAAGTTTGAGGTCCCTGTTTGCTCTGCTCCAAATTTGTATTCTTTCGAGATTGAATACTGTTCGTTATCTTCATATTTCAAATGAGCTCTATTATAGTTGAATCAACACTTTTTCAAAGTTTATGTCCCTTGCCAGCCATCTTTGGGGAAAAACCATAGAATTCTCACTGCGGCCTTTGTTACTTTCAGTTTGTGACTTTGTCATTTGACTTCAAAATAACTGTAACTTCTTGTTCTTTGATTTCCCCGGGATGGGGCTACCCATACATCGGAAGTAAGAGGTTTATACACAGTAAATTTAGAGCAGCAAGCCCAGATGTTTAGTAGTGTTCAGAAGAGAAAATTGGCGTTTTCCGTATTGACCTTTTGGACAAGCCAGACAGTATTTTTTTTTACAACACTCTTCGCGGAGGGTAGGAAAATCGAGAGTTTTACTACATTTCTGACAATTTCACAATGTGACAAAATATCACTTTTATTAATTCAATAAATTACAGTATTTTCTGCTAAAATGATATAATGAATTAAATATCTTCCTATGGTGTGTTATATGGAGTAAAACAATTGAAATCTTTGCAGATATGATTTCATAATTAATTTTTCTATTTTTCTTTTCTGCAATACGTTTAACTATATGGAAAGTTATAATATTTGGACGTAAAGAAGAAAAAAACTATAATCAATAAATCTGCACATAAAGTATTAATGATTGATGTTATAGTCCTGGGAAATATAAATATGAAAATGTAGTTGTTTTCCTGTGATTTTGAAAGGAGGTTTTGTTTGTTTGTTTGTATGTTGTTTAACGTCCCTCTCGAGAATTTTTCACTCATATGGAGACGCCACCACTTGCCGGTGGAGAGCTGCAAATTTTGTCCTATACTCGGCACTTACGGCCATTGAGCAGTGAGGGATCTTTTTCGTGCCAGCACCTACTGCGACACGGGACCTCGGTTTATACGGTCTCATCCGAAGGACCGGTCTCCACGTCCCACAGTGGGATTCGAACCCGCGACGTAAGGATCAACTCCTTACTCCGCGACTCTAGAACAGACGCTCTAACCACTGCGCCACGCGGGCGACGAAAGGAGGTTATGTCTTATAAATGATAAATGTTTGACCTTTTCATGAGTCATACAAATACTACTCATACCTGCAGGTTTTTCTGCTAGATTTTCAATTTTTTTAGGGAGAACATTAACATTTTGTAATACCCCTTACAAAAGTTTACTATAGTAACTATAGTTAACTAAAGTACACATTTTGATACTTTGATTTACTACTTAACGAGGTTCGCTCCTGAGCTTTTGAGCAGATTTTTATCTTAACCTATATTCAGTTAAAATTCCATGATTAAATTCCATACCAAAAGCATTAAGTGAGGAACTATATTTTATGGCGGAAGGTTTTTTAGAAGAAAATGATCATTTTTTCTCTTTATAAGTATTTAAAGTATGTAAAGTTTGGATTCCTATTTTATTATTCAGTCTGCACACAGAGTTATTTTGTGCAGTGAACTGTTTTATACTGGTCTTAAATTATATATTAAATAAACTGTCATGAATTCTATCATCATATTTGATAAATATAGCAAATATATTGTGAAAATCAAGAAAAAAATAGCCCTAATTTAAGCTTAAAATTAGCACTAATTTAGTAATATCTAAAAATTAACATCACAGACCCCCACTTTTAATTTTCTTTTCTGAAAATATGAGATACTTTTAATCATTCTTCTTAAATTCAGTAAAATGTCATTACTTTCAAATGATTTTTTTGCTTGTTAAATTTTTAATGCCAGAAAAATGAATTTTTTGAGTGCAAAAAGGTCAAATAATTGAACATGCGGAGTAATTTGAAATTTTTTTCATTGTCACAAATTTTAATGTGTCTATTTAAGATGAAATAAGACTGTGTCTGTTCCCATAATTTATTTTAATAAAAAATATTGGACGAAAAACTTTAAAAATTGATTTATGTCTAATACGTTTTTACAGTGCAAAAAGGTCAAACTAAATGCTCTGTAGCGCCAAAAGAAGCGCATTGACCCCCATTTTTTGTTTTGATTTTTAGTTGAGCTATGTGTATTAATTCTAAAAATATACTTGATAAAAAAATCTCATTACTTTTGATGGCAGGATCCAACCTCCTTAATACTTAACTCTGAAATTTTGTTTGAGAATCTCTTAAATTCAATAACAGTAAAGTTTTAAAATGATATGTGAATGTACAACTAATTATTCCATTTAATATTAAAAAAATACATAGATGAATTGGCGAACATAACATATAACAACCTGGAATCTATAGTAAAAACACATAGATTCACTATAGTGAAAACTTAAATTTACTAAAGTAAACACCTTGTACATGAGTTAACTATAGTTAACTACAGTATTTTTTTGTAAGGAACAATGTAAATTCAAATCAAGATTTTTTTGCAGCACTTGTTCTAATCTGAACATGACTATATCAAGGTCTTACTCATCTATATGAAGTACGCAATATGGTATATCTCGTACAAAGCATGTCAGGGTTTTAGGTCGAGGACTGATATGTTCATTCTGTACAAGAAATTGGGCTCATATTTCACAAATATTTTCAGTTTTCTAATAAAAATCAAATCAAATCTCTTCTTCTCTCAAACTGTTACATTTTTAATAATATTTACGTCAAGTACTGTTTAAGGGAATAATGAACATACCTTCCTTAAACATTAGTCAATACATATTCTGAAAACAAGTTTACTGTAAACTTATTGTAACACAGAACAGTATTTAAGGCCGATCGTTCATGGAGAGTGCTTAATCTTTAATAATATTTATGATATAATATTGATAAAATTTTAATATTGATTAGAATGTTTAATTAAAATTCACGGGGTTATCTTTATTTTAATATTATTTTTATTGTTCTTTTGCTTAGTTTTATGTGATATTTTTATCATTATCATTTATTTATTTATTTTTATGTTTAATTTTGATTTTTTTTTTCTATTTGTTTCTTGTTTAATGTTTTCTTTTGATTTTTTGGGTTTGAATTAATTTGTCTTTATTTCTTTATTTTTTTAGGGGTAGGGTGCTTATTTTTTCCCCTATTTTTGCTATTTCGTGTCTTTTTCTAATAGGAAATGTGGATGTAAAAAATAAGAAAACTAATATACGAAATGAAATACTGGACATTTTAATTCTAAAATGAATAATTGTTTCTTCAGTGCACACAGAAATTCTTTGGACTACATTTTAGAGCGACATTAAGGAGGCTGGGTGGTCAACAAATAAACCACCAGATTTAACTTAATTTTTTAGATATGATATCTTAAGCTGTCAACTATCATTTGGCAAAGAAAAATTGCAAAAATTTTAGTTTTAAAATTTGATCATTTTCTATATCTTCATATGGAGCTCTTCTTCTAAAGGAGATCAATATAGTCTAAAAATGGCCACAACCCCCCAGCCTCTTTAAGATAGAATACTGATAAAGATATCTTATCCAAGGTCTATGGAGATGATTCTAATCAGGGGCTAATGACAGCAATATTTCATAGCTGAAATGTTCAATCATTTTATGCTGTCCAGCATTGAAGAAAATATTTTGGAAAAGTTGGATATTCATAGTATATGTAGTTCTGATAAAGTAAAAAATCTATTTGGAAACAGGAAAACGGGAATACTTATAAACTATATAAGATATTTAGCCTAAGAACAAAGCTACCTTGATTTTTTAACAAAGAAAATCATTTGATATTAAAAGTATTTTTATCTTGTTGTTTTTTTTTTTAAATATATGTTCTCAATGCAAATTCTTCTATTATTGTTTTTTTTACCTGGGGAGGGGGAGGGAAAGGGACAGGGGAATGAGTTGAGGGTTAAGATGCGGCAACTAAGTTATAAACCAATTTCAGGAATTCTCATTTAAAAAACAAGAATGGATAATGAATGAGCATACTGTTTGAAAGCATCATTACATCATGGTCAATGTGTTTTTCGCTCCACAAAGAATTGAATTTAATTGCTTTTAAATTTCTTACGATTTTTATCAATTAATTATTTCCACAATATTTCTGGAAGGTGTAAATTATACGATGTTATTTAATACTTCCTCTCTCTCTCTCTCTCTCCCTCTCTCTCTCTCTCTAGCGATATCAGTAGAAAATTAAACTCTTCTAGGAAAATTTATGTTCATCAAATAAATGATATATTTAGTGAATAAATTACTACTGTCATCAATATCTGCAACTTATCGTCCCATATACAAACGCTATCCAATGTATGTTGTTAACATTTTTAACATCTTCACAGAGAGCTTTTTTATATCTTCAGTAATTTTTCCACAAACACTTATACACTCTGTTTTTGATTATGTATAAAATAAATTAAAAACACTTGATTTAATATTCATAATTTTTCAACAATCAGTCGAAGATGTACTCTTTACAGCATGTTGAAACTTTCACCAAATTTCAATCAATATATTCAGTCAAAAGTGTGAATAAAATACACTCATGGCATTGGGTTAGAAATAGGTGATCCAGAAATGATTGGCAATGAAGTTGGAGTAGTACATCCAGCTCCGGTCTGATCAAATCCGTATACAGGTACTGAAGCACACGCCGTCCGGATTTCTGTGGTGAGATGATCTATACTGTGATGGCCGACTTCATGAATATCTGTGCTACAGTTTAATCTGTCGATCATCTTAGTCTGTAAAAGATATTAATACTGTAATATTTATAGTATATAGATATCTGAGTGCGATCTACTGATTTAGTCATATCAGTTTGAAATAAGACTGGAAACCTATTAACAAAAATAAGATTTTTTTTTTTGATTTCGAGTATTTCAAAAAACAACTATAGCTGATTTTTTTGATATGCTTACTCGAGGAGTACAATATATAACATACCTATAAATAAACACTATTTGCTTCATTATATGCTCCAATGATAAAATGATATGAGCTCGTTTAACAAACCTTGAAATCTTTCTTGGTTGCTTACATTTGCTGAAATCACCAAAGAGGCAGGAAAAGAAGCAATTGAATGAATGACAAAAATGAACACATCCAATATCTTAGTAATTTCCTTTTTAATTTTGGTCCATGTGAAAAAAGGTCAATGAATATTCATACAAATTGTGAGACCGTTATTTTCGCATTAAAATGTCTACAGATATTTGTGTTTAACCGATCATGACATGTGGCACGGTGACCGGTCGACGGGGGATTCTCGCTTCTTCAGGCACCTGGTCCCACTTCTGTTTCCAAAACTCTACGTTTGCTCTAATCACAATTCGTATTGCTTAATTGGACTTTGAGCACGAATACTGCCCTTTGTCTTCACATTTCGTGTCTGATTTCCAGCATGTTTGATTTCAGCCAATCAGAAAGGTTTCAAAAGAAGGATATGCTAATACAAAATCTAGTAGACAAGATATGGTAGCTGTGTTTTAACAATAACATTTAAAGATTTTAGTAGAGTACACTAAAAAATAGAAAAATGCAGTAATACAAAGGAAAGTACCTCAAGAGCTGGCCTCAGAGCATCATCAAAAGAATCCTGAGATTCCTGGTGATTCATGTGATACTCATAACATCCGGTTCCGGGCCGTAAAATGATGGCTTTGTGCTACAAACATTTGTTAATATTTACAGTTCAGAAGTAATACCTTATATAAAATTTCCTGTCGGAGAACAATAATCTAAAACATGAGGGGATATACACTTTTAAAATACGTAAAACGTGTTCATAAAAGTTCATTGATTCATAGTTTAGTCTAAATTGTGAATATTTTCAATTGATTATTAGTAAAAGTCAATACTAATGTGTTACTCATTTTTTCAGTAAACATTGCCTTCTAGAAAAGCATGTTTTTAAATATGTGTAATCTTAAAATATCAAGATATTACAAATATTTATTACAATGTACTCACGTGTTTCCTGTCATACAGAACTTGTTCACAAAGAACATAGTTCACCTAGGAATAATCAAGAGCAATAACATTCTATAATTGTGAGTGTTTTTAAAAGCAAAGGTTTTATGCATTATCTATTTAATTTTAAAACATGTTCCACTTCCTTTTATTTAATATGAAACATTGAATATACTATAATATTGTAAACCCTTACCGCAAGCAGTAGTGCGAGTGCTGTCAATGTCTGCATTTTGTCAAAGTGAGGTAACGATGAAATGATATGCTAATTTTATAATCAGATAGTCTGTGAGAGCAAAGGGTATCACAAGAAATTGATAAGACGCTTGGTTCTGTCTTAAAAACTGAAGCAATATCGTGATTGGTTATTAAACACAATTAGTTCCTTAAATCACCAATGTGATCCATTACCAGACTTGTATAATTTTCATTGATTATATTCTTTATAACTTTTGTTTTGTGTTCTGGTCTCAAGACCATGCACTGGGATCAGACTTAAGTCAAAATTGCCATTTTAAAAATCTTATTTTTATTTCATACATGGTGTTATTATTGGAATATTTGGAGCAAAGAAAATAATTTCAGTCTGTACAATATATAATAAAAGCAAAAACATGGTTGTTTCATTATCATAATAATTTCAAATTTTTTTTTTTGATAATTTCAAAATTTGATTCATCTGTTTTAAGTTGGAGTCCGAGGCCTTAACTATACCAATTAGTCCAGATTACAATTGTATTGTATGAAATTACTAGGATGCTATTGCCTTCTTTACATGGTGATCATATCTCCTTTTGAAATAGGGGTATAAATAATATTTACTGATCGAATGGACATTGTAGAATTTTTAATCTTTATCATAAAAATGTCATTCTTGCATTCCGCCTTTAATCCGGTTGACTTCTACACCCAGCGTTTCCTGCGGATGTTCCCATACTGTTGGTTCCAAACTTTTCAATTATAAACAAATCTTACAGTGTCTTGGAATTGAACATCTTAAACAAAGTACTCTTAAGTGTACTTTTCTTCTTTTTTTTCAACAGCAGTCCCACTGGACACGTCATTACCGGTGATGTTAATATCCTTAAAAATGACGCCTAAAAGCAATCACCTTAAAAGGTCCTAAATAAAGAGATTCTTGATCTTTCAGTTGGCGACAGAGCTTAATTTCTACTCTGAAATCTGTCTTTGTCAAAAATTATGCACGACTTTGGGCGGAGTGTGAGGGGTAGGACTTGAACACTTTTAAAGAACGGATTGGGCGTTTTAGAAAAGTGTTTGGGAATCGTGTTTGAGGGTTGGGAGGCAATATGCGAACGATCCGTTTTTGCTAGATCGGAAATGAAAATGGAATTGAAAGAATGCATAAACAATATGTTATGGTTCCAGCAGGCATGGCTTGTAACATTAGTGTTTGAAAGGCTCATTATTGTAACTGTATTTTAGAACTTTGCTTAATTCTACATCTGGAAATCCAACTTATATTCACAACTATCTTTCTGAGAATGAAATTCTTCAAAGTCGCATTTCAATCCTTGATACTTTCAACATTCAAATCAACCAAGGTGGAATTGATCTACCCTACTATACTGGACTCCGCATTTTCATAAAAAGTCTTTCAAACAAAGATACATTTCAGTGTCCAGCGAATGCTCTACCAAACCCTTTCTTTACTCCTCACAAAAAATATTAAGTGCAGCAAAGGAGACATTTCAGACGTACTGTGCTACAGCAAATTCTAGAGATGGTGTAAATCAGATGTGGATTTTCAAGAACTTCAAAGAACTTTTGGATAATTCAAAATCACCGAACTTTTTTGAAAAGTCATTAACATAAAAACGCACGACTTTTCTATACTTTATACAACCATTCCTCACAATAAACTAAGAACTATAATTTTTAGTATAATAAAACAACAGCTTTTTTCAATTGAAAACGATTTCGGAATATTTTCAAGTCTTGTGATTGGTCATCGACAAAATATGAATGTTAAAAATCACTCTGATTATCAAAAAAGTTACTATGATTATCACAAAAGTACTCCGAAGTTGATATCATAAGGATGCTGGATTTTCTCATTGACAAGAAATTGATTGTACTTAGAGCGAGCATGCTCTTATCGAAAAAGTTTGGAGACGTAAACATCATATGCAGGTGATAGCGGAATATAACTACAAAATAAGGAATGTTGACGATAGAAACGCTGAAATCATCTTGTTTGACATACAAATTAGTTGTTAGTTGGCATCCTCCCATAGTCAGTAAAATATCCAAATATGAAACAGATGTTGCAGACTCCATGGTGTCTTCTATTTCGAGTTCACTTGGATATATCGAGTCGACATATGAATGAAAGTAACTAGGTATCGTTAATTGATTAAAAAGTCGTCGATATATCAAAATGTGAAGTGTTCTCTTCTTATCATGTAGAAGTTTTGAAATAAATTTTGCTTAGGAATATAAAAACAGGTCGGCTTATAATGGAACACAATGAGTGTCCAATGCAATTACTACAGTTTTTTGGAAGAACTGGTCTCCGAATTTATCAATGAGGAACTTCAGCATCCTTTTAATAACAACTTCACAGTACTTGTGTGTAGAAGTCTGGTGGAACCTGGCTACAGCAGTAAAGACATTTATAAAATCCCTCTCTAATTCTGTGTTTATTGTTGTTGGTGATGTTATCTATCCTTTTTATCCATTCCTTTTACTTTTTATTTTGGTTTTGTCTTCTTAGGCGTGTAAAATAGGGAAACAATTATTCTGAATGAAATACTAATAATCACTTGTCTTCAATAAACTTCAATATTAACACGAATGCTTTGGTCTATATTTTACAGAGACATGACAAAGAAATCCTTGATAGAGATATCTAATCCAGAGTTCCTTAAATGTCAACACTAACTACGAATTTTAAGTACATTATTTGAAATAAATAGACTAAGAGAACTAAGATCATTTATTTCAACAATTTATTAAGTAACTCTGCCAAATAGGATTTCTTTGAAGATCTTTTTATTTTAGTTAGTTATTTATTCATTTATATTTTTATTTACCTACTTTATATTTTTTAATTTAATTTTTTTTTTTAAATTTTATGTCTCTTTTTATTCGATTTGTTTAAAATTTGAAAATAACGATCAGATATCATCTGATAAATCTAGTGAAGTATATGTAAACACGCCAAAAAACTGATCCCTTGGAAACACAAGACGTTAACTTCCCCTGTCGACCGGTCACACCCGCTGTGAGCCTGTATGTCTTAAGAGGAGTTGTTAGGTGCCCAAAATGTCTTAATGTACATATTTTTTTTCCTACAGAACGTGATATATGTTTCTTTACTTCTGGAAAAGCAAAATTAAAGTGTTTCTCTTTTCTCCTTTGACAAAATCATTATATCACATTTAAGGAATAAACATGAAATATTGAAATGACGAACAGTTTTCAAGCTCATAGGCCATTGAAATAATAAAAATCGGGAAGAAAGCAAACACGGACCTCCAAAAACATCATAGGCCGGATCAGATGCCATGGAAGAGTAAGCATCCCCTACCAACCGGTCACATCGGCCTTGTGCTCCTGGTCATGATCGGGAAATAACGGAAAAATCCGTAGAAATGTCAGTGTGTAAATAATGGATTAACAATTAGTACGGAAAAAAAGTCAGTCAAAATTTGAATAAATGATAGATTATATTTGCTGATGAGGTCATTGTATCGGCGGTAGAACTTGCCAAATGATGACTTCAAAAAAGACTGTTGATATTCTTTTTTCATTAAGGTTTTGTTTAATAGCTTGCCTCGTTTTAAGAATTGGTCGTACGTAGAGCATGCTATTGCGTATTGAATCAACTGGGAGACATAAACCCCGTATTGTTGTGATAAGGGTATACTGCTACATAATTAAGGGAAGTTGACGACAGAAAAGTTGAAGTCATCATATTTTTCTTTAAGTTATGTTGTTAGGTTACCATTAACGTTTTTTTCCAGTAAAATATCCAAATATAAGACAGATGTGTCAGAAAGTGGTGTCTTTTATTTCAAGTTCATTAAGATTTATCGATCTACATATGAATGGAAGTACTTTATTGTTAATTGATAATACGTCTTCGATATATCTAAATCCCGAGTTGAAGGCCACAGCATGAATGGAAGTACTTTATTGTTAATTGATAATACGTCTTCGATATATCTTAATCACGAGTTGAAGGCCACAGCAAGTGTTTTCTTCTCCTCATGTAGCAGTTTTTTAAAAAATAAATTCGGCTACATATGAATACAAAAATAGGTCTGCTAAAAATGGCGCGCATTTTTTTTTACCCGTGGGAATTCCAACAGATATCTTCACAGATATTGTCATTCGGAAACTAAAGCATATTTTTAATATCAACTTCAGAGCGCTTTTGTATAGAATAGGATTTTTTTTAAACAAATTAATTTTGCAAATAAAGCAAAATGACAAGTTTCATTTTTATTGAAAAAGCAACTATCTATGATGTCAAAAAGCCTGAATTTTAATTCATGGCCAATGGTTGTTTAAAGTATTGAAAAGTCGTACGTTTTGATATTATTGATTTTGGTAAAATTTTGTGATATTTATTATTCCAAGTTGAAATAAATTTATTATTTCTTTTTTATTTATTTTTTTAATTTCATTTTTTAAATCTATTTTATTTTTTGCTACAAAATATGTCTCGGTCATGTTTATTTAAAAGAATTCTCTGATTTTTCTTTCTTTTAACTATTTAGCGTTGTAATTGATCTTTTTATATGCATTGTAGAACATGTACACTTCAAGACTTTTCTATGGTTACAATTCAGGATATTACAATTAACTGTCTACTAATAAATTTCAATATGAAATCTCTCTCTCTCTCTCGGTGTCTGTGTGTGTGTGTGTATGAGAGAGAGAGAGAGAGAGAGAGAGAGATCAAGAAAACGTCATTATTTACAGTTATATTATAGATTCAATACTGAAAGCAGCGTCATAACAACGTTTTAATAACAGTGTGGATTTTTTTTAAAGACAATCAGATTTTTAAAAAGTCATTTAATATTCAAAAACTATGATGCATTCAATTTTATTCAAAACAATTGCATATGTATCATATATAGCAAGTTGAAAACTTTATTAACTCCCTCTCAATATATCCAGTCAAAACTGACTTTAAACACACTTATGGCATTGGATTAGAAATAGATGAGCCGGACATGGTTGGCAATTCAGTTGTTGTAGCACATCCGGATCCCGTCTGATCGAATCTGTATACAGGTACTGAAGCACAAGCGTTCCGGATTTCTGTGGTGAGATGATCTATACTGTGATGGCCGACTTCATGGATATCTGTGCTGCAGTTTAATTTCTCGATCATCTTAATCTGGAAGAGATATCAATAATGATAATATGACATAATATTTGTGTTCAAATTCTTTTAATCATTTCAAGCTTAAATAAGAAAACTTTATTAAGAAGTTTCTTATTGGGAAAGTAATTACAGAAGCTTTAGAACTGATTGAAAGATAAGGACACATTTGATTGTTTTTTTTTTAATATTTATGGTGGAAAATTAATTGATGACAGATTAGAGTGAGGGATGTATTCATATTTTGTCTTCAATTTAATTTTTCATCAAATGGGCTCTTTCTTCAATTTTATCAAATAGAAGTTATCATTGAATCAAGAAAATCTGACAGACAAAAATTTCGATTGTGTTTAAAAATACATATTCCTTGTTTTGCAGAATGCAGCGCAAAATAGAGGATGTAGTAAGAATAGTAAAGTACCTCAAGATCTGGTCTAAGTGCATCATCAAAAGAATCCTGAGATTCCTGGTGATTCATGTGATACTCATAACATCCGGTTCCGGGACGGTATATGATGGCTTTGTGCTAAAACATATTTTGTTAATATTTACATTTCTGAAACATATTCTTTTAAATTTCATCATGAAGACATAGGAGAATATATAATCTATGTTCAGTAATAAAAGTTCTAAAATTTTATTGATAAAATTAATAATTTTTCAGCCTAATTGCTTCAATTGGCTGTGAATATATGACAATTCATATTGATATTGTGGTTCAATTAGATGTATCATTTGTAAAATGAACATAAAGATTTTACATGACTTAAAAGTATTCTCAATGAAATGATATGATAAATATCTACATGATACTTACATGCTTCTGATCGTACATAACTTGTTCACAGAGAACATAGTTCATCTAAAAAGAATAGGATAATCAGTTATTACAAAAATAAGTTTCTACAAGCAGCAATATGATTTTTCAAGAGAGAAAAAAACATTTTGCTATATTAGTACAAAAATATAAGAACTTTCTATAATAAAATTTAAAAAAAGAAGAAGATACAAATAAGTACAATTCTGAAAAGACTTACCGCTAGGAAGAAAACGAAAACCGCGAATGACTGCATTTTGTCAAACTGAGGTATGGATGAAGTGCTATGTCTACTTTATAATCAGATTTTCTGTGAGAACATGATGTATCTCAGACAAATGATAAGATGTTTAAGGCAGGCCTTGAGAGCTTAAGCATTATCGTGATCAGTGTTATTTAACAAAATTAGTATTAAAGGTCACCAATTTGATTTATTACAATTCTTGAATATTTTCATTATTTATAGTGTCAAAGCTTTTTTTTTTTTTTTACATTTTGGTCTTAAACAATTTGTATAAAATATCTATGGAATTATAGGACTTTGCGAGTAAACGACATTGTTTAGATTTTTTAAAGAGAGATACAAAGAATGCTTAAAAAATACGTCTTTGAAATGTGGCGTTTTTTTAGAAATAAAACCAAAACACCAGTCAGAAACAAATTTACTGATGTGAAGGACTACACAATGAAAAACATAAGCCTACAACAATGAAGAAATTTTACAAATTTTATAGATATATTTGATTATGAATTGTATAATGTAGTCTTCTGAAAAGCGAAACACGTGTTCTGAACATTAAGTATTTACCTTATATCATGATCAAGGGGACCTTGATGATAACATCGAAGGTTGTGTATGAAAGCCGGGTTTTCATTAAATATTATAGTTATTTCAATGGAAAATAATGTTGTAAGGTAAAGATCTAATAAATGGAAGGGGTCTTAAGTTTTCTGAAAATCGAGAATTGAATTCCTTTAATGATTTATAATTATTCAGAAAAAGAACACACAAATAAAAGTTGTTTCTAGATTTTTATTAAAAGTATTAAGTATTTCTTTCCAAAGATGATAAAACTTTTAACAAAAACTTTTTGATTACTGTTATGGAATTTGAATTCTTAAGAGAGACAGCTATTTTTGTCTAATTCATTTTGTTATGTCGATATTGTAATGATCTTAATAATCAGAACTAGAATCGTCCACATCAGATTTTATATTTATATTTTATGTTTATATTTTATTCTTATATTTTATGGATACTTTAACGTAAGTTCCTGTGAATAGTTAGATATGTATGATTTATGTGCAATATAAAAACAAAAAAAGTTAAAAGTTGATTTATTCTACGACGTTGTGATTTCGTATGATACAGAATCCATGCATTTCTTTTGAGAAGAGGTTTGTTTTCTTTTTCTACTGGAAAGACAACTTTTTCAGTAACTATGCAATTAACACAGAATGCTTTTGCAAGTGAAACATTTAATTTGTCGTTTCATATCAACAGATATGTTGATAGTTTGTGTGTGTGTTAATTTCTATCCGAGGTTCATCACAAATGATTCAAGTGCTTATTTCTATCACATGTTTAACACGTTTCAGTAAAAGTATGATGATTGATTTTCGCCAGTCGGTGTACGAATCCAATTCCTGACTTTTGTCTGTGGATCCTCTTCATAAATCCATCCAGTTACTGTAAAGGATATTTAACCTTTAAGGTACCTTTAAAAAGTATAGCCACGGAGCAGATTCTTTTTAAAAAAGTATCTGACCCATATTAGGACCTAACTTTCTAACCACAAATACCCATGTTTAAAATACTCATATTAATTTAAAGCATTTTAAAGTAGAAAAGGATTTATCAAGAAGAAAAGTTCAAAAAATGTAATTATCTAAGCAATAAATAATCAATAAAGATTGCATCAATATCTATGAGGACAAGCAAATTTTTGAAAATAAAAAATAATAAAAGAATAACAAGAAATGCTGTGCTGGAAAGATGTAATTAATCATGAGGGATAGAAAACAATTGAAAACTATTTTTTAACCAGCTAGATTTTTTTAGAATAGATTTTTATTGCTTAAAATCATAGGGAAATAACTCTTCAAGGACAGGACAAGGTCATAAAATAGGGCATGTTGTGCTCGTATATACTGATACTTAACATGAAAATGATATCTAAATAAAATGATATTCAGTCAAAACATATCTATTCTCTGAGGCTATGATGGGTCGTGCGGATATGTAAAGGCTGCACTCAGATATCCTACTTGGCTATACAGTATGACGTCATAGTAAGCTGTATGACGTGAACTTTAGAGATACTGATTTCTTAACATCTATATTTAAAGTTTAAATTCGTCCAAGAAGTGAATGGAATCATTCAAAAACATAATATAAACTAAATCTTGTCGTTTTGGGTGGTATAAATAGCTTAGTATTTACCACGGTGGTTAAATACCAAACCCATGACGTCATAACTATTGATCAAATATTTGCCGGGTGAAAATTAAACGTGACGAGAATTCGTGTAAAAAAATATGAAATGGGGGTCTTAAAGCACACATGTATACCCTGAATGTCATGTGTGATTCATAAGGAATAAAAGATTAAGAATCAGGTACGCTGATTTATACTTACCATTTTTTTCTTATAATGATCACAGGCAGTTTTCCCCTGCTTTCTAACAACAAAGATGCGAAAGTTCAACACTACGTCGCATACTTTGAAACATAATTTTTGTTTGTATCGAAAGCTTATATTCTATGTTACTTGGAAAATGCTGCTAGAATCGTGTGGTTCACATGAATTGATGACAATTCCTAGATCGTATGTAAAAAATGTGAAAATTATGGTAAGGTTTCGTGCAAAACTTTGGAACAATTTTTTTTTCTGTTTCGGGCGAGTAGAATTCTAGCAGCACTTTTCATTTTTTTTCCCCATGATTTTTCATAATTATTTTCACAAAAAGAAATAAATTATCCCCGGGGCAGTATTGAACTTTTCACTTTTTCGTTAAGGCAATTTTTCTATTCATAGACGTCACGTGATGACGTCGTAGTGGAGTGCTTCTATTTGCTCAAGACTCAATGACGTCTATACAAAGGATAATAATAGTAAATGTTTAAATCTATGGCTATTTATCTATGGCTTTTCCGATTGATCAATGTTACATTTTATGAAAAATAGTCTAAATTCGCCGAAAAATGATCTGAGCACTGCCTTAGTATTATACCTGCACGGCTACTTTAAATGTCAGTGTGGTATGTTCTTGCATAATAGTTACACGTGTAGTTACCGATATCTTTCCCGCGCTTTGTCGTTTTTGGAGAAGTTGCTAATACATAATTGGTCAACTTTTCACCATTAGTCGGTACGGGGTTAACAATTTCGTTCCCTGAATAAGCCGGGGATACAAGGCTCCTCTTGGCAAATTTAGAACTATTGAAAGGGCTGGGTTCTGAAATGATAACAAAGGAATATAAGATAATATATACTTTATGCATTTCAAAATATAATATTTTTAAAAGCAAAAAATGGAGAAAACATTGTCAACTACTAACCACTATTTCTATTGTCTTCCCCTTCGTGTCCCTTTCCAGCAGACGTATTTTCTGTATTTTTTGTGGGTTTTAATGGCTCGTCAACTGTGTTAGCAGAAAGGAACGCAGTAGAAAATGTTGGATTAATTGTTGATGGAACCCTTTCCATTTCCTTCTCAAAGACTGTTCCATCATTTTCCTGACCCATTTTTTCTATGATATGTGCTCGGGTTTTTAAATCTTCCTTTTTTCTGAAATACATATGACACAACAGTGGAAAACTCTGGATCAGATGTTCATAGTTTCTTTCTTTTCATCTCATCAGTGAATTGGCAGAGATTACTCATTTGATAACAGGATATTTTAAACACATCAAATGTACAATGTGATAAATTATGTACTCTTCATTTACTTTTAAATTTGTGTACAAATGATTCCAGCACATTCATTTTTAGCAATAAATTCAGATTTCAAAATGCAAAGATCTTAAAAAACTACAACATCAACATCATATTGATGACCTGCTATCCTAAATTTATTCATTCTTATTTTGTTTCAAAATAGTCTGAAAGCACACAAAAATTTTACTTTTTCTTTCGACACCATCGCTTTCTCCAAGCCAGACATAGTATCAGAACTGCAATTATTATTCCAATGATTAAGAGCAGAGATAAGGCCAGAGGTACCGCTAAACTGGTGTCACTCTCTTCCACAGGGGAGACCACCGGGTCAGCATTAACACGTTTACCTCCGTAAGGAACAACCTTTTCAATCTTGTATTCATCCCACCTCTCATCTGAAATGATTCACATTAAGCATATTATATATACGTCAACATCGATTTTATGTAGAAAAATACAATGCAATTATCCATTCATCCATCCTCCTTGTTTTTCGATACACAGTTTTGAAATTCATATTCATAATCCTATCACAAAGTTACCTTCTATAAATGGTCTACCATTGACATCGATTTCAAGGAGGTCTAGAAATTCGCCATTAGTTAAGAATGCCTTGTTTCTGTGCAAGTTTTTAATGTCGTTCGTGAGTTCAGTCTTTACGGCATAGATATAAACAAGAACTGATCTGAAATAGTACACCATATATTGCACAGAGAAGTGTGAAATTGTTGAATATTTTCCTTCTGTTTTTAATTTTTTTTTTTAATTTTTATTTTACTTCAATGACTGTACAGTACAAAAAAAGATAAAAAAGATAAAAATCTAGTCTATTTTTATGAAACTTACTCCTTATTCTCTAGCACACACCATCTTTTAACATAAGGAGTAACATATTTAACCAGGAGCGCTTCCTCTAGTTGCTGCAGAAAGTTCGTTTCCATTTGATAAAATGATGCTAAGGTCATACCAAGATGAAAGGTGATGACAACTTTATTAGGGTCAAATCTATCAACCCTGACCAGGGCTGGATCTGATGACGTCAGAAAGGGATTACCATTATCATGTGCCATGATTTTGAAAACGTATTTAGAATCAACCAATTTCCCGTTAGCTTTTACTTTTCCTAAAATAAAATGGCAGGTATTATAAAAAAATTATGCAAATGTTAAATTGCCGATAATGATAAAAATGAAACTATAAATAACTCGATAAGCTTTTACCAAGTGGAGACACGACAAAGGGTAGATCTTTTGTTTCCAGCTCAAAATTTATGGCTGCGTTTTTTCCTAAATCTGCGTCCGTTGCTGTAATTTTTGTTACTTCAGCATCACAGAGTTTAACGGAGGAGACTTCAGAGTTATAAAACACAGGGGAGAAAACAGGCCTGTTATCATTGACGTCTTGGATCTGGACAGTTACGTTTGCTGAGCTGGATAATGATGGTACACCTGTGTCTCTGACTATAACTGTGAATGTCAACTCGTCATAGGCTTCCCTGTCTATTCTACGTTTGAGGAAAATGTCTCCTGTATTTCCATAGACACCAAAATAATAATCAGCGAGTAAGCCATTTTTGTTCGAAATGTCAAGTTCATATTTAATTATAGCGTTTATTCCTACATCTCGGTCGGTGGCTCCAGTCGTGTGAATTTTACTGTTTACAGCAAGATTTTCAAAAATAGCCGTTGAAAATTCTTGTCGTCTGAATATTGGTGGATTGTCATTAATGTCGTCAATTTTAATTTTTACGATTACATCAGAAAATAGGGTGGGTGTTCCACTGTCCTTAGCTCTCATCAGTAAGGAATATTCATCATAAGCTTCCCGATCCACTACCCCATTGGTTAAGATCTCACCAGTCATTTCTTTTATATCGAACACTCCCGTGTTTCCTTTCCAAATTGTAGCTATACTATATTTCAGTTTAGCATTTTTACCAATATCTTTATCTGTGGCTTCAATGTTCCCGACAAGGGTATTTTGTCTCACGTGTTCTTGTATGCTGAATTCGTATACAGATTTCGATAAAACGGGAGGCGAATCATTTTCATCTCCTACATTTACCACTGCGGTCACAGTAGACGACCTTGGAGGGACACCATTGTCGGTGACCTTTACAATCAACTCATATCTGTCTTTATACTCTCTGTCTAATGTTGTTGCTAATTGCACGACTCCCGTATTTGATTCAATCTTGAAGATTGAGTTAAGGTTCCCCAAAATGATTTCATAGTTAAGTTTTCCAAATTTCTCTGTATCAGCATCGTATGCACTAATATTGAAAATAACTGAGTGTTCCGGGGCGTTTTCAGATACAGTGGTGACGTAGCTCCCAGTTATGACTGGGTCGTGGTCATTGACGTCAGATACAATTATTTTTAGTGACAGGGTTCCCGTCATACGTGGGTTTCCGCCATCAGTGGCAGTTATAACCATTTCATATCTGGAAATAAAATTTAAAAACTTATCGTATACCTATCATGTCTGTAAGAGAATCAACATTGCGGTTGTTTTAAATATCCCGAACAGTGATAATCCTACATTTCAAACTATCATCATTTGTACTTTTTTTCTTTAAAACAAATTGTTGTCTATCTCAAGGCTAAATATTTTTTTTTCAAAATGAAATAGGAGTAAACTACTAGTACTTTATGTCAATAAAACTAACTTGTCTTTGGTTTCCCTGTCTAGATCACCTGTAACAGTTACAGTACCATTGACTGGGTTCACCTGGAAGGGCACTAAAGAGGCGGAGAAATATGTAATCTTATTGTTATCATTAAGTGAGGAATCGGCGTCTTCAGCAAACACACTGATAACTGACTGACCAATCAGAGCACTTTCTGAAACTCGCTCTTGTAAGACAGTTTGTAATAACTCTGGTGCATTGTCATTTTTGTCCAATATTTTAACAATTACCGAACACTCTGTAGACAATGATGGAGAACCAAGATCAAAGGCTTCAATTGCCATAACAACTGTTTTAATATCTTCATAATCTATAGGCGTAACGACGGATATAATGCCTTTAGATATATCGATGTGAAATTTAGAATCGTCATTCCCCGATACAATCCTATAGTGGACTTGTCCATTGATTCCTTCGTCATCATCAACAGCGGAAATACTACCGACTGTCGTCCCTGTCGCTGTATTCTCCGAAACCAGTAACCTGTAAACAAACACAGACATGTACCAAAAACAAACAGTAGAATCATATAATCAGACAAACACAAGTTTACTACGTATCGTATGGTTTGATATCGATATTTTTAGTTTTATTAGGAATATTTTTTTCTCGAAATTTGCTCGAGCAATTGAAGAACGTTCTTCTTATTCTTGTTTGTTTTTTTTTTAAATATTCATCTTGCAGAGAATTATCAATTATATGACCAACTTAAAAGAAAAAAGAGATTTACTGATAACTGGATTGTTTAAACACAGGGTGTTCGTTAATGTCCTCTACAGTCACAGAGACGGTGGCAGTGGAACTCTTCTCTCCATCAGAAGCCAAGACATACAGGATAAAAGTAGGACTGGTCTCCCTATCAGCAGGTGCCCGGAGGATGATTTTTCCACTTTTAGGATTGAGCACAAAATGTGGATAAAGTTCCAGGAAGGAATATGTGACTGTATCGTTATCGCTATCTGTAGCAGAAACAGTAGCGACAGACGTTCCAATGGTGGCTGCTTCACTCACAGTAGACTGGAAATCTTCAAAAAGAAAATCATTTCGTATTTCATTTCATAGATGCATAGTTTGCAAGACATATACTAGTCAAATAATTCAACGAGAGAGAGAGAGAGAGAGAGAGAGAGAGAGAGAATTTTACCTTGCTTAATAAATTGAGGAGCAACTTCGTTAACGTTTAAAATGTTAATTGAAAGCTTGAGGGACGTAGAAAATATCCCATCTGATATGGTAATTGTAATCTTGTAGAAAGATGTGCGCTCATAGTCAAGGGTACCTTAAATTATATCCATTACATGAACGACATACATCTTTTTCTTTAATTAATCATAACTGAATCATAAAGGAAGCATTTTAATGATCATTGTTTTAACATTGTTATTAGGAAAAAGATGGACACCGAACGTTTGATACATGCACGTTCAAGGCACATCTTCCAAGTGTTTAAATGTAGCCTTAAAAGAATTGAACCAAAGCTTTGAGTTTGTTTTCAGGTGATTTTAAATGAACGATCTGCTTCCTTTGCTACTAGGGTTTAGGTTATAAAACTTTTAGAAGTAGAAAATAGAAGTAGAAATATCAGATTGTTTTTATTTCTAAACACAATCCTTAGTCACCTACTACCTTTCACTTTGAGTTGTTTAGTTGCAGGGTCCAACACGAAGGTGTTATCTGATGGATTCTGACTCAGGGAGAAGGTAAGAGGATTATTGTCCACGTCATAACATCCAAAGTCCGCCACTACCACGTGACCTATAGCTGGAGTCACAGAAAATAACATTTAACTTTACGGAGGATAATTTCTTTCTTTTACTACTAGTGTCCAAGTGGAGAGCTTATAAATAGCAATAACTCGGACAGTTTATTGTCATGCTTCTTTAAGTAAATCCGATAAACACTTTGCGGTTTACGCCAATGATCGAGAAGAACAACACCAAATAAAGATTTGTTTTTTTTTCTTATATTTTTAAACCTGAAGTGAAAGATAAAATTATCATTAAGACTTACCTTCAGATTCAGATACACTGATTGCATCTGATGACTTTTTGCAAAAGGGGGCGTGGTCATTTCCGTTATCTATATTGATTGTCACTGTGCCGGTAGTCTGATGAACATAGAATTAAATTAGGCATAGCTAATGAAACGATCATGCTTAAGACTAAAATAATTTTGAGATATAAAAACATGCAATAAAAATTCTTGCATAATTCTCTTATTCTATTAACCTTTCAAGTACATTAACGCTGCTGGTTAATTTCCAAGAAAATCCACAAACTGATGAGAAGTTTTATTTCAAGCATTACTATTTTTTCCTTTTTTCATATTTGTATTATTATAATAATTAATCATCTTACTGTGTCCCGACCGCCATCTGTTGCCATGACAACAACTTCATATTGTTGTATTTTCTCAAAATCGAGCTTCTCTCCCAGGAAGATTTTTCCAGATGTTTTGTCCAGTAAAAAATAATTTTGGTTTCCGTTTTTCACTTGGAAAAGAAATGTTTTATATGAAACCAATTTTATTTAATATTAATTTTACGAGTTTACTACCGTTTTGATTTTGAAAATACATTTTTTATAACTTAAGAAATGTACCGTTTAATATCTTATATGACGTCACCCCATGAGGTGGTGCGTCACCATCGTCTGCTTCATATTTGAAAATCATTGTTCCAATAGCAGAATTCTCATTTACGGTAATTTTTGGATTTGATAGAAACCCTGGTCTGTGTTCATTTACTGCAGAGAGTTGAATCAGAACCCATACATATGTTGATTGAATACCATCTGAAACCTGAATCGTCATGTAGTAAGCTGTGATACCTTGATCATAGTCCAGATCTGAATAGGAAAGGAACATTGTATACTTCATAGGGACTAAGAAAGAAACAACTATAAAGAAAATAATTTATTTTTTTCTTACCTTTAGCTATTTCTAAATCACCATTGGACGAGACATGAAATTTATTTCCATCCCCAGATAATATCTGATACGTGAAAGAGGGATTAGCATCACCATCAGTACACGAAATGGAAAGAATCTAACAGGAAGAAGAATGGGAGTAGTTATTGTATGTTAAATTTAATTTCTTCAATTCTTATTTATATAAAACAAATACAACGAATTGAAATATACTAGTTTGTGCACTGATTTTTAATCCTTTATAAATGAGAACAATTTTTGTTACCTTTTAGATTTTCATACCTTGGTCCCGCCTTTCGCTGCATCTTCTCTGAGAGTTTTGTTGAATTCGTTTGGTAAACAAATTGGAGCGTTATCATTGACGTCATCAATTGTGATGTCAACAGTAGCTGTGGAACTCAATCCTCCTCCGTCAACTACTTCTATTGTTAGAGTATATGTGTTGCTTGCCAAGGCCTCGTAGTCAACAAACTTCCGTAAGTAGATCTTCCCTGTGTTTTTACTCATCAGAAATATATTGGTGGGATCCCCTGCTTTTCATACATTAAAAAAGTACCGTTTAGATTATGAAAAAAATAAATATGACATCTTGAAAACATGCAAATCACAGTTTTGTGATGTATTTCATAAGTAGTTAATATCAAAATTTCATCTCTAGAAAATAAATCTAACCAGATACTTTATTTTTTTTCTGAGACGTTCTGTTTCCTAACAGACTTCAGTAAGTTTGTCTTGTAACCCAAGGCATCAAGTATTATAAACTCTATCATATGAAAACTATTTCATGATTGTTAGTATGAATTTGTCCAAAACGAAACATTTTTGTGAAGACGAATGTATGAGTTGCAGGTGGCATCGAGCTAGTATTTAATGTCTTTCTGTGGTTACTGGTTCTAATTCTCTATTTCTGTAATAATATTTTAATACATAGCGTTAGGAGTGTGGAGTGAGATGACAGATGGGGGTGGAGGTCAAAATATAAGAAAAGAATATATTGTTTTAAAAAATAATATGTAAAAGGTACTCTTAAAGGTGCTTAGACACAGATTTGAACTTTATATTTTCTCAAATTTTCTGTATAATATCACGACTTATATATTGCAATAGCATTTCACACGAAAATATATTTAAAAACTTATATTATCTGGAAATCATGGGAACTACAAATTCCGGGACGTGTTTGATTAACACATCTTTGCACTTACACAAATTTTAACTTCATCCTTAGTTAATATTTAAGAAAAGAAGCGATTTTGTTATGTATTAATGAAAAATATTACATCTATAATCCAGAAAATTCAGAGTAGAAATGTTCGAAAGCAAAACCAACTCACCAGTATTGTCAGTCCGCGCTCTGTGATGTGTATATAGTTTAACAAATTGAACACACCTGTGAAACGTAAACTGTTTTTGTAAACAGGGCACGAGCTTTGTTATTGTTAATGTTTACGATTCACCGGGTGTGTTCAATTGTTAAACTCTGCACACACCACTGAGCACGGACTTACAATAATGTTAGTGGGTTTTGCTTTCGAACATTTCTACTCTGAATTTTCTGGGTTATAGTTTTAATATTTTTCATAAATACACAACAAAATTACCACTTTTCTTAAGTATTAAGAATAAAATTAAAATATGTGAAAGCGCAAAGATGTGTCAATCCAACGCGTCCTGAAATTCGAAGTTTTAATAACTTCGAAATGAAATAAGATTTTTAATATATTTTAGTATGAAATGCTATAGCAACATATAAGTCATGAAATCATACAGAAAATTTGAGAAAATATTAACTTCAAATCTGTGTCCAAGCACCTTTAAGAACAGCACAAACACCTTTAGTTATATTACTATTCGTGTATTCCTAAATAGTAAAGAATCAAATTTGTTCAAATCAGGGTAAACAGGACAGGACACAATTGAAGCCTCAATGAAGGAAAAAGTATTACATGTGCATATATCGGGATAATCTTGAAATCAGGATCAAAAACAATGATCTGAGACCAAAATAAAGTCAAATTATAAGTTTTGAATGTGTTGATTTTTATTTAACAAACAGGGTTAAAAATTGCAAGTTTGAATATAATTCCAATCCAAACTATTTTTAATTTTTAAATTCGTTTCAGTCGCCCGCGCGGCGCAGTGGTTAGAGCGTCTGGTCTAGAGTTGCGGAGTAAGGAATCCTTACCTCGCGGGTACGAATCCACTGCGGGACGTGGAGACCGGTCCTTAGGATGAGACTGTATAAACCGAGGTCCCGTGTTGCAGTCGGTGTTGGCACGAAAAAGATCCCTCACTGCTCAACGTCTCTGAGTGCCGAGTATGGGTATAAATTTGCAGCCCTCCACCGGTAAGTGGTGGTGTCTCCATATGAATGAAAAATTCTCGAGAGAAACGTTTAACATCAAACAAACAAACGAAAATTCGTTTCAAATTGATATAAATTTGAAATTCGACGAAAATTTATCAATTCATGGATTTAAGGCCTGTTTTAAGAACATCATGCCCAGGACCACACTTTGCAGGACTCGGCCACTGTGGCTTAGTAAAGTCTTAAAAGGCTATTTTTTTTCTAAAGTACATACTGAAAAAAATACCTTTTAAAAAAAATATCTTCTCAGGGATAAATAATGCCAGTTTGCAAAAAAATAACTATGTCCTGTACAATTCAAAATCAAAATCAAATGTTCAGATCCCCGGTGATTGGACAAGGTCACGATAGAATTTTTTTTTAAATTTATTTATTTATTTTTTTTTACATGCAGACTATCATATCATCTTGTGCAAGAAAAACACGGTACTTTTGTAAACGTTATGCTTAACATGTTGTTAAAATCTAATTTGATGAGATAATAGGCTTTACAATGGATGAAATAATACATGTATTAAATTTGCGTAATTGTCTATGTTTTAGTCAGAAAGAGAAAGGTGACTCGACGCAGATAATCGTTGTTGTCATTTTTTTTAAACAGCTTCATCTGAATGTTATATAAATTGACATGCAATAGCTGTATTTTTTCTCTTAATCATAACCTTTATTACCAACAAAGAAGTTTTTATCAATTTGACAGAATTTTGTTTTTTCCATTTACTTCACTTTAAATTTTTTGTCAGCAATGTGCTTTGATAATAAACACTTAATATTTTTTGGGATAGGTATAAGGACTGAATTGACAAAAAAGGCATTGTTAGGCATCTTTTTACTTGTATATGGCGCATTTCAACATGCAGTTATACATATAATTTGTTTGTGCCTTAATTTTCATCTTTGATGTTCATGTAAGAAGTTTCAACTTTAGCTCCAGGTCCATTAAGGATATCCGTGATCGTATCAGTCTCAGTTACGCAATTCTTATAGAACATGCCTTGATTTACACATAAAGATTCAAATATATTTACAACAAATGAGAGTATCGCCGTAAATGAAGGAGGCACTACCTGTGATCTTGTACGTCAATTCTCCGTGGATATCTGTATCGTTGTCTGTAGCTGTCACAGGTAGAATCTCTGTACCTATCTGTGTAGTCTCCGGGATCTGTAATAACATGGTTGCATTCATTAGTGTATGATTGGCACAAATATTCCTTTCTGTTTCAAACAAAATTGGAACAGAAATATCAGAATTTTATTTGTTTTGAGGAAGAAAACCTGGCCGCCTAATCATGAAACAGTTTAAGAATTAATCAAAAGATTGCAAATTGTCTGAAATATTTACATAGAGACAAGTACAATTTGAAATGTTATTAAAGTTTGTCTCGTCGCCCGCGTGGCGCAGTGGTTAGAATGTCTGCTCTAGAGTCGCGGAGAAAGGAGTTGATCCTTATGTCGCGGGTTCGAATCCAACTGTGGGACGTGGAGACCGGTCCTTCGGATCAGACCGTATAAACCGAGGTCCCGTGTCGCAGTAGGTGCTGGTACGAAATAGATCCCTCACTGCTCAATGGCCGTAAGTGCCAAGTATAGGACAAAATTTGCAGCTCTCCACCGGCAAGTGGTGGCGTCTCCATATGAGTGAAAAATTCTCGAGAGGGACGTTAACATTCTTTGTGCCGCGGGCCTATGTTGGGCCTATTTTCAAAAACTACGTTAAGTGCCATGGGCCTATTTTGGACCTACTGTTAACTCATTACGTCACAAGTAAAACTGATTATGACGCTCCGTCATTATTCTGAGTTTCGCGCCATTTTAGCCTCTTGATGCAGAAAACAATCAATTATTTTACAATTATATTACTGAAAATTGTGAGAAAAATTGTGAGAAAGAACAGAGATTTTAAACAGGCATTTCATTTGTCTTAATCTTTGGAAAATGTAAACAATGCATTCTAATTTAAAATTAAGGAATTTCATCAACATCTTCAATCCTTGTCTGAACGATACAAGTAATCAAATTAAGTTCCAGTGTGAGAAAAAATATTAATTATTTACCTTAAACATGTTTTGATCGTGGTAAATATGAAATACTAGTAATGCAATATCATTGTAATTTCTGTAAAAAATTTTTTTATCTAAAATCGGCATTATATACCATACAATTTAACAATATAACATGTAAGCCTTGTAGAGCTTTTTAACCGACTATAAAACGTTTTATCCTTGGGAGCATCGCAAATTTATACAAAGAAATGCAGATTACAACAGATTACTTAATCTGGAAATAGCAAAAAAAAAAAAAAAAATAGCGACTGTGTAAAATGTATGGTATACATGATTAAAAAGTCTAATAAATATAATTTGTGGAGGAAAACACTCCTAATTATCCCGGGATTGTATATCGGCGAAAAGGGGGGTGAAAATATCTTCAAAATCGGAGCAAGCCCCCCCCCCCCCCCCGCAAATACCCCTAAGCCCTAAGATCTTGATTTCCTCCAAATGTAACTTAACCAAGTATAGTAATACATTATTTACTTTATTTTCTAACAGCTAAGCGAGGCATTTACGGTCAACTACTACTTACATATAGATGCACATTGTAAGTGTTGACGGAATATTTAGTTTTTCCAAATGGTTTGTTTCTTAATTCTTTAAGGTCCTTGAATATATCTAGCACCAAATACAAAGCACAGACTCCAGTTTCAATTATATTTTTTAACCCATAACAGAAAAATAACATTATTATACTATGGGTTAAATAATTATTACAGAAAGAAGTACCTGTGATACAAGTAATACATATTGTAGAAAAATGTTGTAGTAAAATCACAAAAAGAACAAGTTTTTATTATTATTTTTTTTATAAATCTAAGTCTCTTCATTTGATTGAATCAAAAAATCCGCAGAATGCATTCGAGTTGCCGATCAAGATCAACATAAAAACAAACAAACAAAAAAGTTTGTCTCCCTTTGTTAATTTCAATTTTCAAAAATGAGTTTCTAATGTTCATTATTTGAATGACTGAAAATTTTTGAGAATGTTCTGAGCTTGATATGAAAAGTCAAGAAAATGGTTTACCGTTCACGATGATCTTAACAGATAATGAAATACATGAAGATATCTTTCTTAAGAATGTATATAATTGAATTGTTTAAGCGTGTTATACTGTTTAAATGTATCATATGTCATTGTTAATCGTAGCATTTCATCGAGCCACCAAAATTATCAAATCATAAAATTGACTTATGCAGATCGGGATTTTTGAATAACTTAGTGGAATCGCAAAAAATTGTCTTCAAGAGAGATCAATTAAATTTGCAATAAAAAATTTAAGTTCTGCACACAAATTATAAGACAGGGTTAAATCATTGATTGAAAAAGTCGAATAGTGATCAATTTCATAAAGGTCATAAGGAATACAAATCGAAAACAGCGCTATTTACCAAAACAATTATATTACTTGTTCATGCACAAATGATGTAAAATGATAAGTGACTAAAGAAAAGTTTTTAAAGTTTGATTACAAATTATAGTCTTTTAACGCATTTACTTACATTTATACTTAGTTGTTGTCCATCTATAAAAGGGGTAAACTCATTTACTGGTTCAATGTGGACGGTTACAGTCATAGATCCTGTTTTCTGAGGGTCAAGGGTCGAGCTGTCAACACCAACCACAATTAGCGTGTACATGACGTCACCATTGTCGTAATCAATGACATTGTTAGTGGTGTAGATTGTGTTATTATTAACTATTTTAAACTTTGGTAGGGGATCATCTCCTGACTCAATATAAATTGATGAACAACCAGCAGGATTACCGTCTGGTTCCTTGTCTTTATCACTGCAGTTAAACGTGGCTACGAATTTATCTGAAAACATAAAAGCCAATTCTTCTTCTACCGTACACTTTTTGTTGCAACTTGTTTTCTAAACTCTCTATAATATGTATGGCATCAGATCTTGAAAAAGGAGTTGCAATTAGTATATATGCTATGTAAAAAAAAAGAATAATTCATATTTAGTCTTTTATATGCTGAGCATGTCAGCTACATCAGCTGACCAAAAATCTAGATGTATAATACATTCAAAAAAAGATACTTGTTGTTTGTATACGAATTTAGTTGCAGAAAATGATGTACCATTTCCTTCCCCCAATCTTCATCTTTAAATTTACATTTACAAATATTTTTTGCTTAAGTAACACTATTTGAACAATGCATTTATCAAGCATTGAATTATTATTTTTTTGATTTTTTTTATGTCGTCGGTCATATAATAGCATCTGGTCTGTACGACAAATAGAATACCACGCGTTTGCGCGGTATGATAATTTGTTGGCCAGCCAGGTGCTGTAATTTGACTGACGACATCCAAAAATAATAATACAATGCTTATATTTATTCTTTTATTCTTTCTCTTTATAGATGTTATTTTTCATTTATCTTTATTTAAATTTAGCGTCTTTCAGAACTGGTTTGGCAGGCACGAAGTATCATTTTTAATAGTGGGGAAGTGGGGACGGAAAAATAATTGACAACTTACATGAAAATTCTTTGTCAAGCAGAAAAATGTAATAGTCCAAACTTGAACTGTTTTGGGGTGAAGGTGGGGGGTTGGGGGAGGGTATATTCCAACTTTTTCTTCATTTTTTTTTTCAAAACATTTACATTGGAGGATTTGGCTATGCTACAAAAAAGTGTGGGGGCCGAGCGCCCTTTCAATAAAGATTTTCATATTAAAATAACAGTAGAACATTATTTTGAAAAAAAAAAGGGGGGCAGTCCAAGTCCCTCTGATACTATGCGCATGTTTGATTAATGAGACGGAAGAGTCATTTTCACATAATTCAAATAAATATTTCTAGGAAGAAAATGACAAATATTTTTTGAACGTAAAATTGTTATAATTTTACAAGAATTTGATAGGGTACTTATTTACAAATTAATTGAGAAAAAACAATATACATTATATAGTGTTCCTTACAGAAAATGTATTTTTATTACATTTTCAACAGTGAAATACTGTGATTTATTTATTTAATAAAAGTGATATTCTCTCACAGTGTGAAAGGATACCAAAATGATATTCTCTCACAGTGTGAAAAGATATCAAAGTTAGTAAAAAATAATTTCTGGCCTGTCATAAGATAGAGATAGTAACTAAATGCAAATTCCTTCCCAAATGTGTTGCTAAAATCCATGCTATGTAATGTTTTCAATCACACAACTGCTAAGCTATGACGTCTCAACCGCTCAACTATTACGTCAGGCCTATGTCACTGTGTTAAGAAAAGACCGAGGCAAAGGGAAAATCAAAGAAAATGTAATAAACAGAAAATTCGATGTTTTGTAGATGAATATGGAATTTATTTCACTCGTGAGACAGGATTTTTTGATATTTTCACTCGTGCTTCGCACTCGTGAAAAATATCAAAAAATCCTGTCCCACTCGTGAAATAAATTCCATATTCATCTACAAAACATTGAATATCCTCTATATATCCTGTTGTATTCTTGCGCCAGTGACAAGGCTTAGAGCGTGTTCATAGGTGATTGAACGTTTTAGATTTCAAATGGATTTCAACGAAGAAAAGTAAACTGAATGTAAAAATATTAATAAAACTTTAAGTACAAGTTTGTCATGTAATCATAAATTCCTTAAGTCATTACCTATAGACATAATTTTTCATTGACGTAATGCAGTAAATAGTCGACGTGTCCAACGGATTTGACTAATACTTATTCGGCTTTGATCAAATGACCAACCCTTATCTATATTCCTATTAGATATTTGAACATGATTCTTTATTTCGTACATATTTGAGCAGGTTGCATTTATTTTGTTTTTCCTGGGGTTCCTTGGATAAAAATCTTATTTTTAATTGTATCTTTCTTATTGTAGTATCTTTCTTAACGTATACTACTTACGAGGATTGTATGGTTAACTCGTGAACAAGTTGTCTAGAGTAAAAAATAATCATCACAGCGTCCTAAAATTTTTACGATTCTTTAGTACTTTTTTTATTGAGATACATGGCAATTTAAAAAAAATATGGGATTTTATGTTATGTGTGGTATCGCCCTTACAGCGCATGCATGATAACGTCAAAGTGTCTCAAGTAATGTAACGTTCCACCTTTGCGAAAAAGTTTGACAAGCCCACTCAAATTCTGGAATTTTACTGATGCACACACTCGAGTAGTCCTTATTCCTCAATAAACTTGCAAAGGTCCAACCTCACAGACGCATGGACCTTCTGACGATTTGTATTACATGTAGTAAGTAATCATATGGACAGTACCTTTACTACAGACAACTAAGTAGGCAATCTTTTTTTTTCAAAGTTCTGAAGAGATATAGCGTATTTCGCCAGTTGCTATTCATCCGTATGTTTTGCTCTATCGCGGACTCGATGAAAACGCCTTTCCTTGAAACGCTAATTCCACTTTTATACCTCAACATATTTTCTTATTTTATTTTTTTCTGTTATCATATTTAATTCTGTAAAGGCGTCATCACTAAATCTACCTAAAAACAGAACCGCTCTCCGATGCGCCGTAACGTCATCAAACTTTGGCATTTCTCGCGTGTTGGTTTACCGCCTTTTCATTTCAAATGCTCAGTTAGTTGTCGAAAATATAGCAAATATTTTTAATTTTTCCAAATGACGAAACGATAGGTGTCTTAATTTTTTTTATCCAACCTTATCTATTTAATTATTTTATTTCAAGATAATACTCGCGTATTCTCTAATAAAACCCTGGATTTTTTTTTGGACATGCACCGTAGGACCATACCTTCTACATATTAAAGTATAATCAAATTCTTATTTTTGTCTAAATTTTTTCAAGAAAAATTAAGATGAACTCAAATATGATAAATAACATTTGCTGAAATTTCAGCTCAGTGGGCACATTATGTTTTAATAAAAATGCTTTGTCCGCGATTTTACCGAACTAGCAAATTTAGTCTTCCTGTGATAAAGTTACATCATTTTTGACATCACATTTAATGATATTCGTCTTTACAAAAAGCGTATAAAAATATTCAAATATTATAAAAACTGATTCTCCATGGATTTTGAATTTACATACATATTTTTTATGTTATTTTAAATCGAATATCAAATTATGTATGTCAGTAAATGAAACTGAACGAACATGCTTTTTTTTGCACAAAGTCGAATGCCTAATTTCAGAAACTAGAAATCTAAGCACAGTTCTTTAGTATATGAATAACATTATCAGGCATTATCAAATACAAAATTGGTTTCGTTTTGAAAGAAAGACCTGCAATGAGAAAAATTATATATAGATGTATTTACTAACCCTCCGGGAGATTTTCCTGAATTTGGACTGTCTGAGATTTCGGGAGTATATCAGGCTGATATTCATTTGCCGGGAGAACGTTGATTGTCACAGGCCCGCAAAAGTCTCCCAAAGCTTCAGATGTCGGGGGGTCTCGTACCCTATTGATGTTTGTTAATTTATAATTTATATTAATTAACAAGAAACACAAAAAGTTCTGCCAAATGTTATCATATAATATAATATGTAAACAAAGAGATATCAATATAAAACTAAAGAAGGGAAATATAAATAGATTGATGAGGCATTTTTATTTCCTATATTTCAAATAAATTGAAATCAAAAGCTTTGGGTCATTTTCGTCTATGCTGCTAATTAAAGGCAGCACAATAGAAACGTTAACACTTAACGCAGATTAATACTATGTAAATGAATCTTCCTATTTAGCGCACCGAACTTTTGACTACATATATATATATAGAAAAGAGCAAGTGCACTTTCTTACAGATGTAAGTAATTTAATTATGTAAGATGGCAAAAGAACTTTTTCTCCGATTTCTCATCTTATATTCTACTGTAAATATAATTTATGAAATTACACCAGATATTATTAACACGATGAATTTCATTTTAATCATAATGTCAAAATAGAATATGCATTTTCCTTATTTCAAGTAGTTGTGCAAGATACCGTTTAGAGAGTTGTCTCCAATTTCTGGTGTATTTCATATTCTACTATTAAATTAAGTGATAAAAGTATACCCAACATTGCCAACACGATGACTTTCAATTTGTTCGAAATCCAGGGACTTTTTTAAACGTAATTGTTTTCCAAAAAGTTCAAAATAATCGCTTTTTCCAAATATATAGAATATATCTCCACCCGTAGATGAGTAAGTGAAAACTCTATATCCGACACCTTCTGCCTCTGACACATTTACAGTGACGCCACCCTTATTTGGTGGGTATGTACATACTGCAGCTGTTGTTCCTATCAATATAAAATTGTGTGTCAACATTTCCCTCTATCATACAAAAAATTGAGAGAGAAAAAAAAAAATAAAGACATAGAAAACAAAGAATCGTTCATAGATGTTTTACATTAGCATCATATTTTAAGTATGTCTTTCATCACTTTTTTTTTCTTTGAAGAAATTAAAAAAGGTGTAGAAAAAGATGTAGATTAAACACCAGACTCTTTTGAAAGACTTCTTCCTCGAAAAGCCAAATATATATTAAAAATCAAACGTCTTTGATATATTATTTTTTCCTGTTTTGGAATCAGGTTATGTTTTCAAATTCCTTTTTCATTTTCTTAATATCAGCTGCAAAGTAGAATATTCTAAATTTAAAAAGTAATAGAAAAGGTTATAAATGATTTTTTTCTTTATATCTACTCACCTTCTTTAACATAGAACCCCAACAGTACAACAAGAACAATGATAATTGTCCTTGGCTGTGTCATCACTTTAAGTTCCATGTCGTATTTAACAAAAAAGGATGCATGTCAGTGCAGTTTTATTTTAAATCACCATAAAATTGTAGACGGTGCCCCATTTAATTTAATCTTTATGGAAATGGAAATTTGTTCCAAACTGGCAAAGCACGTCATATTTTTACGCAACAAAAACGTTTAGAATAGTTTTGTTGTTGCTTTCACGGAATGTTTTAAACAAAACATTCATATTAATACCTTTATAGTGAGAATTTAAAACAAAATGTTAATTTCTGTTTACACTTAAAAAATTAAAAGCTTAATTTAAAAAGGTATTTGTATTATTTAAATGAAAACAAAAACTGACTAAAACTACCAAAAAGAGAGAGATAGAAAGAGGAAAGGAATTGATAAAACAAATCATAGAATTTTTTGCATAAAAAATTGTCTCTAAGTTTAGTATTGCTGGGCTGTAGGATGAAGGAAATTACAAACTCAGGAAAGGCGAAATTATGAACAGAAAAAAAATCACATGTACTAATCAAATTATAGTATACAGTACCGACCAGACACAATTTAATAACAGAGCAAACCCTAACGAACCCCGGGTTCGCTTTGCGTTCGCTCGGTGTCCGCTATTTAAATAAAATTGGTGCGCTTTGGGTGCGATCTGGGTTTTTTGTGAGTTCGCTCGAGGTCAGCTCTAGGTGCGCTAGAGCGAACTCGGCGTTCGCTTTTACTCAACTCCTTTTTATCTTTTTCCCTGTAAGCCGCACTCCTTGTATATTCCAAATATACCGTTGTTGAAATGGTTTATTTTTGTTCAGTGGTGACCAAAAGGACGTTTATACCTGCTAAGACAAATGGATTGATTGATTGTATGTTGTTTAATGTCCCATTCTTCACTCATATAGGGACGTCACCGTACTCCGGTGAAGGGTTTAAAATCTGGACCTATGCTCGGCACTCAGGGCCAGTGCAGTGAGAGTTCTTTTTCGATCCAATGCCTACCGTGACACGGGACCTCGTTTTTTAAAGGTCTCATCCGAAAGACCCATGACTTACACTACTAATGAAGGGCGCTTTTACGAAGGAACAGTCACTATCTATGTTTACAGGTATAAAGGTTTGAAGCGGCGCGGCGAACGACAATGAAACCCGGGCCTTCTGACCACGAAGCAAAAACGCTGCCATTAGTCTTCCGTGATCCGTACGACAAATGGAGGACGTTAATAAAATTACCAGAATTTCATCCTGCGTTCTAAGCAGAAATATGTACTAATACACATGAACATATATGTGTGTCTCGAAAGATGATATTATTCTTAACTTTCTCCATATATATGACACACTGCTAAAGCAATGCTCATTGTTCATTGTGCAACTTTTCAAAATTAATTCTTTCCCCTGTCAAGCATAAAAGGAACGTCACAAAATGGACAATAAGTATATGTTTTATAACTTGTACATTTCTTTTTCATATAAATGGCTACTGCATTACAATAAACACGATTCTTTCTTTTATCCAATACCTGTTGAATACAAGTGTTGATTGCATTTGAAACAGAAACATTAGGTTTGTCTTGGCCCATTTTAACCTTGATTTCAATGTTCTATCACAGATAGTTGTGGCTGAAGATAACATAAATGTAACTTCTTTACAATCTTTCCATTGGACTAAAACACATTCATTTTCTCGATGCCATCTCAAATCACCTCATCTTGCAACTTTTCACCTACTTTAAACATCTTTCAATTCTTTAGTAATAGACAAACTATTTTATTTCAGCACACCAACAAGATAAACCTTCTTCTGTAACAGTTCTTTGCCAATTGGTAATGAGAAATAAAAATCAGTAAAAACCTTGTAACCTTGAACCAAAAAAAAAAAAAAAAACCAGGGTTAGAAACTCCCTGAAATTACAACTCGCAATTAATTGCGAGTACCAAGAAAGTGAACTCGCAATTTTATAAGACTCGCAATTTTCATATAAAGTTAAATTTATATAAATTAAATACATGTAACTTAAGGAAAAAGTAACTACTGTACAATACAAAAATACAACTACAGTGTGACTTTTATTTGAATTACTGATTGAAATCAAAAGCATTGTGTTCTGTCATATTATATAATTTTGCTACAGTTTCAATGCAAAAAAAAAAATCAACTTGCAAGTTTTTGCGAGTTACCTAATTTTTAACTCGCAATTTGGGAATTCTAACTCGCGTTTTGCGAGTTGTATATAGTGAATTTCTAACCCTGAAAAAAAAAAAAAAAAAAAAAAAAAAAAAAAACCATAATGTCATAGTAACATTGATTTTGGGTGTCGGATACGAATACGGAAAGATGATACATTTATATAAAAAAAAAATAACTATACAATTTTCTTTACGTTTGTCGATTAAGAACCCCTCTATACACTGCACACTAAAGAGTTCTGGCCCCGCCGTCACCAACATCCTCAACTCAATACTCAGCCTCAACTCTGAGGTTTTCCCTCAAATTCATAACCTCACCCTCAAGTCACCGTCACCACGCAAAAATTGAGTTTTCCTCAACCGAATTTTGAGTAAATACTCGAATATTTAAGAGTAGCTCTAAAGTAACCTTAAAATCTTCCTCAAGAACAAAAATGGCGGAAAGACGTCGCAGACGTAGGAAGTATAATAGGTTTTTGTGTTTAAGAAATCAACCATCGAAGAGGACAATTAGAGACAGACAGAACAAATCCTTTTAAAATTTATACTGACGATGAGTTGTTTGAGCGTTTCAGGTTTAGGCGGCCTACCATCATACATATTCTGTAGAAAATTGAAAACAATCTTTTAAGCAGTGCGAGGAATAATGCCTTACCTCCACTTTTGCAACTTTTGGTGTGTTTACGGTTTTTTGCTACCGGGGCATTCCACAAACTTATTGGGGATAGCTTCAATGTGTCCGAGTGCACGGTAGGAAGATGTCGTGCGGTGGCCAGTGCAATCGTCAGCGTCCGAGGCGATTTTATTCAATTCCCTAAGGATCATAAGGCCAGAGAAACCAAACAAGAATTCCTGAAAAATGCAGGTAAACTTTCCCCCACTAAAACCAGTCTGCTAGCCTTTAGGCCAGATAAAATTAAACTTTAGATTCTCATCCCCGCCCGCCCCTCTCAAAGTGCCCCGCCCCGTTGTTTTTTATTTTGGTTTTCAAAAGTATTTACATGTATTTTTGACTCAGCAAGAATCAGTCAAAATTTAAGAGTTATCTCCCGTCTGTATTAAAAGTCGCGTGGCGCTATTTATAGCACAAAAGCCATGTGAAGAATGGAGAAAAATCGGCAATAAAAGCAGTTTAAATATGTAGGGAAAAGATAATTTGCCAGGATAGAGAAGGCAGAAAAGCAAAAATAACATAAATACATCTAGATACCATCACTGGCATGAGCAAGTTTTTAAAGAGATTTTAACCAAGTAAAAACAGACGAAGAAAATGACATCTGGTCAAGTTACAACTTAATAATAATCGCCAGTTGTATGTGATTTTGTCTTTAAAAAAAAAAGAAAAAAAAAAGATCGCTGGCAGACTTTAGAGGATAATAATGCTAAGGAAATGGTACATGTAAATCTTAAAACTGTTGAGCATAGGCTTTTCAGTAGAATATTTTACAGTTTTAGACATCGATCCTGTTTTGCAAAAATGACATTCTTTAATGTTGAACGTGTCAAGTCTCAAGAACGAAAGTACGAGGACAGTGGAAATCAGTGATATTTCACACAAAACAAAAGGAGTTGTTGGTAAAACTAAAAGGTATTTGGAGAAAGGCTGATGAGAAGTCGCCAGTGACGACTACTACATACAGCATATGCAATTTATTGGGATCCGCACCCCATTTTGTGTGGCGTGTGCCGTATCTGTGTACTTGAAAATTCATTAATAAAAACTATAAATATTTAATATTCTATAACAAGAATCTTCGGTAGATATTTGAAAAAAATAAACAATAAAATATATTCATATTGGCATTAACATAATGTGAAAATTTTGTGTAAGAAGAGCGTTATGTAGATATTTTCAATAATAAAAAATAAAATCCGCCCACCCGCCCCAATTTTTTAGCAAATTAAGATGAGAATCTAAATTTTAAATTTATCTGGCCTTACTTTCTTTTTAAGAATTTACAAGAGAGATAATGCACAATATTATCTTTGAAAGCTCGTACGTCGGAAAGTCGACTTTTTACTACTAACCTACAGTGTAAGAGTTAATTGTTAAACTTGTCAGTATGACCTGTCATGGCGAAATTCCAACGAGAATATAATACATTCATTTAAATTTCTATATAATCGTCTGTATTAAAGTATCTTTATTGGCCTTCATATTTTTAGGTGTTTTTTTTTTTTTAAATTTTGCACCCCCCCCCCCTTTCCAGTGAGAAAGTTGGTTCGGGGTTGGGGTTTTTTTTGTATCTTTGGCTTGTCAGGTTGCCCTCCTTCCCCCCAAAAACCGTTGCTATGTGTCTGTTTCATGCATTTTCTCATATAAAATCATAATTTCTAATTATATATAATACTGACCAGTATTCATTTACAAACTTTCTTTACACATTATACTTGTAAGAGCAACTAAATACCGAAAGTCACAAAAAAATATTAATAATAAACCAAAAAAACCCCCACAAAAAACAAAACGAACCCCCCCCCCCCCCCCACACACACACACAAACAAAACAATTCAATATCAGTCATGATTGATACGCTTTTTTAAAGGGTTTCCAAACGTCTTAGGATGTATAGACGGGACTTTCGTAAGAATTATTGGCCCATCTGAGAATGAAGCCGATTTTGTCAATAGAAAGGGTTTCCACTCACTCAATGTTCGGGTACATGTACTTAATTATTTTAGATACACAATACTGGAATAAAAATATAACAAAAATGTTAATAATTGTATAATAAATATTTCTGGTTTAGATGGTATGTGGTGCAAAGTTTAAATTTACCAGTGTGTGCGCTACCTGGCCAGGAAGCGTGCACTACAGCCGAGTGTGGAGGGAATCTGCCCTGTGTCGACAGTTTGAACAAGGTACGTGCATAATTGAGGCGTTGATATGGGGAAATGCTTCGGAAAACGTAAATATTTCAACACTGAAAATACCCCCCCCCCCTTTCCCCACCAACCGTCAGTCATCACTTTGTGACCTTTCCCTTCTAATTTCCTTCTGAAGCCTGCAGGTTTAATGTATACACAACAGTTTTATAACTAATGCCTGCTGAATGCTGATACTTGCTGCATATACATATACAGCTTTTTACAACAGGTGAACATAATGGATTTCTTCTTGGTGATTCGGGATATCCTTGCCGTAGATACCTGATGACACCGTACCTCAATCCAGCCATTGATGCTCAACAGCGTTTTAACGCTTCGCTCTGTCGAACAAGAGTGCTAGTTGAGCAGAGCTTTGGGATTATAAAGAGGCGTTTTGCATGCCTTCAAGCAACACTTATGCAAGTTTTTTTTCATTACAATGCATGAAGCAAATTGATCAATGAAAAAATACTTTTTTGGATATTTCAGTTAAAATTATATTAGGATGTGATTTTTACATGTTTACAATATTGTAGGACAAATCCTGACCAGGCAGCAACATATGTTGTCGCATGTGTTGTTTTGCATAATCTGGGGATAGAGAAGGGCGATGTTATGGACAAAGCCTGTGACGCTGCAGATGCATATCAAGCTGATCACTATGTACATAGCCTACAACGCTCAAGAGGGAAGCCACATGCGTGATTATATAGCAAACGCATATTTTGGATAGACGTACGTAAATAGATTTAACATGGAAGTATTTTTTTTTAATATATTGTGTTAATACTTGATGATGGTGGTATTGGTGATAATGTTTTTGATTTTAGATGCTATTGCAATACACAGAGAAGATTTGGATTAAGAAAACAAACGCATGACGACAATTCAACGTCTTCAGTATTGAAAACAATAAAGAAATTGAAAAATATTAATAAATAATATTACGACTTCTCCATTCCTCATATGGCTGTCGTTTGTTAATTCATTTACGAACTGGTCACATGTACATCCATCAAATTTTATGGAAATTCAGCATTAAGCTTGTATAGAAGATACACTTTTTTGTTTCAATATAATCAATTTCTATTTCCAACTTTCTTTTCTCTAATTTAATTTTTTCAATTTCTTCTTTCATTTTCTCATTTTCTAGATGTAGATTTTCCATCTCTGCGTCTTCTATCTCTCTCCTTCCGTTCCTTTGTTTGTTGTTGGACTTTCGACTCACACGATGTGGCTGACTGTCTGATATAAATTTTTTTAAAAAAAATTAAAATCAACACTTTTATAATCACCCTGCCTGAACTAAATGCTATATATATTTTTAAAAAAATCATAGAATGATGCCCGTCGTACCTTTGATGGCGGAGCTACAGTCACCACTGGCTTCTACAGTTCCATTGATACATGTAGTACTTGGCCCATCCTCCATTTTGTGACTAATCGGTGAAATATCTATTTGTTAATTGTAAAAAATAAAAAGAAATTTACCTTAGAACTCAAGCTACCAAAGTTATAATGTACAACCTGGGTTAACGTAGACAAACCTGCCTACTCCCCGATTTACCAGATATTTTTACGATTTTTTGACCCCCCCTATAATTAATACTTATACGTCGTATGATTTCAATGCTAAATCTTCATTATTTCCTTTTTTTTTAATTTTTGCCAAGAAAAAACGAAGCAGCGCAAACACTAGTACTGAAGTGTTAGAAAAATTATAACACGAGCAGCTGTCCAAATGGACAGGTATTTGCATATAAATTTTGTGACCAAAAGTGACAAACAGGGTAGTTATGGAAATACACATGTATTAATGCTCATGTACTTCTCATTTGTCCTTGGCCATGCAGTGTTGTCCTGTTTATATGTTGAGTTTCATAAGAAAACGTTCTCTAAGTAAAACTGTAAATCCTGTTTATTTGTTAATTCACTTTTATTTTTACGCATTGAAAATCTTCTTCTTGTTCAGAAAAAAAATCCCAAAAAACAAAAAACGGTCAAATCTTATGAACAAATTGGTAGAAAACTAGGGATTACAATCGGTTGAGATATATGCTTACGCTTTATGTAAACTCGAAGCGGAACTTTGATGGGTCAACATATGTAATGACATGATTATTCTACTCTTGACAAAAATGATGTATACATATTTTATAAGGACATTGTTACTTTAATTTTCATGAATTTCTCCCCTCAAAATTATCAACCTGGTTAAAACTTAATTATTACCATCTGAATCAATCCCACCGATCAATCCGACAATATTAGGTCTCGAATCCATAGCTTGATAGAGGGTTTCCTCGGCTGGGGTCATTGGTGCCGGTGGTGGACCTCCCCCAGTCTTGGGACGGCGAATTCCATCAATTTTATCTTCAGCTACAAATCAAATGAATATTTAGCGATTTTTTTAACAAATGTTAATTCTCTTAAAAGTCGTTACAATTGAATTAAGGCTGATTTTGATAGTTACCTCTCTGTTTTATGATGTCATATTTTTTTTTAAATTGAATCCGATGTTCTTTCATTTCTGAATTGTCTGTATTTAAAAAAAAACACATATACGCATGCAGATTTAAATATTGAATGATATATATACATGTAGATCTTCATAAACTCATCATTTTGATTTTTTAAATTTATTTACCAATTTACATGTAACTATGCATCTTTACAAATGATTTTTTTAATTGAGAGATAATACATTAGGTATAAATACACGTGTACTTTTTTTTCAAATATCATTATCAACATATAGGATACCAGCTGCAATAATGTAGCCCTCTCCGATTTTTTTTTTTTTTTTTTTTTTTTTTTTTTTTTTTTTTTTTTTTTTTTTTTTTTGGGAGAGGGCTACAACTCCTTAGGATCTCCGTAATGGTGCAAGTGCGGGAGTGATTCTGTGGTATTTTTATGTAGTTAGAGTAATCTGCCCTCAAATCTAAAATAAAATAAATTGAAATCTACAGTTTATCAATCAATTTCTTATCAATTCAAGCATTCTTAACATTTTGATAGGCAAAAATATATTAATGAACACGTCATCTGTATGCTTTTTCTCAACTTAGGAGACAACAGTGATTTCTGTCAATCAAACCTTTGTTGACTTTGACAGTTTTAATGGGGGTAAAAGCAAGATAAATTAAATGTTAACACCTTTATACATTATAATTTTATCAATGTCCAAAAGACATTTCCGTTTAGTGTGGAGAGGGTCCGTTAAATTTGAAAATCGTATTACTGTTCAAATGCCTTGCATTTATGTTTTATATATAGGCCTACCGTACACAAATGATCGGATAAATATAGAAATTGTAACGACGTTATATTACAGTTTAGTACTATCGAGTATTTATACCGAGACACTGATGTTTTGAAGTCTTAAAAAAACCATCCGAGTAATCGGTTACTCGATCGGAAAATTAAGCGAGTAACCGGTTAATAAAAGTCATACAACACTAAAAAAAAAAAAATCCTTATAAACAAATGCCAATCAAATGCTCTACCAATCCCTTATCTTTCCTCCTTAAAAAAATATTAAATGCTGTAAAGGAGAAACTTCAGAGGTACTGTGCCATACAACATATTCTAGAAGAAGTGAAAATCATATCCATATCATATTTTTTTTTTTCGAAATAATACTTGCGTATTCTCTAATGTAACGTTCATTTTTTATCATGCGCCATAGAACTGTACCCTGTACACATTCAAGTATTATACAATTTTTATTTTTGTCTACCTTTTATCAAAAAACTTAAGATGTACTTAAGAGGCAGTCCACCAGAAAACCAGGCAATATTGTATTAATAGGCGGCACATCGAATGTGACGAATATTTGATATTTTATTGAAAATGATATTAATGTAGTCCATATGGAATACTGTAAGTAAAGATTTGTTTGAAAATAGCTTATTTACTAAAATATCGTTTTGTTTTGTGTTCTTGAATTCCCCTATATAAACCATTGAATGTAGGTCGGAAACAAAGAACGGTAAATTCTAATACATTTTCAACAGATTTATAATTCACTCCCAACTAAATCAAGAAATATTTCATTTTTCAATTTAAAAAATAAAATCAGTAGGAAAAATATTTTCAATAGTAGTTTTCTTGCAAAATAGACAGTCATTTTTATGAAATTCTGTGATGCAAGAGTTATCTCCCGTAGCACCGGGAAATCGGCTAAACATCTTACTATCAGAATCCCTGTGAGATAATTAGAACTGATACGCTAAAGAATATCATTCAACCCAAAATAATTGGTTTATTTTCAAAAACGGAATTAATTTTCACCTCCAAACATAATATTTAGTTTAAAATTTGCTTTATTATTCAGGTTGAATCCACGTTTCCATTGATGTATCAGTGACGTCAAATACCTTTCTAATATTACGTCACAATAGTTGCAAATATTCCGCGGAAGTTGGTAAATTTAATTAAACGTGCGAAGAAAAAGATTTTTAAAAAGTTAAGTTAAATAATTTCTCAGAATGTATTTTCACGGGCGGTGCCTCAGCTATAGATGTTTTAAAACAATTATACAAGTCAGTATTGATAAGGAATTTTATACATGTACAAAACGTCTTTACAGTAATCACAAAAGGATTAATTTTTTAATTTTTTTAAATGAGTTAATAGCACATGTATATACTGGTATTTTATTATTCCTAAAAATAATTTTTCTAATGTAATTTATGAACATTTCTGATAAAACTTGGATGTGAAAAGATTAAGAATTATTTCTTATTATTCAGTAATGATGAATATTCCAGATTTACGCAACAAAGTCGAGATGTGTACTCCATGAAGTGTTGTTAATACTTAAGGTAATGATCCATACCACGTAAAATAACAAATAATAAAGTAACAGTCCTTGCAAAAGGAGGTCCGGTTGACCTCAAAATTTACACAGATCTGGAAAGGACACATACTTAGTTAAAATTCTGAGAAGTTTCATAGAAATCTGTAGCTTCCTTATTTTCAAAGCATGGTATGGATCTTTACCTTAAATATGTTAACTTATATGCAGTAATATCAAATGCAGCATTATACGATTGCTCACGATCGACTGTCGGACCGAATAAGTTTTAACAGTTGTAAGAAGGAAGTACTCGTCACATCCAACTTCACTAATTAGCAATGGTTGTTTACTATTAGTGTCGGTGGTTCAGATTCTGTTTAGACTTTAATTTTTTAAAAATGTAAAAAACTGAAATAGAAAAAAAAAAGTTAGAGAAATGTATAAATTTACTACTTAACCCTCTGGCTGCGACGTCAGTGTACAGAAAATATAACGTCACTGCGAGATTAAAACGACGTCACAATTTGTTTGACATTATTTTGCGGGATTTTTAAAAATATTTCAGAATTACGCCAAGTGCGCGTCTAGAACACTATAGGAATGAGTACAAGGAAATTTATTTATTTGTTTTATCAACAAAACTATTAAGAAGTTCTTTATTTATACATTTTGACTTAATTTTATATTTTTTACTCAATTTAATCATATTATGATTCTTTTTCTTTTTATATTTCCAATGAAATAAAACCGATAAGCGGTTATGAAGAAAGAATTTATCAAAATCGGAAACAAATACAACTAAACTTTAAAATCCTAATCAGTATGGGCAATTTGTTAACTCATGATCAAGTACTCGTAAAATAACAATATCGTATATAGATCAATAAGAGTATCTTATATATTTTATCTTATTCTTCATCTGCATTCAATTTCTCACGGTGAGGTGCGTTCTAAAAAATAAATTACAAAAAGTCCAACTTTGCAAGAAGTGTACCACTTTTTAATTTTGATTATGCTTTCCGCACAGATTTTTCTTTTTCGTCAAGAATTAAATTAAAACCAAGATAAATTTATCCAAAAATATTTTTCTAAGAAAAATTTCATAACAAACAATTCGACTTAAAATTTATTGAAATTAATTCTACAGAGGTTGTGTAAATATTTCATTTAGGCATTAATGTTGACTTTCAATGATTCATTATAGGATATCCGATTACATAAATTCATCCAAGAATTAGGAAAAGATCTGCCATCAAGTTGCTTAGTTTCACGCTTTTCTATTAATTTGACAAAAGGGCCGATATTTACTAAAAAAAAAAAACCTTCCGGTCTGATGTTTAAATTTGCGGAAGTAAAAATTTATCGGGCTCATTTTTGTTTGCAGCCCCATGATTTGCCGGTAAATTAAATATTATGCATAGACATCGGCTATATACATGTAACACGCGTACGTTTTTGAAACAAAAATAATTCTGGACATAAGAAAACTGATAAATTACAATCTTATAGCTGAAAAATGTATAGACCACTTAAAAAGAAAGATGATAAATTGTAGTTTGAAAAAAGTCACAGGTACATGTTATTTTAATTGATCAACATTAATTTTGTAATTCGATATTTTATACATGAGATCTATGTTAAATTCATATAGAAATATGTTTTTAGTTTACCGGAAGCAAAATTTGATATACACGAAATTCTCAGAAAAAAGTAAATGCGGATTTTCGTCTACATGTATATCATGTTGAATTTGATATTGGGGTTTTTCTAACAATTCCAATGATCGATTTCTCGGACATGTCGACACCACTTATCTTCTTGTACAAAAGAATGACCTCGGGGACATCAATTTCTACAATCTACACTTTTGTATTTTGTGTAAAAATCATGCTGTACGTTAAAACACACACACACACACACACGAACAATGTTTTATTTTATTAGAGAAATTGTCAGGACAATGAGAATTCAAAATTTAATTTTATGTCAGAAACCAATCTAGTCATGGTCTATTAGAATGTTGGTTTAATTTTACGTTCTGTTTCCATATAAACATTTACAAAGAGATCTACAAATGTATATGTAATTTTCGCCATAATATTTATATGGAATATTTTATAAACTAAAGCAAGCAGCTATTCGTAGTGATTTTTAAAAGAAGAAATCAGTTGACAAGGACATTTTTATTTATTCATTTATTTTATTTTAACGTAAATTCCTGGCCCGTAGAAAGCGCCCCCCCCCCTCCTTTTTCTGAGTACAATATTACCCTCAAAAACGTGCACTATTTATATAATAGTAGTTTTTACTTTAGATGCCTCTCTCTCTACCCCCCCCCCCCCGCCCCACGTTTTGTTGTTGTTAGGTCGAGCACTGGCAAATTCCAGAATAGTGCAGTTAATAAGGTGGGGTTTTTTTTGGTTTGTTTTTGTTTTGTTTTGTTTTTTTTTTTTGCTTGTCAGATTTTTTGGGATGGGAACACCCCCTACCCCCCATTTTTGTTAAATCATTGCTATGGGCCTGAAGTCACTTTATTGTTTTAACAAGGGGTCTGATAAATATTAGTTTTAACCGTATTTCATTTGAGAAGTCCAAGCATAGAGAACAAATTTTGATACATAAAATCTTTCTAATAAAATGTACTACAGCTGGATGCCCCCATTTCAAGCTGATACTAAAAATACTTACGTAAAGTGGGTTAACAGAGCCCATGTGTCGGGAAAATCGTTTCGTC